GCTCTTGCCGATGGCCGCCTACGCAATGGCACCCGGTGCGCGCCTTCTTCATTCGTTCTTCGTTCTTCTGTACTTTGAGCAACAACTCACTCGCACTTTGTCCACGCCCGCAGCATACAACATCCCGGAGCTGGCCGGGCTCGAGCTGGTGCTGGACTTTGACACCATCGCGAGGATCTACCTCAACGAGATCACCATGTGGGACGACCCTCGTATTCAGGCCCTCAACTCGGCCGAGGTGGTCGCCGTACTGCCCTCGCAACCCATCTACGTCATCACGCAGTCGGTTGCCACAGGGCTGACGAGTCTGTTTACGACGGTGCTCAACGCCACGGTGCCCGATTTCGCCGCCCAGGTAGGCCCGCCCGCGTTGTTGAATGTCGCTCACAGATTGGAATGCGATGGTTGATGGTTGACGGTGGCGGCCTCTCTCTTTCAGGTGGGAGCAGGTGCTCTGGTGTCGTTTCCGGTGCAGAACACGAGCGACAATCGATCGGTGGAGGTGACGACGGATGCGATGACATCGCTGCGCACGATCACATACTCGTTCGCCTTCTGGTCGGTGAGCGACATCCGCCAGGTACCAGCCCCTGCCCTGGCGTCGGCCCGGCTTTCGTTGACTGACTGACTGACTGACTGACTGGCTGACTAACGGTGCAACTGCAGACCCAGCAAGTGAAGGCGGCGGCGATCAGGAAATCGTCGGGCGTAGTGGTGAGCGCCAGCGCAGATTCGGTGCGCAGTGCTGTGGAGGACATGACGGCAAACGGGCAAACGGAGGTCCATTCCGATAGCCTCTTGCTGGGTACTCTGCGTGAACGCCGTCCTCTGGCTTCGTGGCCGATGTTTGGTGCTGACCTCCATTTGTCCCCCCTCTCCAATGATTGGACCAGGGTCGAGCCCGGGCAGCTGGCCTGTGGCAGCCTTTGCGTCGGTGATCTACCGCCAGAGCTCGATGAGCAATTGCGACGAAGCGGCAGCGTTGGCCAACTTCCTGTACTGGGCCCAGACCGCTCCAGCGCCAGTTCAGGTTGCCAACAGGCACGCGCCCCCGCACTTCTACTCCCTCCTGACGCCAGAACGCACGTCTCATCTGTCCGAGACTCTGACCCAAAACCGCACCACAGGCAAGGATTCGTGCTCACCATCTCGAACGAGGCCTTGAAGGCTCGGTTCCTCAACCAGCTCAGGGAGTTTACGTGCAAGGGGCTGCGCGTGAGCCAAGTGGCCAACTGCGTGTTCGACGGCCAGCTGTGCTCGGACGCCGGCTCGTGCGTTGAAAACGGATGTGTGTGCCAAAGCGGGCGGGAGGGCCAATACTGCGAGAGCTTGGTCGGTTCTTCGTCTGACACGACCCTGCCCATTGTCCTCGGTGCGTTCACATCGTGGCCAAGCTCCTCGGGGCCTTATAACGGACTGCTGACCATGTGTGGGCAGGCGTGGTGATCCCCTCGGCGGGCTTGGTGCTGTGCCTGCTGGTGTGCCTGATCGTGGTGCTGATCGTGGTCATCAAGCGCAAGGGCACACAGTCGGACGACTGGGAGATCAGCTACGACGAGCTCGAGATCGGCGAGCAGCTCGGCGCCGGCGGGTACGTTGCCACTGTAGCTTTTCAGAGAAAGTGCCTGGTCCTGGTTGTTGACCCATTGGGTGTCCCTTGATGGGCCGGTACAGATATGGCGAAGTGAACAAGGCGACGTGGAAGGGAACCGAGGTGGCGGTGAAGGTCATGGCGTCGGACAAGATCACCAAGGACATGGAGAAGAGCTTCAAGGACGAGGTTCGTGCCCCCTCCCCCGCTTACTCGCAACCCAGCGAACATGTTTGCTTCTTTTTGGAATGAAGCTGATCACCGTCATGGCGACGGCACAGGTGCGAGTGATGACGGCGTTGCGGCATCCCAACGTGGTGCTCTTCATGGCGGCGTCGACCAAGGCGCCCAAGATGTGCATCGTCATGGAGTACATGGCCCTCGGCTCTCTCTTCGACGTATAATGCTTCCCTCCCCTTTCCTCCTTCCGCCTTAGTGAGCTGATCAACCCGTGGTGCGGTTAAACTAATCCTTTGGTGGTGTGTGCAGTTGCTGCACAACGAGCTGATCCCGGAGCTGCCGTTCGTGCTCAAGGCCAAGATGGCCTACCAGGCCTCCAAGGGCATGCACTTCCTCCACTCCTCCGGTACTGATCTTGCCACCTTCTCGCCACCTTACCACCTCGCCCTTCATTCCATTTGCTCATCGCGCTTCATTCTTCCCCGATGATTTGTGCAGGAATCGTGCACAGGGATCTGAAGTCGCTCAACCTGCTGCTCGACGCCAAGTGGAACGCCAAGGTGAGCGATTTCGGCCTCACCAAGTTCAAGGAGGACGTCAGCGCCAAGGGCGCGGGCAAGGATATCGCCGGCAGCGTGCACTGGACCGCGCCCGAGGTGCTCAACGAGTCGCTTGACGTGGACTAGATCTTGGCCGACGTGTACAGCTTCGGGATCATCTTGTGGGAGCTGCTGACGCGCGAGCAGCCCTACTTCGGCATGAGCCCGGCGGCCGTGGCCGTGGCGGTGATCCGCGACGGCATCCGGCCGGCCATGCCCGTCGACGCCGGCCTCACCCACCCGGCCGAGTTCGAGGAGCTGATCACCAGCTGCTGGCACTCGGACCCCACCATCCGGCCCACGTTCCTCGAGATCATGACGCGGCTGTCGGCCATGCACGGCGACTCCAACACTTCGATCGGCGCCACTTCGACCAGCCACACCTCCTCCTCGTCGTCGGGCCACTCTGGCGGCAAGAAGGCTGGTCCGTCGAGCATGTACGGCTCGTGGACAGTTCCATCATCGGCGGGCTCCACCGGCACCTCGTCGTCATCCAACTCGTCGACCTCGCAGGAAGCAGCGGCAGCCGGCACTGCAGCCGGGATCAAGCCGCCAGAGGGCGAGGTGGCGATCGTGTTCACGGACATCACACGCGCGGCGTCGCTGTGGGAGTTCAACGCGGCGGCCATGCGCGACGCCACGCTCCTCCACAACGACGCCCTGCGCGAGGCGCTGAAGCGGCATCGCGGCTACGAGGTGGTGTTCATCCGGGACCGGAACAGCGGTGAGGGCTCCTTCTGCATGGCCTTCCAGCAGGCCGCCGATGCGCTCGCCTGGTGCAGTGATGTGCAAAAGGCGCTGCTCGCAGTGGAGTGGCCCGAGGCGTTGCTGGAGCACCCGGGAGCGGCCGAAGAGTGGGGCGACACCGACGATCGGTACGCTTTGCCCCTTTTGCTCAGCATCGCTGAACCAGGTGGTTTGACCACCAGCCTCCACACAACAGGGTGCTGTTCAAGGGCCTGAGAGTGCGCATGGGCGTGCACATGGGCACGCCGCGCATGGTGCGCGACCCGATGACGCGGCGGGTGGAGTACATCGGGCCGGTGGTCAACGCCGCGGCGCGCATCACGGCCATGACCCACGGCGGCCAGATCGTGCTGAGCCACACCGTCCACGACAGGGTCAAGGACGACCAGACCGGCGAGCAGAAGCCGCGGGTGATGGCGAGCCTGGGCAAATTCGAAATTCCCGACGCTCCCAGCGGTACTCGCCCAGCCGACCAAGACCACCCTTAAGGTGTAGCATGAACTGACATGTGTGCCATCGATGTCGCTCCCGATGATAATGCAGGGGCGAAACTCTATGAGCTCAAGGTCGATGGCCTCGAGGGCCGCTTCTTCGGCGGCGTCACGCACGACAACACATCAAGCGATCACCCCAGCAACAACAAGAGCGGCAAGTCGATCGACGAGCCCATGAGCGGATCCAGTGCCGGCGACGACCACGGCGGCGGCGAAGGCGAGCTGCAGACGGCGGTGGGTGAGGGCATGATGTTCAAGGAGGACACCTTCCTCACGTCGGCCAACCTGTGCCGCTGGATCATCGACTTCTCTGAGGTCCAGGTGGGCAAGCAGGTGGGCCTGGGGTCCTACGGCGTGGTGTTCCGCGGCAAGTGGAAGGGCGTCGACATAGCAGTGAAGCGGTTCATCAAGCAGAAGCTGGACGAGCGGCGCATGCTCGAGTTCCGCGCGGAGATGGCCTTCCTGTCGGAGCTCCACCACCCCAACATCGTCCTCTTCATCGGTACCTACACACTCTGACAACAACCTTATTCCGTTGTGTCACAACACATATGATGCACTCTCACGTTGCGATCTTCTCCGTCTGTCAGGGGCGTGCGTGAAGAAGCCGAACCTGTGCATCGTGACGGAGTTCATGAAGCAGGGCTCGCTCAGGGACATCCTGGCCAACAACACCATCAAGCTCACGTGGAAGCAGAAGATGCGCATGCTGCGGTCGGCGGCGCTGGGCATCAACTACCTGCACTCGCTCCACCCGGTCATCGTGCACCGCGACCTCAAGCCCTCCAATCTGCTCGTACGCTCGTCTAACCACGCGCTTGCTATTGTCTGTCCGTCACATCTAACCCATGCTGATGGATGTGTGTACAGGTGGACGAGAACTGGAACGTGAAGGTGGCCGACTTTGGGTTCGCGCGCATCAAGGAGGAGAACGCCACGATGACCCGGTGTGGCACGCCGTGCTGGACGGCGCCGGAGATCCTGCGCGGGGAGAAGTACGACGAGCGCGCCGACGTGTTCTCCTTCGGCGTGGTCATGTGGCAGGTGGTGACGAGGAAGGAGCCCTATGCCGGGCGCAACTTCATGGGCGTGTCGCTCGACGTGCTCGAGGGCAAGCGACCGCAGATCCCCAACGACTGCCCGCTCGAGTTCAAGAAGGTGATGAAGAAGTGCTGGCACGCGTCGGCCGACAAGCGGCCCACCATGGAGACCATCGTCGCCTTCCTCGATCAGCAGGTGGGCGACGACCAAGACGTCGGCCTGTAATACCGTGTAACACCGAATTATGCAATGTACAAATAAGATTTTATCTTTATCTTTATCTTTATTTTTTTATATTCGTTGAAGGAAAGTGCTGACGTCGGCCAGCGACGTAGAACGGCGGTAACGATGTACGCGCAATCGGACCCAGAACACAACAACTTGAACCCACAACGTCACGCTACCACGATGAGCCTGCAATCCTCCTCCTCTTCCTCCTCCTCTGCAATTGTGTCCGTTGGGCACGTGATGGATTTGCCCGAAGGTACCTCGCCATCTCCCCTTTCCTCAATCCCATTCTTTTTTTGATTAATTAATCCTACACAATTCAAATGCAGAGCTCTTGGTGAGCGTTCTGAGCCACCTGGCACTGGCCGACCTGTGCCGCACGGCCGCTGCGTGTCGTACGCTGCGAAGGGTGGCTACGGACGACCGCCTGCTGTGGCGCGCTCGTTGCCTTGACCGCTTCGGACCCGAGGCGCTGGAGGCGCGGGCCGAGGGCAGCTCATGGGAGCAGCACTGGGCGACCCTTCTCGACCACCACCGCCGCGGCTGCGAGCTCTTCAACCAGAATCTGGTAAACGTTCATTCATTCATCAATCGACATGTCTATTGATCTCCATCTTCAAGCATTTTTCTGCTGACCCCTGACCCTCGTCGCGCTCTGCAGGGTATCGACTACCTGGTCGAGCACCGGGTCCTACGCGCCGAGCCACAGGCCATTGCCGACTTCCTGAGCAAGACGCCCGGGCTCTACAAGAAGAGCATCGGTACGTACGGTGATGCGGCGTGTCTGCATGTATGGAAGCGAACCGATCAGCAGGAGTCTCATTCGCCCCATGACTCAGGATGGACGCTCGGCCGCAGGGCAAAGGACTGCTCGAAAGAAGAGGAGACCATCCTCGACGATGTCGATGCACCAGAGCTGGTACGAAGCCGGCTCTTCAATTCAGACGCGCACGCGCACACGATGCGACACACGGCACTCCTTGGCTACGTGTCTTGACTCTTTGCGCTGCCCACACTTCAGGAGATGGACTTCTATTCGTCGGTGGCGCAGCTCTACATGAGCGGGATCGACTTCCACGACCTGACCGTCGACGAGGCCCTCCGCCAGCTCCTCCTGCGGGTCAAACTGCCGGGCTCGTCTCAGTTCATTCGTCGCATTCTCAAAGGTATCCTTCTCGTCCGCTCTATCTCAAGCTCGACCGCCGCCAGCGTTTGGATGCTCACCGGCGCGTTTCTCTGTGCCGCGTGTGCCGCGTGTGCGCCGTGTGTGGTGCAGATTTTGCCATGGCGTACTACAAGCAGAACAAAGTCGAGGCCGAGCGCCTCTTCAAGAATGCCGAAGGCCCCTACATCGCCGCCTACTCCATACTCATGCTTAACACTGGTACCCGCCCGCCTTCATCATCACCCTATACCGCCGTTTCCTCCTGGCACTTACAGAGCTCTCTCGTGTGCGTGTGCGTGTGTGCGTGTGCGGTCGATTGTGCGTGTAGACCTGCACAACCCGCGGGTGTCGCGCAAGATGAAGAAGAACGAGTTCCAGGAGCACTTCAGCGCAATGCTGCCCGGCCTGCCACGCGAGTACATCGAGGGCGTCTACGACCGCATCCGCGCCGTCGAGCTCCGGGTCGCTGACGAGGACTCGGTCTCTGGCAGCAGCCCCGCCTCCGCCTCGATCTCCGCTGCAACCACCGCCCGCACCGGCAGCGACGATGCCGACACCCAGGGAAAGGGGCTCAAGGGCTTCTTCTCCCGCTTCTTCTGATGAGCAGCGGGGTACACCCTACACTTCTAGAGACTTAGGTCTGGACTATGTCCTGTACATCACGCGCTACATATTGCATTGGAATGCAAAGAATGCGATATTACGATATTACGGATATTACGTGGCCTGACTGCTGGCGGGTGAGGCTACCGCGTAAAGAACAGAGCCGCGTGGGGGGGAAGTGAAAGCAAAGATGGAGGACGTGGCAAGAAGAGAAAAGATGGTAAGACGCGGGACGGCGGCTGAACGTAGGCAGGCCCAGGATGCGAGGCTCAGGTCGGCCCTCACCGAGCGCGATCGGTTCCGCAAGGCCGTCATCATGGAGTTCATGTTCCGCGAGCAGCAGCAGGCACAGCAGAAGGAGCAGCAGCAAGATGAACCCGACGCCACGACGACGTCGTCGAGTCAGACCACGCCCGAGAGCGTCGAAGAAGAAGCGGCCAACAACAAAAAGGAGGCCGACAACACGGCGCCAGCCACCAAGCGAGCCGGGCCACCACCTCCCCCTCGCTCGGCCCGGTCTCTCCAGGCCTCGCCCGCGCCCGCGCCCCAGCCCGAGCCCGGGCCTCCGACGACGACGACGGACGACGAAGAGGCGGAGGTCCAGCCAACGTCGGCCGAGAAGAAGGAAGGGAGCGCGGCGGCGGCTGCACCTCGGGTGTCGTGGCTGACGTCGACGCCATCAACGCCTTCGCCGCTGCTGGCCCTGCCCGTGTCGACCGCCGCCGCCTCCTTCTCGCCGTCGTCGCCACGCTCGCCGCGCGGGGCGTCGCCGCTTCTGTCGCCGCGCTCGTTCTCTCCCTCATCGTCGTCGCCGCTCTCTACATCGCCGCCGGCGTCTTTCTCCCCGTCGGCGGCCAAGTCTTCGGGCCTGGTGCAGCCCTTCACACCAAACACCACCATCACCTCCGTCACCGACTCCACCTCGCGCGCGCTCAAGACCCTGCCGCCCATCATCGGCCGACGCAAGTGACATTGAGAGAACGTGTCCATCATCATCATCGTAATCATCGTCACTCTGTAATATATCAAAAGACGCGACAGCTGTACTACTTGGCGGTGGTGGTGGTCGGGTTGGTTGGTGGCTGGTGGGCTTGGTTGGGCTCGGCTTCGTTGTCGTCCGCGGCGCTCGTGATGTCGGGGTTGGCGTAGCGGCACGCCTCGGCCATTCCCAGGTCGCACGCTCGCTTGAAGTGACTCACTGAACACGACACGACGACACGTAACACGACACACGCACGATGGTGAGGCGCGCACGAGACCTCAAAAAAAAACTAGAATGTTCTCAGATCGGTCCTTACCTTGCTTGGTCATCACGCCCAAATTGAAGCAGGCGTCCGCCACCGGCTTGTCGGTGTCCGCACACGCTCGATGGTACACCTGCATAAGACTCGGCAGAACGTTAACAATCAAACAACACACACACCACACACCACACACACCACACAGCACTTACCTTGACGGCCAGGGACTCGTCGCGGGGGCAGCCGATGCCGTGCTGGAAGAGGTAGGCCAGGTTGAAGCACCCGGCGGCCGACCCGGCCTCGCACGCCAGCGAGAAGTAGCGCGCCGCCTCCCGCGCGTTCTCCCTCCCCGTCCCTGCGACCAAAGATGACGTCAGCCAAACAAGAACGAAGAAGAAGAACGAAGACGGCGCGTACCGATCATCTGCTTGCGGTAGAGCTGTGCGAGGTTGTAGCACGCGTCGGCGTGACCGCCGGTGCACGCCCGGCGGAGGAAATCCGCAGCGCGGGCGGGATTCTTCTCGCCTTCCACCACTCCCGACATCGACAACGCACCTGTCGTGTCGTGTCGTGTCGTGTCGTGTCGTGTCAGCGCTGGCGATGGCCACTGTGTAGGTTGCCTGCTTGTTCCAAGCTTTCTATACCGAGGTTATAGCAGCTGGTGGCGTCGTTGTCCTGCTCGCAGGCCTTCAACAAGCGAGTCGTCTTCTCCCTCGTGAACAGCGCACAAGAGGGCAGGTACTTGGCTTTGCTGCACCCTCGCTGTCGACGTACACGACACACACGACACACACGACACACACGACACGACACAACAGTCAGCACGCCGCATGTGCTGTGCTGAGGGAGAGCGCCAACCTTCCACCACTCCCGGTCGCCGGTGAGCCACCCGGCTGCCACGCACGCCTCTCCTGTTGTGGTCCATACAGTCAGCCACTCACTCATGCATGTGCGGTGGTGCGTGTGCGGCGGTGCGTGCACGCACCCTGGGCGCTGGCGTCGTCCGTGCAGGCCCTCATGGCGTACTTGGCCGCCTTCTTGTCGTTCGGGAGCGACGGCGCCACGACTGGTGTGGAGTCGTCCTTGCTCGCATGGCTGCGTGGATCGCCATCTTCCGCTACGTTTTGCGATTTAATCTCATCTGATGGCTGTTGATGAGATGAAACGGAATGGAGATGGAGGGCGCTCGAGTGTGATTTGGAAGGCGCGTAGTGGAGGCGGGCGATGCGCCAGCAGCTGCCAGTGTCGCCGCTATCTCGGCACCCACGCTTCCATGCGGCCCTCGCCTCGCCGAGCCGCTTGTACCGCGCCAACAAATCTCCCAACCCGCGACATGCCGATGATGATGATGCGGCCGTAGTGGCCTGCCCGAAGCACTGGCGCTGCAGCTCCTCCACCTCTTCCTTCACCCCCTCCATCTTCCGTTCTAGTTCGAGGAAACAGATAATAAATAAAAAAATAATAAATAATTAGAAATATATTTAAGCTGAAGCATTAGCTCGAGGAGGCCTGAGAGGGCAGACATTGGCGCTTGATGGCGGCGACTTCGTCGGGGGTGAGGTGGCGCCAGCTGCCCGGCGCGGTCACGCCCGCCATCCCGAGGGCGCCCAGGCGCACGCGGATGAGCCGCCGCACGATCAGGTTGCGGTCGCTGCACACCCGCACCATCCGCCGGATCTGTCGATTCTTGCCCTCGCGCAGCACAATCCTGAACCACCTCGTGCCCTCTCCTCCATCTTCGTCATTGTCCTCTTCTTCTTCTCCTCCTTCTTCTTGATCGTCTCCACCATCGTCTTCTTCTTCTTCACTGCCACTCGTCTTGCGCTTCTTGTCCGACATTGTCGTCTCGTCGCCGTGGCTCTCGCCTCTCTTTCTCTTCTTCTTCTGTTTGTCACCGTTTTCGTCTTCGCCTTCGTCTTCGCTATTCTCGTCGTCTTCGTTCTTTGTCGTCGCAGACTCCACCAGCTTCCTCCTGCGCCTGGCCGTCTTCTTCCGCTCCTTCCTCGCCTTCTTCATCCGTTGGTTGGCGCTCAAATGGCAGCTGGCATCGGCCTCCTCGTCCGCGCCGCGGTACGACGCGCGTTCGCTGCTGTCGGGCCGCTCGATGGGCTCCACCGCCACCGGCGGCAGAATGGCCACCGTCCCGCGCCTGATGGCCTCGCCCCGCCGCATCCGCGCGATGAAGCCACCACCGGCGGCCGAAGTGGTCGAAGTGGTCGAAGTGGTCGATGACGATGACGGTGGTGAAGAGTCGAACGGGCGGTTGAGGAGTACCTCGTACTCCTTCTCGTAGCCGCCGGCGCTCTGCATGAGCGGATTGACGATGGAGCTGTCGGTGGTGAGCAGCAGCAGGCCCTCGGAGTCCTTGTCGAGCCGGCCGACCGAGATGAGCTGATGCTTGGCGTGAGATGGAAACGAAGTAGTGGAGGATGAAGAAGATGGAGATGATGAAGATGAAGCAGTGGGTTGAGGAGGAACTGGTGTGAGGTCGATGAGGTTGACCCAACTGCAGGCGATGCGAGGGTCAGTGGTGCATTCGACTCCGCGAGGCTTGTGGTAGAGCAGATAGAAGAGTTCCTTCTCGCCTCTTGGAAGTGAAGATGACGTTGTAGACTGCAAAAGATTGGAAGATGAAGAGGTTGTGCAGGGCGCGATTCCCGCATCTGTGGCCCCACTCGTTGTCGATACGACCACTCGACGAAGCGATTCACCTTCATGTGTCCCCTCAGTCGCAGAATCGCTTCCATTTGGTTCCATCGCCGCACGATCGCGATTTCGCTGATTAAAATCGAGTCGATCCATCATGACTTCGACCACCGAGCAAAGCGCTGGCGATGATGAAGAAGAGGCTACCCGCACCTGGGTCGAGAAGACAGCCACCTGGGAATCGACAAACACTCTACCCTCTGCAATCCATTTCTTGGCCCGCTGCCTCGAGCATACGCCGCGTGACGTCAACCACTTCGTAATCACCAACGGCTTCACTTCTTCTTCGTTCTCCTTCTCCATGGAATGTTTGTTTGGATTTTCGAGATTTGAAAACTGAGATAATATATCTATTTGATAATTATGCAAAGAATGCAAGCATGATTACAGTGTAACTCGATCCATCAATGATTGGGTTATGTGTGTGTTTATTGGTTGGGTTGATATGAGAAAAGCAAACAAGGTCCATCGCTACGATGACGTGGTTAAAACTAAATTGGAGAGTGAGATAGAGCGCGAGAATGCAAAAAGAACGAGGCTTGCTGGACAAGCAGTAATCGACTAGTATGGGGGTTGAAGTAGCGGCTCGTCGAGCACTCTTCTTCAAGGGCAGAAGGGGACGTTGATCTGGCCACCGCCGGAGCCGCGCAGGGTCGCGGCGACGATCTGGCCCAGCACCAGACCGTTCTGGAGCGTCACATCAGAGTTGGGCGCCAGTAGGATACCTGGGAGCAAGCAAGTGAGCACTCTACGCCGTTTCGTTGTGTGTGGTGGTGTGTGTGTGTTGGGGACGTACCGGGGAACTGGAAGCCCTGGATGACGACGAGGTTGGCCTCGCACACATTCCAGATGATGGAGGTGAGCGGCACCGAGCCCACGTCGACAAAGAAGTTGGAGAAGGTGGCGGTCTGGTTGCCCACGATGTTGATCACCACCTCCTCCGTGCTGCTGCCGAACCCGACCAGGCGCATGCCCGTGGAACGGGCCAGATCGCTGGCCTGCACGTTGAACGACTGATATCCGCCCGGAGGTGAGATTTAAAATTCAACCGCAGGTCAGAGAGGGAAGCCTTACCTCGTTGGCCGCACCGGTCGCCCTCAGGGTGATGGCGCCGAACTCGGCCACCTCGGCGCTGGTCGCGTTGGTCTGCGAGGAGTTGCAGAAGTTGGAGCTCACGTTTCTGAGCTCGGCCGCGTCGAGGGTGAAGTTGATGCCGCTGCGCTCGGTCACATTACCGACCTTGATTGGGAGAAAGTGATCAGTCACAGGTCAGAATGATCAAAAAGAACCAATGGCGATCGAGCGCTACCACAAGTCCGGCGTTGTTGGCGAACGAGGGCAGGTTGACGATCTGCGAGTCATTCGAGGCGAGCAGGTTTCCGCAGAAGAGGCGACCGTTGGCGAAGTCGATGGGGCCGGGTCCCTGGGCGACGATGCCAAAGCCCGCCGACTCCTCGGCCGTGCACACGGCGCGCTGGTTGACGCCGAAGCTGCGCAGACGCAGGCCGCCCCGCACCGCAAGCTTGTTCTCGAAGTCGCCGTTCATCATATCGAGCGACGTGGCGTTGGACGACTGGTTGCCGAGAATGAACGCGCTGTAGAGATCGATCAGGCCGGCCAGGCGCGTGTTGGGCGGGCACGTGGGAATGGGGCTCGGCGGCGGCGGCGAGGGGAGGGGCGAGCCGACGACCGGAGGCGACGCCGAAGCGGAGGCCGAAGCGGAAGCAGAGGGCGAAGCCGAAGCCGAGGCCGAAGCAGAAGCCGAGGCCGAGGCCGAGGCCGAAGCAGAAGGTGACGCCGAAGCAGAAGCGGAAGGAGAAGCAGAGGCGGAAGGAGAAGCCGAAGGAGAGGCAGAAGGCGATGCAGAAGCGGAAGCAGAGGGCGAAGCCGACGGCGACGCAGAAGCCGAGGCCGAGGCCGAGGCCGACGGAGAAGCAGAGCGGCTCGGCTTGACCGAGGGAGAGGCGGACTCACTGGGCTTGACGGAAGCCGAGGGGGAAGCGGACTGGCTCGGCTTGGTCGAAGCTGATGCCGAGGCCGACGGAGAGGCTGACCGGCTCGGCTTGGAAGAAGCGGACGCCGACGCCGACGGCGAGGCCGACTGGCTGGGTTTACTCGACGCCGACGGCGAGGCCGACCGGCTCGGCTTGCCCGAAGCGGATGCCGACGCCGAGGGAGAGGCCGACTGGCTGGGCTTGGTCGATGCCGATGGGGAGGCGGACTGACTAGGTTTGCTGGAGGCCGAAGGCGAGGCTGACTGGCTCGGCTTGGAAGAAGCAGACGCCGACGCGGAAGGCTTTGCAGGCGATGCCGAGGCCGAGGCTGATGGCATGGCCGAAGCAGAAGCGGACGGCATGGCCGAAGCCGAGGCCGAGGGCATGGCCGAAGCCGAAGCTGAGGGCATGGCCGAAGCCGAAGCTGAGGGCTTGCCGCCCTTGCTCGTCATCATCTCGCTGTCGCTGTCTTGGGCGTGGGTGCTGACAGCCAGTAGGCAGCACAGGAGGAGAACAACGCTGATCCAGGTCTTCATCGGTGGTCGAGTCACTGGCGTAGTACTGGTGTAGTGTAGGGATGGATCACTGCGTTGCTTGATGGCGAACATCTGCAGGACCCGGCAAGAGTCCATTTAAACCAGCCACCGACCAATCGGCGCACTGCAGAGCCCTGTCGCTTGCGTCCCCGTTGGGGTGAAAACTCTGCCAGACAGCGAAGGCCCTGTACGGCGGTCCAACGCACGACCAATGTGGCTCCCCGCCCCTGAGAATGGGTCGGATGGGCGTCGCATGGCACAGACTCCGCGCCAGGCACTCTACCAAGCTGTGATCTTGTCCACGATCGGAGCGTGCAAGCGGCAAACCGACGTAAGCGGAAGCGTGCGGTTTGCAGCGCACCGGCCGTCGCTCGTGCGCGGGGGCTCGAGAATTCGACCGGTTTCAAGCCACGCAGCCTGCGGCCTGTAACTCTTTTTCAGCGCAGAAAATCGGCCAATGAGAAAATTGCGACTAGAATGTCCATTTTTTGCCCTCCCCAGCCCGGTTCAAGAAAAGTACTGTGATCCTTGCATGGACCCACCCCCAACAAAACGTGGACGAGGTTGCGTTGCCCCCCAACTATTGTGGCTGTCGTTAGATGGGAGAAGAAAAGTTGGCTTTGACTCGAAAGGGAGAAATCCACAAAAGGAGCAGTCGCGTGGCAATCATGAAAAATCGGTCTAGTTCAATAGAGCTTGCTACCTGGCGCCCTAGGTGCTCAACAGCCACTGTACTATTACAGGCTGTGGCTGTCAAGGTGACATTCCCGTTTTTGAGGAGCACTCAAGTTTGCCTGGAAACAAACAGCTTTAAGTTGTCAAAGCTAGATCAGATCAGAGAAGAATGGCTTGACCTGCCACTTCCCGAGTCCTAGTCCTAGGATCGCCCAGGTTTCGTCCAACCGCCCGCCAAAAGGGCCAGGGTGTCGGTATTTAGGGTCGCTCACCTCGGCCCACAGCTCCAGCCTAAACACCAGTTACTCCACACCCGCACCATGCAGAGATCCATCCTTGCTGTCTTGTTCCTTGGCCTCCTTGCTGGTGCCTTCGCTGACACTGCGAGTACGAGCACTTGCCCCTTATTCATCCTCGTTGTTGTGTGTTCACTCACACACTGAGCGCAGCTGATGGCACTGTTGTTGTGGGAACCACGGCGACCACCGCCTCCAAGGATACCACGATCGTCGGAAGCACGGCTGCTCAGGTACCTCTTTTCAACATCGCTCTTGGGATCACGATGGTGACGCTGGCTTGTGGCGCTGACTCTTCCTCCCTGGTCAGTCTGTTCTGTTCACCTACAGCTCGGCGTCATCTCTCAGCCCGTTCTGGATGACAGTATAGACCGGTTAGTGCCTGCCAAATAAACATGAGCCTTGCCCAAACTGTTGGTTGTTCTTTTTATTTTTGTTTTTGTTTTTGTTTTTAATGGCATTACAATTTTCGACTTAAATACATAAAAAGGAAATAACTGGATAAATTATAAATACGTGTAGAAAAGACGATGGACGTCCGAACGGCAGCAGGGCAGCTGGCGGCCAACTTCTTTGTGGCCACCCCGGCCCGTGTTCTCTTCGAGCGTGCCGCGCGGGATCGTCCCTTCATTCGCGCCTTCATCAAAAGCCGGATAGCAGACGCTTCGAGGATCACCGGCATTCGAGGAGAATCTTCACAACACTCATTTTTCACTCCTTTCACATCAATTTTGAGCGTCCTCACGGGCGGCGGTGCAGACGCGACCAACGGTCTGCTCCACGTCGCTCACGCCAGCTTGTGGACCATCAGCGTCCCCTTCATCCAGTCTTCCATCATAGAATCCGCTAAAGGTATGACCTTGCCGGTCCACTCATCAATCATTTCAATCTGCCGTGTGGTGTATTTTTATTTATTTATTACCATTTATAGGAATTAAAACAATTTGGTTTTATTATTTATTTATTTATTTATTTAAATATAATGTGTGATTGCTTTTAACGCAGACTTACTGTTCGGGGGCTACACACTGTACGGGCGGGTGCGGGAGGCGCTCAACCCCGACTTCAGGCCGTCCCTCTACGCCGAGATAATGCGACCAGTCACCTTCGCCGCCAAGACCGTCGCCTATGCTGTACACGCCACACACGACACACACACGGCACACACGACACACACACACGATACGACACGACACACGACTCACCACGCACGCCTGCGCTAACTGAAAAACCTTTTGGTCATGCTCAGGCGAGCTTTCCGTTCTTCTTGTGCGCGTACGGGGTGCGCAACAACAAGCCCGAGCACTGGAACAAGATCCCGGCCTCGTTCCTGCCCTCGCGTAAGAAGGCCATCCCGGCCATGACCCTGCCGCTCTTCGTCCTGATCGCCCACCTCAACGCCCACCTCCTTGCCGCCGGTGGCCTGCGCGACCTCTTCTTCCGACTCCGCGTGCGACTGCTTCCGTCGACCGTGACCCACGACCAGGCCCTGTCTCCGCTGGCACAGCAGTTCCTGCGCCACGTCGAGGACTTGGCCCTGTGCCTGGCCGCCGGTGGTTCGTTACTCCTCTCCCCTTCGCCTCGGGGCCGAGTCTGAGATGCGCCGCGACTTAGAAACCGGACGAGCTCGTTACGGTAAACTCACCCTTTTTTGTCGACGGCGGTGCGCACACAGCCATAACGGTGCCGCTCGAGGTGTTGCTGTGCACAATGCTGGCGACGCGGGCAGGCTTGGCCTCGTCGGTCTCGGCCATCTGGAAGGAGAAGGGCCTCAGCGGCTTCTTCAGCGGCTTTGGCTGGTATCTGCTGGCCCAGTACCTTACCACCTGGTGATCACGCTTTGGTGGAATTAATTATAGTGCGGAATCAATGAGAGACAGATCTCGCNTCTAGATAGGTATAGGACGAACAGAGAATTCTTTTCTGGCTTCGCATTGGATCGCTTCTTCTTAGTTACAGCTGAGCACCCGAAACAGGCACGCCGCAGTTGAAATCCCAGGTAGCGTGGTTGCGCTGGGGACGAGAGTTCACTTGGAGCACGCGTGCCCCCAAAAGGAATGGTTAGAATAGGGAAATCAGAGTCATCCCCCGGAATTCCGTTGAGTTTCTGCCTAGATCCGGCAACGGAGCAATGTAACCCACAGATCTGCTTTCGTATTGGTTGATCACACCACGGCGACAGAGCAGCTCCCGGATACCTGCGCGCACTAAAGTCTGTTTTCGCGCAGACTGTTCTTGTATTCAGTAGAAGCGAGCACAAGCACATCCCCGCAACTTCAGCAGCACACTCGTGACAGACCCACAACCCAACGCTCAGCATCACCCATCACCTTCTGTCACTCACCACGTTTCATCAACGCCACAGCGCCACCAAACTCTTTTACACACAAGGTCTCTCAACGACGAAAGCCATGGCGACCACCTCAACCCGGCCCTCGTCTCCATCATCCAGCTTCTCGTCGTGCGACGTCAGACCGGTTACCATGCAGCGATACCAGACCAAACCGGTGGGCGAGTGGTCGAAGAAGGAGGTCAAGGCCTGGCTTGCGGCCCTCGACCTCAAGCAGTACGCCCGCACCTTCCGCAAGCACGACATGTGCGGTAGCCGACTGGTCGGGCTTTCGCGCGACGACCTCCGCGCCATGAACGTGACCAAGGTGGGCCACGTCAAGAAGATCACCAGCTGGCTCCGCGACTCGGCCGCGCTCCACAACGGCTACGCGCCTCCGCCCACCGCCATTTCGCCGACGCTCTCGGCCACCACCTCGTCCTCCTCTGTGATGACCTCATCGGGCAAGTTCATGGCCACCATTACCCGGCGGTACAGCTTCGGTGGCGTCGGCGACTCGCCAGTCCCGCCTCCTCTACTGGCCTCGCCATCGTCATCGGTAGTCGGGGCTACGCTAGTCCAGTCCATGGCCCGGCTCGCCCCTGCCTCGCGACACACCTCGTCCACCCTATCAACAACCTCATCGTCATCGTCGTCGCCGCCCCCCAGTCCCATCCGCCGCACCAAAGCCGCGCATTCCAGCAGCAGCACCAACGGCTCGCCCCTCCGCCAGTCGTCCATGGACATCGTGTGTCGGCGAGAGGCCCGGTCAGCGTCGGTGCCCGAGAATTTGCACTCGCAGCAGTTCTTCGACTTGACGGTCTCGGACGATGCCAACACCATGTTCTACTCGCCCGAGACGTCGGGTGAGAGCCTTTCGCTTGGCTCCGAGAGCGCGGTGCCGCTTCCGCGCAGAGGTGGAGGCAGCGGCATCCGCGGGCGTCCGACGGTGCGCAAGAGCAACAGCTCGCCGGACTGCAACTCGAGCTACGCGCGGCTCTACCCGTCGGTCTACCTCTGGGTGAAGCTGGTGTTCGACGACGACATCAGCATCTTGCGCTTCAAGCGCAGGACCCTCACGGTCAAGCGGCTGCAACGCGAGATCAACCGCATACACCAGTGCCAGCCGCGACTGCGGTGGATCGACTCGGACGGCGACTGCATCGAAATCAAGACCACCGAGTTCCTCAACTACGCCCTGGAGGACTGGCAGCGCCGCTTTGACGAGGGCCAACAGCGGATGATCCGGATAGAGGCCTTCCAGAAGGCCTGATTGACCACACCCCGCACACATTTTTGCCCCTTCCTTGACTGTAACCAGAAACGAATGTACCCTTTACTTTTTACCTTTAGTTCTCTGGCTGGGCGTGTGAAGATTTTTATGGTTTAGTGTGAAGGAAACCTATCGTAAAAAGGAGTTGCCAGGACCGGGAATTGAACCCGGGTTGTTGGTACCACAAACCAATGTACTACCACTATACTATCCCAGCTACGGGTGTCGTAAGAATGTGCTACCGTGACGGCTGATCGAGTGGAACACAGTTGTCAGCCCGGCGCCCGAAAAATGGCCAAGAATTGCAAAGAGAACGAAGGACAGTGGCTTACATTCGAACCAAGACCACGCTTTGGCCTGAAATGACATGTCTCGGCATTCTGTTAGGGGGGCAACAAACACAAGGAGAGGGGTTTCGAGCTTGTAGGGAAGATTCCGTGGTGCAACGGTAGCACGCAAGCCTAACACGCTTGAGGTCGCGAGATCAACACTCGCCGGAATCATTTTTTTCCATGTCGTTCAAATTTTCCCAATGTTACGAATTGAGAAATTTCTGGGTTTTAAGCCTCCTGGTGTTTGGTGTGCGGTAGTTTTTCGAGCAGTTTCTTGGCGCACGAACGCAAACAACTGTTGCGATCACAACGAGAAGAGGTGATGGTTGGTCTGCTACGAGTCAAGTCGTTTACGAGAGTTGCAAGGTATCATGGCCCGCGGGCCTTGGCCGCCAATTGGTGCTGAGTTGGTTTGTGTTTTTTGGGCAACTGAGGTGGCCATTTTTAGACCAACGACGGATTGGATGTCTTTTGAGTGCCTGGAGTTGAGTGCGCTGCAAGGAAATGGTCGAAGTGAGATGGTCGCGATAGGCCAATCAGGCTTCATTCTATTCCAGGCTGGTGATCGGAACCACTCCTTCCACCCAATCCCTGAGACCCAACAAATTATAAGTTGCGCAATCACGGACATTCTCATTTTTATTGTACCAAAACCACATCACCTTTACCACCAAGCCCAAGCAAGATGCTCGCCAACAAGCGCTTCTTCTTGGCCGTCGTCGCGCTCCTCGCGCTGTCGGCCGCCATCGCCTCCGGGTCCAACTGCGGCAGCAAGCGCGTGACCCGCGAGCGCATCGTCGAATGGCACGACAAGATTTACAGCACCACCAACGTGCTGGGCGCCCCCGGCGGCGGCGCTTCGGGCCTGCGTGCGTGGGCCATGGTCGTCACCGCCATGTTCGACGCCGCCAACCTGGCCGACGACTCGGAGTACGCCAGCTACCTGGACCTCTCGGGCATTCCCTCCAGCATCAACGTCAACAAGGCCGAGCCCCTGGCCGCCGCTGCCAAGGCTGCCGAGGTGGTGCTCAACGGTCTCATTCCGGCCAGCGCCAGCGCCGACGTCCGCAACATGCTCAAGTTCTCGCACCTGTCGCAGCTCAGCGTCCACCTCGGCGCCCTGCCCGACAACTACAAGACCGCCAACGGAATCGCCCTCGGCGAATTCGTGGGCCTCCGCATGCTCGCCAACCGCACCAACGACGGCCACCCGCCCAACAACTGCAACAACTGGCCCAGCCCGGCCACCGCGGCCTGCCCCAACTCGGTGCCCAACAGCACCTTCTGGTACAAGTACCAGTACGACCTGCCCTACTTCCCCGGCCAGCCCAACTCGCCCGGCTACCCCCAGGTGCGCCCGTTCGCCATCCCCGCCTACGACTCGGCCCTCTTCACCGTTCCCGCCCAGCCAGCCCCCGGCACGCCCCAGCACCTGTCCGACTTCGCCGAGACCTATGCCTTCGGCACCAGCAACGCCAGCCTGTCGGCCCGCACCGCCGAGACTGACGCCATCGCCCGCTTCCACGACGGCAACTTTGGCTCGCAGGTCGGCTGGGCCATGGACTATGTGTCGAGCTCGGGCATCGACGTTGACGGTGTGGACCTCCTCCGCGTGCTCGCCCTGGCCGCCATCTCGTCGCACGACGCCCATGCCACCCACTGGCTCTACAAGTACACCCATTACAACGGCCGCCCGATCGTGGCCTACCGCACCGTCACCCCCGACTCGCCGGCCCACGCCTACGTCGACCCGTCGTGGACCCCCGTGCTGACCACCTCGCAGACCCCCGAGCACCCGTCCGGCCACTCGGCCCGCTCCGGCGGAGCCTGCTTCGCCTTCATCAAGGCCTTCGGCGACGTGCCCCCTAACGGCAACTTCCGCACCATCTCCTACTCGCAGCCGCAGCTCGGCTCGCGCACCTACACCTCGATCATGCAGTTCTACCAGGAGGTGCACAACAGCCGCGTCTACGGCGGCGTCCACTGGCGCTCGGCCCTGATTGCCGGCCAGAACCTGGCGGAGCAGGTCACGAACTATGCCTTCGGCAAGATCCTGCGCCGCAACTAAGCAGTCAGAGTAAAATAAAGAACAAGGGCTGTTCGCCTTCATCATCCACTGCTGAGACTTTCCAAAGTGACGAAGGACCACACACACGCCGCACGCTGATGGTGATTGTTGCATCACGCCCTCCTGGCCGTAGAGGCCCGTGTGGTCGTAGGAACAGCGATCAGTTGGGCATGTAGGAAGATTCCGTGGTGCAACGGTAGCACGCAAGCCTAACACGCTTGAGGTCGCGAGATCAACACTCGCCGGAATCATTCTTTTCCATGCCGTCAAATTTTCCCAATTATGCTAGTCCCAATTGGAATTAGCTTGCTCTCGAAAACGTTGTCGACACGGTACGCTGGGATAGTATAGTGGTAGTACATTGGTTTGTGGTACCAACAACCCGGGTTCAATTCCCGGTCCTGGCAACTCCTTTTTTTTGCTTCTTCCACCCTTTTCCATCTTTCAGAGGGAGCTGGCATGCTTCTCCAGAGACTCGGCAAACACTTGTCCGATCTCCTCGATCATATCCGACACGATGGTCGAGCGGCCCTTCTTCGCGAAGGCGGCCTTGTTGGCCTCCCTTGTCATCAGGCAGCCCGCGTAGCCCGCCAGCACGTTGGGAGGGTACTTGAGCGAGTCCCTGCGCGTAGATCGCCATCGTTCCGCGTTAGCCGCGCCGAAAAGAGAGCGCGCTGATGGCCGGCCATCACCACGTACTTTTCCTTGTAGGCGTGCGCCCAGGAGAGGAATGTGCCGATCGAGCCGGAGGTGATGTCGCCCTGCCCACCGCATCTCCGCGGGCTTCCCGCTTCCGTGCATTCCACAACTGCAGTCCGGACGGCCACGGTTAGCAGCCGCGCGGGGAGGCCCCGTTTCGATCGAACCAATTGGTTCGATCAAGTTGTGCGTACCGATGCGCCCGTCGCTGATCTTATCGGTCTGTCCCTTCTGTACGATCGTCACGTTGCCCATCCTGTTGATCGATACGGGAGCCCACCGTCAGTCAGCTTGCAGCTGGAGAGCCAATGGATGATGTGGCGGCCGTCGTTGACGTACTTTCTGGCGAGGTCCATGACCGGCGTGTCCTCCTCGCACCCGGCCGCCTTGCACAGTCGCTGGTACTCGGGAAAGTTGGGCGTCAACACCACCTCCTGTCGTCGTTGCACACCAGAGAGAGGTTGAGTTAGAGGTTGCGGTGAACACCGCAGTGTTCCGCGGGGCAATGCCCAAAAGCGAAGGGCGCCACCTTGTAGCCCTCGACGAGCGATGGCCACACGCAGACGACGCTGGAAATGCCGTCCCCATCGATCACGAGCGGCATCTTTCGGTCCTTGGCCTGCTCGATTATCTTCTTGGCGCAAAGTTGCACTGCCTTGTCCCTGTACCGCGGTCCCCGACTCACCGTCAACACAGATGACACGAACTACATACACTACACGCACGACACACAAAGTGACAACTGGCTCGCGCGCGGGAGAGCCTCAGCACTCACCTGCCGAGGCCAGAGCCGAGGACGAGACCGGTGAACCTGGGCAGCCACTCGCCTATTTGCTCCATGGCCGCGTCGACCCCTCGCCTCTCCTCCTCCCTGCGCCGCCCACACGATCCGGCCACCCAGTCAGCCATCGAACCACGCGCGGCGTGTGCGGCGTGTGCAGCGTGTGCGGTGTGCGCTCGTACGTGAGGTCTCCGCCAGCGGAGGAGGAAGATGACGAAGAGCGGCTGGGCAGGAGCGGGTGGACGATGACGTCGGGGCAGTAGGACTTGATGGCGGTGGCGGCGGCCTGGGTGCAGACGACGTGGGCCAGGTCGGCCCCGGTGCGCAGGGCACTGATGGCCACGAAGTAGGGCGCCCCCGTGTACTCGGCGCTGCCGCCGAACACGCCCAACTTCCCGCTCGCCCCCTTGTGCAGGTGCTGCGCCAGCGGCGGGATGAACGCTCGAATCTCTTCAATCAGCGCAGCACGAGATGGACCGCTCATTTCAGAGATAAGAGATGTATGATGCGAGTGGCGTTGTGAGCAGTGGTGATGTGGTGAGGAATTAATAAATGAACGCAATAGAAACAGGCTAAAAAAAGTTTGTTGATTTATTTTTGTTTGTTTTTCGATGGATCTTTGTGCATTATTCGTCGACCAGGCCAACAAAGCCATGGCGCAGAGGTGGTACAGGGCAAGGTAAGGTGAGCGCCTTACACTTGGGAGTAGTCACCGGTGCCCGAGGCCTCGTTGTACACGAACAGGGTGCACGCTACCGTGGCCAGCTGTTTCCGTAAGGCGTGAATGTTAGCCGTGAACGCAACAAAGCGAAACGGCGACAAAGAACGAAAGCGGAGAATGAAGCCAAGGGCAAAAGTGGGTTCGTACGTAGAAGCCGATGAAGACGGAACTGTTGGCGATTGCGCCACCGCTGCAGTCGTCGATGATGCACAGAATCAGGTTCAGCGTGGCCAAACCGAGCAGGACAAGCGCGAACACTCCAAACTGAGCAGGGACAAGCGTCAGTTCTCGCTTTCTAGAGGGCAGAAAAGGAGACACAACGCAACAACGTCTCTGCAGCAGCGCCGTACCGCGAGGAGAAGGAGGCGGTGGCGAGTGAACACGCCCACGATTCCGCACACGACCAGAAGGATGGTGAGCACTCCCAGGATAATGCCATAGACGGCGCCAAAGACGAAGTTGATGATTCCCAATATCTGAAGCGATTGATTCGATTCAATCAGTGCCGGCGGAGGAGAGAGGCTAAGATTGTACGAATTCGAGTTTAGCTCCGGCGTACTAAGAGAATGCCTTGGAGGACCAGCAAGAGCAAGCCAAGGAGGCTCGGCTTGTGCACGTGAAGCCCCATGTTTGATGTTGGGGGTTGTTGGTCGAACCTTCTGGCGCAAGTAGTATGGGCCAGAATGTTTGGCACGCCACCATATTTTTTATTTTCATTTTCTTTTGTGGTTGGATTTTTTGGTGCTTTTTCTCGTCAGCAGCTTTTGCGGTAAGACACAGATCACACTACCACTTGGTTTTTGCCATTTGTTTGCCTTTCCCTTCTATCTTTCATCTCTGTCTCTCATCCCGCTTCGCAACCTATTATCTGCCGTTCATTCTCCAATTTTTCGATTCCATTCGAAAAATTTTGATCTTCAGCGCTAAAGCACTCGCACATCTTCTGCGCCCCTTCCGCCCACCTCTAGAGTGCCGTCAGTGAGCCAGCTCCACTACAAACATGATTAAGCGCCTGACCGCCGACTTGATTTCGCAAGCCCCGCAGTATCTCAACCCCCTGCGCGAACGAGAAATTGACCTCCGAGGTTCGTGACGCCTTCATCAGCCGACATTGCAATTCGAAGCGTACGCTAATGCTGCCCCCCTTTTGCCTCCTTGCTCTCCTGTCTACGCTCGGACCAATGTGCGCCTCCCCTCTCCCGCTCTGTAGGGAACAAAATTGCGGTCATTGAGAACTTGGGTGCCACTCAGGTACAACGCCATCTCTCTTCACCTTGAACATGGAGCTTCAAGCCGTGCGAATTTTTCATCGGCTTCTCGATTCTTTACTCCCGCGGCGCAGGACCAATTTAACTCGATCGATCTGAGCGACAATGAGATCCAGAAGCTGGAGAACTTCCCTCTTCTTCCCAAGCTCAAGATGCTTCTCCTCAGCAACAACCGCGTAGCCCGAATCGCTCCGGGTAACCCCTTCCCTCTTGTGGGCGAGCTGAGCTGAAGCGGCTGCTGCAAGCGCAGTTGGTGGCTGGGGTGGAAAGAGCCATGCAAGCAAGCCCAGTATCTGTTCTTATCACTTCTTTTTCTCTGCTTCTTCTTCTGCTCCTGTCCACCCAGGCCTGGGTGAACACATTCCTAACATCGACACTCTCATTCTCAGCAACAACAAGATAGAGAGCCTGAGTACGTCTCCCCAGTTCAACTCCTTGCAGTTTATGCCGTCGTGGTGATGCGTTCTTGCGCTGATGAAGGCGCCTCTCTCTCTCTCTCTCTCTTGCAGGCGAGCTTGATAACCTGGAAAGCTTCAAGAAGCTCAAGATGCTGAGCTTGTTGGGCAACCCCGTGACGCAAAAGCCTAACTACCGGCTGCACCTGATCGCCAAGCTGCCAGGGCTCAAGGTGATCGACTTCAGAAAGGTCAAGCCTCGGGTACGGCCTCGCTTCACCTCACCGTAATGGTTCCCACCAAGGAGGAGTGTCTCGGCTTACGCTTCTCTTTCTCCACTGACAGGAGAAGGCTGAGGCTCGTCAGGTGTTTGGTGTGGGGAAGAAGGGAGCACAGGTGACCACGTCCATTCTTCTCTCATCGTTATCTGCGCTGACCCTTTTGACACTACACGACGCTCCGTACAGCCAAAAGAAAAGGCAGAGTCCAAGGTCTTTGTGCCAGGTGAGCCCACCGAGGCCGAGCTGCAGGCGCAGAAGGCCCAGCAGGCCGAACAGATCAGGGTTCGCATCTCTCCTCTCCTTCCCTGGTCTTGAACATTGAGCTAACCTCCCTCTTCTCATTCTCATCTTCTCTCTCTCTCTCTCTGTGTGTGCGCGCGCGTGTGTGTATGGTGTTGTGCAGGCTGCCATCCAGAACGCGACGACGCTTGAAGAGGTGCAGGCGCTCGAGCGCTCGCTGCAAGATGGTAAGCTGCCGTCGTTGACGACAACGACGACCACGCAGACAACGGACAGCATGGAGGAGGCTGCTTGATTTTGAAGGAGGTAACAACATCAACAACAACACAAAACAACAACAACAACATCAAACGAAACCAACACCCTGCCACCGGGCGAGTGGCGTGGCGAGAACTGAGAAGGGAGAATAAACAATCTGCCGTCTTCTCCAACAACCAGGCACGCAGAGCGCTCTGCGTGCCTGTCATACCAGTGCGTGTCGGGGCAGTTCGTGGTCACTGCCTCAGGTTGTGCATTCGACACAAGATGGAGGAGCTGGGGGCGAGGGGTGGCCCAAGCCCGCCGCCATCGGCTCAAGATGAAGAGGCGATGAAGCGGATGATTGATGCCGGCGAAGACGAAGTCAACAGGGATCGCCGCTCGACGGCAACTGATGGCAGCCAGCGGAGAGGTTCAGGAAGAAAGCATCACACCTGCCACAACAAGCACCGTAAGAGAAGTAAATCGCATCGACGAAAGCGCAAATCGCGAGAAGATCGGGATTTGGAGGCGGGGCGAGGCGAGAGGAGGGAAGGGTCGTTTGATCGTGCAAGGGAGGGAGATGAGGATGGCGAGTGGTCGCCTGGCGAGGCCGGGCAGCTCACACCCAAACACATCTTCTACAACTACTACTCGACCGACGTGACATGGGAAGAGCACGAGGAATCGCTGGAGGGGGGCAAGTGGAGCGTGCGGGCCAAGAAGGCCGCGCTCAAGTTCGCCGTTGGCCACAAGGTCGAGCTCGCCATCGCCGCCCTCTGTCTGTTCATCCTCTTCCTTCTGCGCATCTCAGGTGCTCATCCCACGTGGCTGTGCTGTGCGCTACGTGCACCGAGAACTGACGCCCGCACACAACATACGACACACACGCACGCGCACGACGACACGACACGACACGCATGATGCACATGCACGTGTGTAGCGTGGCAGGAGCTGAAGTGGCAAGGGTGGTACACGGTCTTCGTGGTCTGCGCTGCCTTCTTCATGTTGGTCAAGAATGTGGCGCCCAACGACGTGGTGATGGTGTTCGTCACCACGCTCCTCCTCATACCCGGCATCATCACCCCCAGTGAAGCGCTTACTGGTGAGCCCTCCCCACACTCCCAACCACGCGCACCCAACGCGCTGACCTGGACTTTGTGTGTTTCCTCCCATCGATCAGGGTTCTCGAGCGTGGGCATATTGACGATCGCGGTGTTGTTTGTGGTGGCGGCCGGCATCGCCGAGACCGGCTCCATCGGCCTGTTGAGTGGTAATTACGGGCTACAACTCACCCGACTAGGGCCGAACACCACCACTGAGTGGCGTTTGTTTGTTTTTGTTGGGCGCGCAGAGTGGGTGCTGGGCAAGACAACCAGCGTTTTCGTGGCGCAGCTGCGGCTCATGTTGCCGCTCTCCTTCCTGTCGGCCTTCACCAACAACACTCCGCTGACCGCTATTATGATCCCTGGTTGGTATCAGCCTCTTTGCGCGTCTTGTTGTTGTTGTGCGTGTGGTGTGTGGTGTGGTGTGTGGTGTGTGTGTGCGTGAGAGTTTGCAAGGTAACGTCCAAGCTCAAACCTTTTAGTGATCGAGAAGTGGTGCCGCGCCACGGGAATCAAGCCATCGAAGATGATGATTCCTCTGTCGTACGCGTGCATTTTTGGAGGCACGTGTACGATCGTGGGCACCTCGACCAACCTCATCGTCGTTGGGCTGGTCGCCGGGCTCGACCCCACCCTCCGCTTCCCATTTTTTGAGGTGTGCTGCCCCTCTTGAACACTCCTTCTCGCTGCCGACCTGATCGCTCACGCGCGCGCTGCCCCTCAGATCGGGTATGTGGGCTTGCCGATCGTGCTGGTGGGCCTCACCTACATGCTCCTCATCTCGCCATTCCTGCTGCCCGATCGCGAGAGTCCGATGGACGAACTGCTCAGCCACCCGCGTGAGGTACATCGTGTCGTGTCGTGTCGTTGGCCGTGTGTCGTGCGTGTCTTGCCAGAGTGTAAATATAAAGCTGACCACCCTGGCTGACTTTTTGTTGTGCAGTACACAATCACAGTGATTGTGGAACACAATTCAAGCATCGACGGAAAGACTGTGGGCGCGGTCGGGCTCAACGCCGTCGACGGGCTGATCCTCGTCAACCTCATTGTACGTGCCACAGCTGCTCCCCTCTTAAACGCGCCTTGCTCCAGCACTAGAGTCGCACGATGCATTGTTCACTCTCGGCGACGTGGATTGCAGAGGCGGGGTGTCGACAACCCAAACGTGTCGGCCGAAACGACACTCAACTCGGGAGATCAGTTGATCTTTGCCGGCGACGTCGAGAAGCTCGTGGACCTCTTCATGATCTCGGGCATAAAACCCACCAACCAGGTGCCTATTCACGACACACACGACACACGACACACGACATACCTGCCTTTGTACTCATAACGTTTACTGTAGGACGATAAAATCGTGCATCCCTCAATCAATAAGGTCCTGGTCGAAGCCGTCGTCTCGCCCACGGGGTCGCTTGTCAACCGCACCATCGGTACGGCCTACCGCCCGCACACCACTCTTTCTCATGACCGGAGCCGGAACAAGCGCTTGTCGTCTGTCCTGTCGTGAACCTAACACCCACGCGCACGACACACATCACAATGAATGTATGAATGAATGTGAAGGCGAGGCCGATTTCGGGAAGCGGTACGGCGCGGCGGTGCTGTCGGTCGGGCGCGAGGGCGAGAAGATCCATTCGCACGCGCGCCTGGCGTCGTTTCGCCTACGCGGCGGGGACACCCTGCTCCTGGTGTGCCGGCCCGACCTGGCCTCGGGCCAGCACCACGTCGACGATCCGGCCACCGCCGGCCCCGACAGCGGCGGCGATTTCATCACCGTGTCGCGGGTGGGCGGGTCCAGCGGCGGCAAGATGGGCGTCGACTACGAGCGCATGTGCCTCGCACCGGTCATCGCCGCGATCATGATCCTCGTCTCTACGTTCGAGCTGACGAGCCTGCTCACCGCATCGCTGTGCGCAGCGTTCATCATGATCATCACCGGGTGCATGTACGTGTGTCGTCTTGTGTCGTGTGCATGTGCGCGTGCGGCGATGCGTGTGCGTGTCGTGCTGTGTACCTCGCTCACCACTTATCTCTCACTACCAGTTCGGTCGAGAAAGCAGTGGCGGCGACCAATTTCAGGCTCATCGCCATGATCGCGAGCTCCTTCGGCATGGCCATGGCCTGCGAAAAGACTGGCGTGGCCCAGATCTTGGCTCACGATCTGGTACCGCCACTCATCACTGAGCGATTGCACCCAGCACGACACTCACGACACGCACACAACACACGACCGCACACGCACACAGGTGTCGATATTCATGCCAGCCGGTAGCTTTGGGTTGCTCTATGGCGTCTACCTATCGACGGCTCTGCTCACCTCGCTGCTCAATAACGCCTCAGCGGCCGCATTGATGGTGCCCATCGTGTTCTCGTTCCAGTCCAGCCTGGTGACCGGCGTGAACGTCAAGGCCTTCGTCTACTGCATCATGGTCGGCGCCAGTGCGGACTTCTCCACCCCGATCGGCTACCAGACCAACCTCATGGTGTGGGGTCCGGGCGGGTACGACTCCACCCGGGCATTCTTTCTTCTGACTAGTATGCATTGCCATTCTTTTGGCTCAACCCAGTTTGTGGTGTGTGTGGTGTGTGTGGTGTGTGATCACAAACACCAGGTACAAGTTCATGGACTACACGAAAGTGGGACTGCCGCTGCAGGCTCTCCTCTCCCTGATCTCCGTGGGCATCGTCTACTGGCAGTTTGCATGATCTTCTGCCAGGCCTGATGCTGCCGGTGTTGTGTGGTGTTGGAATGTGTGGTGTCGGAATGTATGCACTGAAAAACGTTCAGGCGAAGAATGTACTGAAAAAGAAGAAAAAAAGTTACACGCGTACCGCGAAGTCGATCTGCACATCGACAACGTGTCTCTGTACGATTGGATTGAAACAAGATGGCGAAGGTGGACAAGGAGGTAAAGGCCATCAAGGCCTTCTTTGAAGGCTCCAGTACTCTCGAGAGTACGTTTTATTGGCCTTTTGATGTAATAGTAGATCGATTTTGGATTGAAGCTCTTGCTTGGAATGAATTGGGAGGCGTGGCACTCATCAGAACTGCACATTTCATGTTTTTGTGTAGAATTGCGTTATGATGAAGATGAGAGGAACCTGTACTTTGTCTTCAGCACGGGCAAGCGAAAGCTGCGCTTCCAGTTCTATGTGCCCTACGGCTACCCCGACGACGCCTCGCCCGACGAGCGACCTCTCCTCATGCAAGAAGAGGGCCTCTACGACGTACAACTCCATTATATTACTTTTTCTCTATTTATTTCTATTTATTTCGAATTATTTGTTATATTGGTTCATTATTCTTGTTATTTATTTGTGCTCTGGGCTGTCGCAGGAGCTGGTGGATCAGGTCAATGACTTCTCGCGAGAGGGCGGTTCCCTGGTCAAGGCCGTGGAGCTCATGCACAAACGTACTGCTTGCTGCCCGCGCTGCTTTGAAACGCATGTGCGTTGTTTTGGTCTGACGTACGTCGTACCGCGGCCAACAATAGTGTTGTCGAAGAAGTTTGAGCTGAAGGGCTCGCGCGACGTGAGCCAGCTCAGCGGCGGCAAGGCCAAGGAGGAGCCCATGAGCGAGGACGAAGACGAAGAGGAGCCCTCGGCCTCCGAATCCGAAGAGGAATTCTATGACGACGAGGACGAAGACGGCATGTCCAACGGGGTACGTCCCTCACACGCACCCAGCACATTGCACGCATGTCGTCATGGTGGTGGACGTCAGCTCACTCACGTCTTCTTTCTTCTTGCGTTCTGCCTTGCTTCTCGTAGAATCCTCGGCTGCGCAAGGACGTAGAAGAAACCGAGGCCTACTTTGGCAAGGGCTCCGTCAAGGTACTTATCCACCCACAGCACACGCACACGCACACGCACACACGCACACACGCACACACGCACACACGCACACGCCGCCAGCCGCGGCCCCAGCGTGCGGTAGCGACCTGAGTTGGCTCACAACCATCGCCATGATTTGATGCCAGTACTTCCCCGAGCTGTCGATGGTGCGGCTGTTCGTAGACACCGCGTTCCTTTCGGAGAGCGTCGCTTCGGCGTTGGGCATCGACTGCCACATCCCGGTCAACATCTCGCTTCACTTCGGCGAGGAGTACCTGGCCTCGCCCTCGCCGCCCACCTTTGAAATCGACCAGAAGCCCAAGGTACACAACAACAACAACAACAACGTTCGTGCGCTAGAGACCTCCTTCATTAACCACACGACACACACGACACACACACGACACGCGCAGGCCGAGCAATTTGGCCTGCAGTTCCAGATCACTGAGATCCTGAGGAATTGGATCAAGCAGAACTGGAGGAAGAGCGAATACGCAACCTCGCTCTCCACCTCGTCCGGCGGCACCACCAGCAGCTTCAAGCTGCTCGGCTCCTCCTCTTCTTCATCTTCCTCTTCTTCGTCCTCCTCTGCGTCCAGCAGCGGACTCCTGGGCAAATTCTTCAACAAGAAGGGCCAGCCGCAAAAGACTTCGGCGCAGCCGCAGCCGACGACGACGGCGACGACCACCAAGGACGACGACGGGGCCGCCGATGCCGTCTACGAGCCCGACAAGAAGTGGCCCGCGCAGCTGAAGGAGCTCGTGGACATGGGCTTCGAGCGCGACGTCTCCATGTACGCTCTGCAGACCACCCACGGAGTCGTCGTACGTCACCGCCCCAACTTTTTTTTTTTTTTCTTTCTTTCTTCCCAGGCCTTCGAGTGGCCACTCCAATTAGTTGACCTTCGCCTTTCTCTCTTTTGCCTTCTCTCTTTGTGCAGGCGGAGGCGCTCAATATGTGCCTGGACCCGCAGCCGTGGTTCAAGGAGGAGGCCAAGAAGATGGCCAAGAACAAGGGGCAGGTCGTCACCCGCGCGCTCTCCAAGTCGCAGGCCTCCAAGAGCAAGTACAACTTCCTCATTTCGCTCGTCATCTACATCCGCTCCCGTATTGGTACGTTCAGTTCGCACACGCACACGCACACGCTCCACCGCACACGCACACGCACCATCGCACACACACACGCACGAAGAGATTGACTGACCTTCTCTCTCTCTCTCTCGTTGCTGTACTGTACAGCCAACTGCAGTAACTACTGCCCGATCTGCGACCACAAGCACGAGTGCGAGGGCCTCAAGCCCATCGTGTGCGCCAAGCCCGACTGCGTGTGGCGGTACGAGGAGCTGGGCCTGGGCGCCAACGTCAACGCCGAGATCGCGCGCGCGCCCGAGGTCGTCGATCTCATGATCTCCCTGGCCTGCGCCGGCGTCAACTCGGGCCGCGGCGAGACCATCCTCGAGCCCTTCCCCATGGCCGACTTTGCCCCCAACGGCACCAAGGACCTCAACCGCCTCGTACCCACCCCCTCCCCCCTCACACGCCCACAGCCCTCACTCACTCGCTCACTCGCTCACGTCGTGCGCGCGCGCGTGCGTTGCGTCGATAGAAATCGGTGCTGGAGGGACTGCCGTCGGTGACGGAGCTGAGCAGCGCCACAGAGATTCGTCCGTTCCTGGACCTCATCGACCCCGGCCCAAGCGTACGCGCGCGCCTTCCGGCCACCCCGCCCCCCTCCTCAAAAGCAATGGTGCTGACGTGGACCGGTTGGTTGTGGTGCCCACACACAACACAGGGCGGCAAGAGCTACTACCGATTGGTGCGCTGGCTGCTCACGTCGAACCGTGCGCACTTGGTCAGGCTCAGCGAAGAGCAGGTACCCACCACCGCCACGGTTTAACCCTTCTCTCTCTCTCTCTCTCTCTCTCTTCGTTCTTCGTTCTTTGCTCTTTGCTCTTTGCTCTTGCCACGGGCTAAGCTCGTTCTCTGATCGCTTGCGCCGCGTGTCGATGGCACATACACAGCAAATCAAGGAGATGGCTACGCCCTACCAGTACATGCTTCTCACCTCAACGCCCGAGAAGGAGGCCCGCTTCGTGCAGCTTAAGAAAAAGTACCAACCAACCAACCAACCAAAACCACTCTGCTCGCTGCCGTTCCTGGCGTGCTGACACGATCTTGGTGGGTGGTTGCCTCAGGCACGGCTCGTTCATGGCATTCCACGGCTCGCCCATGGAGAACTGGCACTCGATCCTGCGTAACGGCCTGAGGAACATGAGTACTGCCCCACCACTCCACTCTTCTTCTCCTTCTTTTCAATCTCTGGCTCGCGCACGTCAAGTGTGCTGATCAATCCCCGCACCACCACCACCACTTCCAGGTAACACGAAGAACATGTTGCACGGTGCCGCACACGGAGCGGGCATCTACCTCGCGCCCAACGCTGGCACCTCGCAAGGCTACATGCGCGCCGGAACCGTACGCACTACTACCATCGCACACGCACACAATCGCACACTCCACGCGTGCCAACAACTCGGGCGTGTGACAGGGTTGGGCCAAGAGCCAGTTCGGCTCCTCGCTGTCGTGTTTGGCCATGTGCGAAGTGATCGACCACCCCGACCTCTACGGTCGCGATCACAACCAGTGGTGTTACGTCGCCAAGGAAGACGGTTCGTGTTCTTCTTCTTCTTCTTCTCCACATCTGCCACGCGTGAACCTCTTGACTGACGTCAGCCTACCTTTCCTTCTTCTACTTCTTCTTCTACTTCTTTGTCTGCAGATCACGTGATGACGCGATTCTTCTTCATCTACAGCAGCACCAGCTCCTTCCCCACTGCGGTCAACGCGCGCCAGCTCAAGGTGCCCGACATGCAGGCCTTCAAGACCGCCTGAGCGCAGTCTCTACCCCCCGCTCAACTCTGCGAGTGAACACGAACAGCACCGGCAACACCAAGAATAAAGAAAGAGGGCTTGCAAGCAACAAAACAATGACAAGCAACGTCAATCAGGCGAAGAGCGAGTTGGTGTTAAAAGTTGTTGTTTGTGTTGGGACGCAGCTGGTCCAGCTGTAGTGGTACATGGTGACATGGTGTAGCAAGAGCAGAAGTAGTAGTAGAAGAAGAGGAATGGTGGAGGAAAGAAGAGGTGGTTTTGTTTTGTTTAGGGTGCGGCGATGTTGTCCTCGTCGCCCACTTGCGCGTCGAGGAAGGCGAGAACGGTCTCCATCTTGGGCCGCTTGTCGGCGCTGGCATGCCAGCACTTCTTCATCACCTTCCTGAACTCGGGCTGGCAGTCGTTGGGGATCTGCGGTCGCTTGCCCTCGAGCACGTCGAGCGACACGCCCATGAAGTTGCGCCCGGCATAGGGCTCCTTGCGCGTCACCACCTGCCACATGATGATGCCGAACGAGAACACGTCGGCCCGCTCGTCGTACTTCTCCCCGCGGATGATCTCCGGCGCCGTCCAGCACGGCGTGCCGCAGCGGGTCATGGTGGCGTTCTCCTCCTTGATGCGCGCGAACCCGAAGTCGGCCACCTTCACGTTCATGTTCTCGTCCACCAGAAGGTTGGACGGCTTGAGGTCGCGGTGCACGATGACCGGGTGGAGCGAGTGCAGGTAGTTGATGCCCAGCGCCGCCGACCGCAGCATGCGCATCTTCTGCTTCCACGTGAGCTTGATGGTGTTGTTGGCCAGGATGTCCCTGAGCGAGCCCTGCTTCATGAACTCGGTCACGATGCACAGGTTGGGCCGCTTCACGCACGCGCCGATGAAGAGGACGATGTTGGGGTGGTGGAGCTCCGACAGGAAGGCCATCTCCGCGCGGAACTCGAGCATGCGCCGCTCGTCGAGCTTCTGCTTGATGAACCGCTTCACCGCCACGTCGACGCCCTTCCACTTGCCGCGGTAGACCACGCCATACGACCCCAGGCCGACCTGCTTGCCGATCTGGATCTCGTGGAAGTCGATGATCCAGCGGCACAGGTTGGCCGACGTGAGGAAGGTGTCCTCCTTGAACATCATGCCCTCGCCCACCGCGGTCTGCAGCTCATCGCGCCGGCCGCCGTCGCTGCTGGCCGAGCCGCTGCCGCTGCCGTCGGCGACGGGGCGCTCCTTGCGTGGGCCGCGGTCGTCGCCGCTGGCGGGGGAGTCGCCGGAGCTGGCCTCGCCATCGTTGGTGACGCCGCCGAAGAAGCGGGACTCGAGGCCGGGCACCTTGAGCTCGTAGAGCTTGGCGCCGTGGGGCGCGTCGGGCATCTCGAACTTGCCCAGGCGCACCAGCCGCTTGCTGACGTCGGGCGCCTCCTTAATCTGGCTGTGCACGGCGTGGCTCAGCACGATCTGACCGCCGTGGGTCATGGCCGTGATGCGCGCCGCGGCGTTCACCACCGGCCCGATGTACTCCACCCGCCGCGTCATCGGGTCGCGCACCACCTTGGGCGCGCCCACGTGCACGCCCATGCGCACTCGCAGGCCCTTGAACAGCACACGGTCGTCGGTGTCGCCCCACTCCTCGGCCGCGCCCGGGTGGTCCAGCAGCGCCTCGGGCCACTCCACCTCCAGCAGGGCCTTCTGCACGTCGGCGCACCAGGCCAGCGCGTCGGCCACCTGCTGGAAGGCCATACAGAACGAGCCCTCGCCGCTGTTGCGGTTGTTGAGGAACACCACCTCGTAGCCCCGGTGCCGCTTGAGCGCCGCGCGCAGGGTGTCGTTGTGGAGCAGCGTGGCGTCGCGCATGGTCGCGGCGTTGAACTCCCAGAGCGAGGCGGCGCGCGTGATGTCGGTGAACACGATCGTCACCTCGCCTTCGGGCGCGCGCACGCCGCCGCCGCCCGCCGCCGCGTGGGCCGAGTAGTTCTTGGACGCGTTGGAGGCCGACGAGGAGCCGGTCGAGGTGGAGGCCTGGGTCGAGGGCAGGCCCCACGAGCCGTAGATGTTCTTCTTGGGCGGGCGGGCGTCGGCCGAGTTGCCGCCCGACGAGGTCGAGGTCGAGGTGGTCTTGGAGGTGAACGAGACGCCGCCGGTGCCGGACGAGTCGCCGTTCATGGACGACAGGCGGGTCATGACCTCGAGGAAGGTCGGGCGGATGGTCGGGTCCTGGTGCCAGCAGCTGGTGATCAGCTCCTCGAACTCCTGCGGGCAGGCGCCCGGGGGCTCGGGCATCTTGGGCCGAATGTTGTCCCTGATCACCGCCACCGCCACAGCGGCCGGGCTGCACACGAAGAAAAATAAAGAAATGTTATTCACATGTAATACAAATATTTTTTAAAAAAATCATGCATGAATATAGTAATAATTATTTAAGATATATAGAGAAAAGATATGAAGCTATGGAATGTTGAGAATGTGGGGGGGCAAGGGGACCTCATGCCAAAGTAGGGCTGCTCGCGGGTGAGGAGCTCCCAGAGGATGATGCCGAAGGAGTAGACGTCGGCCAGGATGTGGTCCACGTCGGGCGACTCGTTGAGGATCTCGGGCGCGGTCCAGTGCACGCTGCCGGCCACGTCCTTGTCGCCCTTGCCCTTGACGTCCTCCTTGAACTTGGTCAGACCGAAATCGCTCACCTGCTCGTACCAAAGCACGTTAGCCTCGATTCACTGCGTGTCGTGCGTGTGCGTGTGCGGCGTGTGCGGTGTGAACTCTCACCTTGACGTTCCACTTGGCGTCGAGCAGCAAGTTGAGCGACTTGAGATCGCGGTGCACGATGCCCGACGAGTGGAGGAAGTGCATGCCCTTGGAGGCCTGGTAGGCCATCTTGCCCTTGAGCTGGAACGGAATGTCCGGAATCAACTCGTTGTGCAGCAACTGTTACAGTTACACGTCACACGCGCAAAGAAGCGTCAACCAAACCGCACACGATCGAAAACGCACCACACACGCACACACACTCACAATTGCACACGAAACGTACGTCGTAGAGGGAGCCGAGGGTCATGAACTCCATGACGATGCACATCTTGGGCGCCTTAGTCGAGGCCGCCATGAAGAGCACCACGTTGGGATGCCTCAACGCCGTCATCACCCGCACCTGTACAATCATCACCACCACCACCATCATCGTCAGAGACCAGTTGTCGTCATGACCATCAGCGGAGTGATAGGGCGCGTTGTGCGGCGTACCTCGTCCTTGAAGGACTTCTCCATCTCCTTGGTGATCTTCTCCGAGGTCATGACCTTGACGGCCACCTCGGTGCCCTTCCACGTGGCGCGGTGGACCTCACCGAAGCCGCCGGCGCCGAGGTGCTCGCCGAGGTCGAGCTCGCCATAGTCGATCTCCCAGTCGTCGGACTTGTTGCCCTTGCGGCGGATGATCACCATCAGCACCACGATCAGCAACAGCAGTGAGCACAGGACAATCACCGCCACCGGGATCACCACGCCTGTTTAACAATACGTCGGACATAAAAGAACGAAGAATGAAGAACGAAGAACGAAATGGTGAGTCTAATCGGACATAAATGATGACACAAGGCAATGGGCTGAGCCAGCGTACCGAGAATGATTCCGAGCGGGCTGTCGGATCCGGAGACAAAGTCCTCGCAGTATGTGCCCTCCCTGTCGGGGTTGCACACGCACTTGTTGTTGGTGCAGACGCCACCGTCGCCGGAGCAGAGCTGGCCGTCGTTGATGCAGTTGGAGAGCTCGCTCACGGCCACCCCGTTACACGTGAAGGCCTTGAGCTGTTCGAGGAAAGAGCGGTTGATCGTATCCACGGTCGTCGGCACCACCATACCCTGTCTGTGCGTGTGGCGTCGTGTGCGGTGTGTCAGTAACCGTCGTGTGCGGTGGTGCATGTGCGCGTGCTGTGTGTGCGTGTACGGTACCGGTCAGCGTTCTGGAGTGCGATGGGATCAGTTTGGCTCCAGTAGAAGAAGCTGGCCAGAGCCGCAGCCTTGGCGCACTCCTGCATGCTCTCAGACCGGTACACAAACGAACCAAACGTCGCCAGCGGCCAGCTGCTCGCTCCCGTTCCTGTTTGCAGGTGCGCATGCGCGTGCGGTGAGCAACGGCTGGATGCGGCGCAAAGGAGCGAAGGAGAAGACAAACCGAGAAGGGCGGAGTCAAAGGCAAGGCCGGACCCGGCGCGGCGGCTCGGGTTGGTGGACACGGTCTGGCCGGCCACGTAGTCGTTGAGCGCGCTGGTGAGCGTGGTGACAGAGGCCTTGACCACATTGCCGGCCGAGTTCACCAGCGAGGCCGTTCCGAGGGTTCGTGTCTGTGCGCGACCGTCACTGTGAGCAATGCGCGATCGCACGCACAGGCACAGACGACATGCAACACACTGTGTAGGCGCTTACCAGCGTGATATCGTAGCCATTGGCGAAGCAGAATGCGTTGCTGGTGGCGCTCAGGGTGCTGATCATCTCTTCGGGGCTGTCGACGATGATGGACCTGCTCGGGCCGGCGCCCTGGACAGGGAAGGTGGCGGAGGGTCCGGGGACCACCGCCGCCTCGAACGCGGACACGGTGCGGGCCAGCACGGTGGTGAAGAGCTGGGTGAGGTCCGACGCGACCGAGGAGGTGATCACCACGATCGGCGCGTTGGGCAGCGCGGCGGCGGTAGCGGCGGGGTTGAGATCCTTGATGCGCTGATCGTTCCACATCGTAATCTGATTGAGGTAGATCAACGCGATGGTGTTGAAGTCGAGCACCAGCTCGAGTCCGCCGTCGGTCACGTTCTGGAGGTTGAAGGCTGCACGGACGTGGCGTGAGTGCTTCGGAGGTAAAATATCGCACATCGGAGCTAAAAAAACGTTGGTGTGGGCAAGTACCAGGCACAAAGGCGTAGACCGAGGAGGGCATGAGCGCGACGTCGGACATCTCAGTGTACCAATCCTCGCTCAGGCCGTTGCTGCTGATGCCGAAGTGGAGGTTGTACTGGCTCAGCTGCTGCTTGGCCTCAGTCGACGACGTCTGGTAGAACTTCATCTTGTTGGTGGCCGACGTGCGCGCCACGCTCCATGCTGTGTAGAGCGGTATCGGCGCGCCTGCGCCGACCAGGTAGGCCGTTTTGTAGGCCTGCTCGCCTCGGCAGCTGATACCGGCCAGCGCGTCGATGACTGCCTTGCGTAGGGAGACGTCCAGCGGTGCGTAGTTTGAAGTGGTGGCCACCTCCGAAGCCCTGTATGTGCACGTGGCGTAACATGGTCGGAGTTAAAACTAACAAAGTTCAATAACAGCTCTGAGCGCTTGGTAAGGAGACGCACGCGTCGTTGGTCTGCGTCCAGGCCACGAACTCCATCAGCTCCTGCACGTTGGAGCAGTCGGAGAAGGGGGTGTCCTTGTTGAGGGTGAAGTAGATGATGTAGGAGAGCGGCCACGAGTTGGTGCCGTTGGCGTCGACGACGTTGATGGTGAAGATGCCCTTGGAGATGTAGTCGTTGAACGTCGCCAGCGCCGATTGAACCGTTGATATATTGGGTTGGACCAGGACCCCGGCTTTGTTTATCATGTTCATGTACGGCACCTTGTACTCGACCGCGCCCGGCAGACTCATGTATGTCAAGCTGTTGGGTTGTGTCTGTTGCAATAATTTTTGCAGAGTCAGCTCTTTGCACCGCACACGACGCAACACGCGCACAACACCGCACACGCGCAAAGGACGTTGGTCCGTACCTGGAGGAATTCGACTTTCGTATCATCAAAGACGCCGTTCTCGAAACTCCTGCCCTGCAGGGCCGGCGTCATGTTGGCCCACAAGTACTGGGCCGCGTAGAGGGCGGTCTTGAAGTCGGGGCTGAAGCTCTGGAGGGCCTGCTTGACCACCTCGGCCACGGAGACGTTGTTGTCCTCGTGGTAGCCCAGGATGATGGGCGCGAACGGCAGCTTGTCGGCCACACTGGGCGGGTTGCGACTCTTGATGCGGGTGTCGTTCCACACCGTGATATTGCCAGCCCAGATCAGACCCAGCGTCTCCCTGTCGATGACCTACAACATTTTACATCGTTCGGAGTTAAAAATAATCGATGCGCAGGTCTTGTTTAGGCCAGTAGGAAACAACAGAAAAATGGCCATAGTAAAAGACAATACACGTGTTACTGAGCAATATGAGGAGGCCATCTATCAGACCTCATTGAAAGGAAGGGCGAGGTAAACGTACCAGGGCGGGGTCGTTGGGACCCAGGGTGGAGATGTTGTAGGCCATAACCAACGCTTGGCCCACAAGGGGGAACTGGGCCAGGCCGTAGAAGGTGATCAGCTCTGGCGGCACGCCAGCGTCGAGCGCCAAGTAATCCTGACGACCGGGTTGGGACCCATTGGTGAGACCAAGAACGAAAGGCGAAGACCGGGGGGGGAAGGGAGAGAGAGAGAGAGAAAGCGAAGCCTTACCACTTTGCCCTGGATGTAGAGAAGGGTGGCCGGGTCGTTGCCCATCGGGCTGTAGGCTTGCCTGTACATCGAGAAAGGGATTGCGGGGGGGGGGTCAGAAGAACGAAAGGGAGGACAAAAGACAGAAAAGAGAGGAGGCCTACGAGACATCGTCACGGGTGTACTGGTAGGTTTTTGCCCACACGTCCATCACGTCGACGGCATTCGGACTTCCAGCCCCGATCAACTGGACTCCGTGCGCCGCCCCTGAATTGAGTTGAGGTAGGGTGGGTCAGTGGCGTTCGGTCGGTTACAAAGAAGCGAAGACGAAGATGGAAATCGAAAAAGGGGGGGGGGCGTACACTGCGCCGCGAAGCAATGCACCAAAACGAAGCTGAGCACGAGCGTCGCAAGAGTCCGCACCGTCATCACCATGTTTGCCGGCCGCGCCTTGTGTTGTCGGTTGTGTGTGCTTGCCTCGGCCGCGTGTTGAACAAAGAAGAAGAGGAGGACCGGTACGGAGAGAGTTCAAAAAAATCGCCTCGGAGCGCCATGGTGATGAAGAGGCGACTGGGGTACGTGCTGGTGGGGCGCATGGGTGATGGACCAGGTTGAAGGGCCACGCTCACCCCTCCGGATTTGCTGCCATGTCCCGATCGGGCGCTGCATGGCACGATTGGTTCCCGTTTTGGCTCCGCCTGCTTTCAACCAACCAATCAGACCGCGGGAAGACTGGAATGTCGCGTTTTGGACTGCGAGACACACCGGAGTTAATTGATCACCCGGACAATGTGTGTTGGCAACCGACACACCGACGCTACATAACATCATAACTTACATTCCTTGTTTGCGATTGGCCGCTGGTCGGGTTGCAAAGGCGAAAATAGCATTTCGTTGTTACGGCCAACCTCATCAACAGGCAACCGTGTCGAGCACATGGTCTTTGAGGGTTCCCTGAGCTGGCGAACAAGGCGCCACCAACACCGGGGTCGGTGCGCACTCCTCTCACTGCGACGAATGGCCGGAAGGTCCGTGCGATGATCCCTGCGCGTGCGCGTTCTGCGTTCTGTGCGCGTGCGTCATCAGGCGCTCCGATGTGCCCGAGCGAAAGTCAAGCACCAAGCACCCAGACACTTCACCCCACGTAAAGCTTTACTCTGAATGGTCGATTGCTGATGGCGGCGCGATCAGTGTAGGGAGAGGGGGGGGGGCACTACCCGGGTCCCTGTTCCTTGTTCGCCGACACTAACTCGACTCCCTCGCGCTCCTTGTGGCACAAGGACCGCTGGTTAGAGGGTGGCTGATGAAGGGGAGGGGTGGGTGTGGGGGTCGCACCAGGAGAGCGCGATGCTGCCTGGAAAAGTGGTGCGCCTTGGACCTGACTCGTGTGCTCATCTTCGCGTATCGCTTCATCAGCCTCTCGACGTCCAGCAGTTCACCCTACGAACAAAGAACGTACCACGTAAGCGCACACGCGCGTGAGAATAAGAACACATCAGCTGCGCGCACGCGGACGTTCAACATTGATTGATTGCGTAGTGCGTGGCAGCGGTACCCGCTCGAGTTCGGTGTGCAAGAATCGTAGGATTTGGTCCATCTTGAGCGTCTTGATGTGATCCGCCAACAGCCCCAGTAGGGCGATGGTCATAATGAAAAGCGCGTCAAAGCCCTAAAACAAACCATGACGACACACACATGACACACATGACACACATGACGCGCGGCATACGCCCTTGAGTGAGCTCAGGAGCAACTCGGCGGAGTCAGGAGCGGGGGACGTACGTCGACAACGAAGGCGTCGAAAAAGCGGACGACCGCGGAAAAAGGTAGGCTGTGGGTGAACAGCGTGAGGAACCACCGCGCGGCAAACATGTTGGTGTCGATCTCCTCTGTACTCTGTTGGAGAGGTGCCACAAGGCGAGGCGTACGCGGGCCTCTGTGAGTACAAGGCATCGATGATAGTGGTGATGATACCGGCGATGACCACGTACAAGGTGCCGGGCGAGGTCGGGCAAAAAGACGGCCAGGAGCCGGTCCAAAACGTGGAGGCACTGCTTGAGGCCGAGTAGCGAACGCACGTACAGCGGCTCCAAGTTGCGGTCGAGGGTTAATCGCACAAACACCCAAAAAGCCTGCAAACCACCACCACCGCCGCCATCATCAGTCGTGTGTGCCGTGTGTGCCGTGTGGTGGCCCGTATGGTGGTGTACCTCTTCTTCGGGCATATGCATCAAGAGAATGGCTGCGATGGACATCATACCGCCGCAGTAGCCCACAGTTGGATTGTACACAGAGTAGGCCTTTTGATCGATCAAAGTGTCAGCTCCCATTCGAGTTCGTAACGCGCGAGGTGCATGTGCGGTGTGTGCGGGGTCGTAAGTACCAACAACAGGTTGCGGAGAGACTGCTGGCCCGGGCTATGCGCATCCTTGAAAAGCACGTGCTGGCGAAAGGTTCGGGGCAGGTCCCTGCCGATCCTCTCCACGCACTGGCTCTCTCCGTCGAGCATTGCCTGAAGACATGAATGTAAAGCATGAGGCCCCACACACATGCGTGCGTGTGCGTGTGCGTGTGCGGTGGTGCGTGTGCGTGTGCGTTGGAAGTTGGCGAACCTGGTAGCAGCCGGGTCCATGCGCGGCGCGCAGGTCTGCGGACAGCGTCAGGCGCTGCCAAGCCTGGCCTCGGAGGGAGTTCGGGATGCCCTTCAGCGCGAGCCTTCTCAACTGCGCAGCCCGAACAGTGAGATGATTGAATAAGAGGAGCACGAGGCTTGTGAAGGAAGTGCGTGTGAAGGAAAGAGGATTCGTGTGTGTGTGTGTGTGTGTGTGTTGCACGTGCGGTGGCTACATGAGAGAGAGAGAGAAGAGGAAAGGAAACGTACAGTCTTGATCTTCCAGTGGTGCTTCTCCCATGACCCCAGCAGCTCGGCCCACTCGGGCTCGCGCTTCGCCTCCTTGCGCCGACTCACAGCCTCAGCTTCGGTCTCGCTGCGCGTTGGCACGGGGAACGGGTGAATACACGGCCGCACCATAAGCAGGCGAAGAAGTGGAGGTGTAGAAGGTGAAGGGTACCTGCTGTGCTGAGCAGGGCAGACGAAGCCAAACCGAGCGTGCACCCAATTGGCAGTACTGTTGCCGGCAACAGCGAGCACTGCCTCTTCCATATTATCCTCTCACCTGCCTCTTCCAGAACCAACAACACTCCAAAATGTCAGAAAACGCTCCCTTGTTGTTCATCTTCACAAAATCTTGGAGCAAGCAATTCAACGAATTCAAATCCTCCTCTTCCTGTACCTGGCTTGTTGTCTCTAACAGGCAGTGCCCATAGGTTGCCTTCGCTCTATTGCCTTCCATACCGAGCAAAGTACTTCACAGTCGTGGCCGACAGGCCAAAACCGTTCCTTGAACACTGTTCTTTGCTTGCTTCCGCCTTCACCAGTTTAGCCCGAAATTTCGCTGTTGGCGCTGCGCCAAATACCACGCGTGCCATCACGAGGCAGCCAACAACAAGACGACGAAGAGAGAAAACGCGAGGATGCGTCATGTTGCTGATGTTTGTGGTTGAACACAACGTGAAGGCACTGTGCCCTGACATCAATGCCGCCTGACTGACTCGCCTTACTTGAACTTGAGGATGACGGGATCGGGGATCTCCACGTCATTGCCCTCCTCGTCTTCGGTCAGGACCACAATGTACATGTGCTTGTCGGTGTCCTGTGGGGCAGAACGAAACGAACGTCAGATCGTTGCATCATCAAGACGAAGAACAAAGCCCGATGTTGATACAAGAAGGAGATGATGATGATGATGAGACGGGAGTGGTACCTTGAGGTCGTAGGAGGGGACACTCGTGCGCACAAACTCGGAGATCTTGGTGCCGAGACGGTTCTTGTGGTTGGGGAAGTACGGGTTGTACACGAGCGTGGTGCCGCAGCTCACGCTGGTCACCTCAAGGTTGTGCTTGGCCTGCAGACACACACCAGCCATCAAAGTGTCAAAAAACTTCCCATTAATTCGACACGACACGACACGACACGCAACACGACACACAACGTGGATTACGCACCTTGAAGAGATCGAGGAGCTGCTGGAACGTGATGTCGCCCTCGTCGATGACGAAGTTGTCCCACAGGGTCCAGCCCTCGGGGTAGTACTTGAGGCCCTTGGCCGGGTCGGACTTGTTCTTGGTGCAGGGCATGGGCTCCGACTGGACGAACGAGGGCAGCGCCAGGTTGACGAAAGAGTTGCGGTAGCGCTCAATGGGCACCGACGCGCCCTGGACGACCTTGTACAGCTCGAGGCCCACGAGGCCGGTGATCATGGCCGTGGTAGTGGCGATGGCCGGGATGATGCGACCAGCGATCTTCTTGGTCTTGTGGAAGTCGGCCGGCTGGATCTTGTAGTTGGCCGCACGCAGGTTCGACGCCTCTGTAGTCCCATGCAGGCGTGGGCGTAAGCAAGGGTGGAACTAACAAGTTCACGTACGAACGCAAGGGTGGTGAAGGGATGACGTACGGGTGATGAAGGAGATGTGGTAGTTGGAGTCGTCGTCCTTCTCGAACTGAGCCGGCTCGAAGCAACGACCGCTCTCGCCGACGGGGTACTTGGCCTTGTCGAGTTGGCCCAACTCGGCGATCAGGTTGGCGACCTTCTGCTCGTCGTCTTCGGCTCCCTCCTCGGTGGTGTCGGTTTCGCCGGACTTGATCTTGACTCCCTGCTGAGGGGAGAAGGGAGGCACGTGCACCTTGCCCACCATCTCCTTGACCTGATCCTTATCTGTGCGGAGGCCGGGACATCAACAGTGTCAGAACCCAGAAACCGGAACGAACGAGCCAAAGCTGTATAGGCGAGGAGTCGCGTTACCCCTGACTTGCGGGACGTGGAAGTTGAAGGCCAGGAGGTTGGCAGCGGCAATGATGAAGTCCAGGTGGGTGGCGTTGTTCGGGTCGAACTTAAGAGGCGTGGGGGGACGCTTGGGACCCGACCAGAAGGGCGCGCCTGCGTGATTTAAAGAGAGGATGAGTAAACCTTCTTCCACAATCGAGTGTCAACCACAAAGCGAGTGACTCTCTCGCATTGTCAGACTCGGCCTTAGGTCCACATTGAACTAGTTTGATATTCTTGTTGTTATTTTAATAGTTATTATTGTTCAGACTATCTATCTTCTCCTTACGGATCATCATGGTTGGAGGAGAGCTCCTGCTTGACGAACGGTGGGGACGAGCACATGAACCAAGAGGGAGGGCGTACCGGTGGAGGTGGTGGCATCGAGAGGGAAATTGTAGAGCAGCTGGGCGATGGTGTTGTGGAATAGCTCCTCGAACTGCAGACGAGCCCACTCAACGCAAGTCTGGAAGTCGGCCTTGCCGTAGTTGTACAGCTTCAGCAGCTGCAGGCACGACTGAAGCCTCTCCTTCTTGGCCGCGTAGGACTCGACCTGCTTGATCCTGTCCAAGAAGTCGCTGCCCGAGACCCAGTTGTTGGCGTCCTCGACGGCGTTGGTGAAGTAGCCCGCGAACTTGTCACGCCCCCACTGTTGACGAAAAAACGTTCGAAGGGTGAGCAGCTCATTTGAAATACGAGCTTCGGGGACGCGTCGGTGTGTACCTCGATGGTGTGCTCGATCTGGTGAGGGAAGTTCTTGAGGGTGCACATGGGGATGGCGGTATCGGGAGGGTCGCGGGACGAGCCGTAGGACTCGGTCATGCGGGGGACGATGACCTGCGAGTTGGCCTTGGTGCCCAGGGTACCGGACTCGAGGAGCGGCTTGAGGTAGCGCACGCACTGCGAGTCAACGTAGAGACGAGCCTTGATGTTGTCGAGGGCGTTGACCACGAGGTCCTGGCCCGACCAGAAGGTGTCATTCCAGGTGTCTTCGGTGTCTTCGCCCACGGGCACCTCCGAGGCCTTGATGCGGAGGTTGGGGTTCATCTTCTTGGCGGCGGCCGAGGCGCAGGCTGACTTCATCTTACCGATGTCCGAGTCCCTGAAGAGGAACTGCCTGCTGAGGTTGCTCTTCTCGATGTTGTCCATGTCGGTGAGCGAGAGCAGGCCCTCCTCGCCCGCGGAGATGCCCATCAGCGCAAAGTTCTGTTTTCCGTGAGCGCGCGACGGCAAGGCAAGAGGTGAGTAGGTGCGTCTGAAAGCTCGTGTTATGGAGTGGAGGGGAGGGGTGAAGAAATACCTTGAGGAACTCGCAACCAAGAGCACCAGCACCGACCAGGAACAGCTGGAGGTTACCCAGCTGCTTCTGGAAGTCGGTGCCAAAGACCGCGATCTGGCCGTCGTAGCGGGTGCCTTCGAGCTTGGGCACGCTGACGGGCTGCTCGGGAAGGCACTCAAGCGAGTCGAAGTAGAACCACTGGGTGACGGGGTTGAACTTGCCCGTGACCTTGATCACCTCCTGGGCCACGATACCACCGACAAAGGCGGCCATCGGGTTGAGGTTACCGCGAGCAGTGAGGGCCAGCTTGGAGATGAGGTTCTCATCGATCTCCTCGACCTTGTGGGTGCCCTGATTGGCGTTGGCGTTGAGGTCCTTGGCGATCTGGACGACCTCGGCGGCGTGCTCGGCATTGCCGGGCTCGGGCAGAGCCGAGTGCTTGGCCTGGAACTTGTGCAGCGCCTGGAAGCCAAAGTGCAGCTGCTCGGCACGACCGAACTTGGCAAAGTCGGAGATCATGAACTCGCCCGGGTGCTCCAGCGACTCACGATAGGATTTCTGATTGAGTGCATTGCGTTGGGGCGCGTAAGCTTACCGTGGAAAACAAGACAGGCTGCAGGCTGTAGAGAATACGTACGAAGGACACGTGCTCCTCAACCTTGATCTGGTTGATCAGGCCACCGCCGCTGTAGGGCTGGAAGTTGGTGGTGTCCAGCTCAACCTCAAGACCGTAAAGACCTAAGCGTTGACCAACGGATTGAGTCAGTCACCGGTGGCGCGCGTACATAAATGTCACACACGTGGCCGCGTACCCTTAGTCGAGAGGACCTTGACGGCGGCGAGGGGGCTGACCTCCTTCTTCTCGCCAGCCTCTTCGCTGTCCCTGTCGGGATTGTTAATTTCCACCATGCCCTTGACCTCGCAGAACTCGACGTAGTCGCCCTCGCCCAGACCGTGAGGCTTCTCCTCGTGTGTGGTGATCACAGCAGGGTTGCTCTGTAGACACGTGTAAAGCAACAGACGCGTCAGCATGCAGTCGTTCAGCGAAAAGGAGCTGTTGGAGACACACAAGCGAGCATTGTGCGTACGTTGGAGATGGAGGTGATGATGGCCTGCCTGGGCTCCTCGCCAGTCTTATCGTAAATGACGTGCTTGGGTCCGAAATCAGAGAAGACGCTGCAGAAGAGACCGCGGATATCGGCCTTGATGAAGACAATGGCGGGGTCATGCGCATGGCAGTACTCGCTGACGTGCAGCAGCTTCTCCTCCGAAGTGTAGTCGACGCACACCACGACCTGAGACACGACGGGGTCAGACCAGTGGTTTGAGAAGAAAAGAAGTGAACGTTACCTGGAACTGGTTGAGGTAGTCGTCCGTGAGGGGCTCAGTGGAAAGGTTCACTTTGACGTAGGGATTGAGTTCGGCCAGCTTGGCTTTGGAAGCCTCAGCTCGGTTCTTTCCAATATCCGCCTCAGTGAGGTAGAACTGTTCAACACCAAAATACCAACAGATTAGACAGACGTACTTCGCCGCAGGAAGCATCCATCTTTGACACAATTCATTGAAACAATAATTCAAAGAGTACGCTCGCGTGCAGGTGCCTTTTTTCCTCAATTTATGCAACCGATTATAGCGCGAACGATATGGGGAAGGGCGATGCGTACGTGAGAGGAAAGATCGATCCAGTCGACCTTCTCAGTGTCGTGGATGGTGACAACACCCAGACCAGTGAGAATGAGGTTCTTGGCGATCTCGGCACCGAGGCCACTGATGCCCGAGATGAGGACCTTCAGGCCCATAAGCTTCTTCAAGTTGCCGGCACCCAAGATGGGGATGATGCGAGACATGAGATCAGTGTCCACACCCTCAGAATCGGTGCTCTCCTTTACAATCACCGGCTTATCCATTTTGTGAGGTTCTATCGTATATCTGCAGTCATGATGCGCATTGAGTCAGTGAGGGTCCATTTGTGAGGTTCTTGATACTGCGGTGCGGTTCTTCACTCGCCACCTCACTCTGCTGCGCTACCACCAGGCGCAAGTACAAGCAACACTAACCTTTACAGACGAGATGTGTTGGATTGATGGTGATGTGCAGCTGGCGTGATCGATGTGTGCCTGCCTGTTGGGCGATAAAGTGGCTTGCGGCGGACGCACAAAGAAAATGGTGTCCGGCAGTAACCGGGCAGAATGACTTTCCGTTAAATTCCTTCTGCCAACCAACCAAGAAAAAGGAAACCATTTTCCTTTTCTTTTCCTTGGGCAGAAAATGGTGCTGCCAAGTCGGTACGCACATCTGCCCCCCCAAGCCCTCCGGGTTCGAGCAGTGAGGTGCCAGCGGAACGTTTCTCCTTCGAGGGCGACGACCACCGGTCGGCGTGGTCCGCAAGGATGAACAAGCAACTTTGGACGAGAGCAAGCGCAGCAGTTCTTCCGCGGTCAGGACCAACGACAGTGGCGCCAACACGCAGCGAGAAGGCTCTTGGCACGGCCAATGGCCACGCGGGGATCTGTGACGCAAGCGGGTGAACGGCTGCATCATTGTCCCAAGAGCACTCTAGTCCAACCACTACACTAGCAGCAGCAGCATTCATGCTGCGGCATCACACCTTCGCGCTCCTTGCCAGCCTCCTTTTTGTCCAGTGGTTCGGCCTGTTGGGAGGTTTGTCTCGCCCACTACGCTCCTCATCATGTTGTGGCTAGTGCTAACGTAGCGTTGCAGCTCTGCAGTTGAACGGTGTGGGCGGCCTCACCCACACGAGCATCTATGAGACATGGGCCAGGGACTACCGCTTTGTGCGCGACGACATCAGGTACTTCACCCCAGCCCTTCTCTGCACAGGATCCTGTCCTCCCTCTGTTCTTTCTCACCTCCATCTCGCCCTCATCTCACCTCCATCTCTGCTCTGCTCTCTCTGTCTCTCTTTGTCAAGCCTTGTCTACCAGGGGATGAACGACACCGACGCGATGACCGCGTACACAGCCGGGCTAGCGGTTCGTGAGCGTTGTTGCGCTATTTGTATCACCCGGGCCGCGCAGGTGACATGCACTGACGGGGTGGACATGTGTGGGTAAATGCTGTCGTGGTCTGCCGGCGCGCACGCGCAGGACTTCTGGAGCACCGACCGAGCCATCACCGCCGACGACCTGCCCGAGATCGACCAGGTGATCCAGTTTCCCGTCTTCGCCCAGGCTCTCGTGATAGGCTACAACGTGCCAGCAATCGCCTCCGCCGGCGATCCCAACCTGGTATGCTTACACCACACAGCACACTTTCACAATTGCTGCGGCTATGTAATACTCTTGTTTGCTATGTTAATGCCATGTTGTCATGTCAATGTTATGGTCTTTGTGCAGGTGATGGATAGGGAGACAATAAGCCGCATCTGGACCGGAGCGATCACGATGTGGAACGACAGCGCCATCCAAGCGCTCAACCCGGCCGTAGCCGCCCGGCTGCCGGCCGAACCCATTACACTGGGCTACGGACCCGACCACCGGCTGGCGATCATGAGCGTGGCCAAGGCCGCCTTGAGCAGCTTCAGCCAGGAGTTCCGCACGGCCATAGCCGAGGCCAACGGCTCGTTTGCCCTCATGGCGCCCGCGAGGGAGGGCCGAGCGTTCGACGCCGGCTACAGCAGCTCGCTTCGCATCGAGTGGATGCGGGTACGTTGCACACATCTTGTCTTGGGTGGCCACATCGAGCTCCAAGGCTAACGATCACTTACCTCCTTCTTTCATTTCTCTTGCCCATGAAGGCACACCCCAACTGTCTGCTGTTTCTTCGCTATGCCACGGCAGTCGGTGGTGGCGTGCGATTCGTGCGTATTATCAACAAGGCCGGGCGCCAGGTAGAGGCGAATACGACCTCGGTCCAAGCGGCCATGGCCGCCCACGCGACCCAGTTCGCCGAGGGCAATGTGGTCGCGGACATCACCGACGCCGAGGGCCTGGCCTCCTGGCCGTTCGCCTACATGAACTACGTCGCCGTGTGGAAGAACTGGACCACCTTCGACTGCACCAACAGCCAAGAATTACTTGGCTTCCTTGCCTGGATGCTCACCAATGACGAGTACGGCGACAGACCAACACACACACGCACACACACACGCACACACACACACACACACACACACACACATTCACGCACACGCACGCACACGCACAATCTCACACCGAGCAGGGCCTCGCAGGTGGTGGAAGGCATCAACTTCGTGCCACTCGACTTGAGCGTGCGCAAGAGCGCGCTCGAGCTGCTCAACCAGGTCCAGTGCAACGGAGAGGGGGCCTTCGGCAAGGACTACCTCATCGGCACGGGACCATCGCTCTCGGTCTACACCTCGTGGGCCGTCGCCAGCGGCGCGCAGGAGGGCGCCACCATCAAATTCTACCTCTCCAATTCGCTGCTGGCCAAGAATCGCATGGCGACCAACAGCGTCGACTTTGGCGCCACGAGCAACGGCCTCTCCGAGGAGTGGTACGCTTCGACCGAAGGCTTGGCCCTGACCCCAGTCGTCGTCTACGCATTCGCTCCAGGTACATATACAATCAATGCCATTGGCCCATATTATACCATAACATATTGACCATTTTATTGCATGCAGGATACAATGTGCCGGAGGTGAACAATATGATGCTGGTGCTGGACTTTGAGACGATCGCGTCGATCTACCTGAACGAGATCACTATGTGGAACGACCCGCGCATCCAGGCCATCAACTCGCCCGAGGTCGCCGCCGCGCTGCCCGCGCAGCCCATCACCGTGATCACGCAGTCCATCAGCTCGGCCATCACCCAGCTGCTGACCGAAATGCTGAGCGCCACCGTCCCGCGCTTTGCCGCAGCGGTGCGTGCCTTCGTCGAGCTGATGGCCTATATGGCCAGGTCGCCGCCGATAACTGACTATGCCTTCACACGTCGTGTGGCCACTCGGTGCTTTGCCTTGCAGGTGGGCGCAGCGGCCTTGGTGCAATTCCCTGTGGAAGACGCGACCAACCGCTCGGTGACCACTGCCGATCTCGAGGGCGTCATTCCGATCTTGTCGTCGCGGCCCTACACCTTCGCCTTTTGGGACTACCAGGACCTCACCCTGGTACCACCCCTCGTGCCCCCACAGTAGGGCTTTGTACGCGACTGACGGCGCCGCGTTGCACTCAATGTTCCCAGACGCGGGGTGTAGCGACAGCGATGATCATCAATCCAGCCGGCCGTGCGGTGAGTCCCACCATCGAGGCACTCCAGAGCGCGCTCCACGACTACGCAGACACGCACACGAACCCCCAATACGCGGGCATCTTGCTGGGTGCGCTCCTCCCCCCTGGGAATCTTGGGGGGCAATGGCCTGCGCTAACCCGACCCGACGCAGGCGCCAGCGAGGGGAGCTGGCCACTGGCCACGTTCGGTTCCTTCTTCTACCGCCAGTACAAGAGCGGCGGAGATTGTTCGAAGGCGCGGGCGCTCGCTGACTTCCTCTCCTGGTCGCAGACCAACGCACTCGCACAGAAGATCGCACACAGGTGAGGCTTTTTTTGTGCGCGTGCGCGTGCGTGTGCGTGTGCTCACATAAGTCGTGACAGACAAAAGTTTGCGCTGGCTACGGAAGATGCGAGGCTCATGCGACGTTTTCTGGCCCAACTGAAGAACCTGACCTGCGACGGCGTTCCAGTGAGCGATCTGTACAACTGCATCGACGCCAACAACCTCGAGATCTGTTCCAGCGCCGGCGTGTGCATGCGCAACGAGTGCGTGTGCGACAGCGGCCGCAGCGGACACTACTGCGAGAGCTTCCTTACCGACCCCGCCAGCAGCGACAGCATTGCCCCACAAATCGCAGGTACGTACCGGCCTCGCATGCGTGCGGCAGTGGTGTGTGCGGTGGATGGTGACCCGATCAATGTGTGCAGGTGGGGCGGTGGCGATAGGACTCGCCCTGCTGTGCCTGCTGTGCGCGTTTATCGCGGTACTGGTGGTGGTGACCAGGCGGCGGCGGCGGCTGGACGACGACTGGGAGATCGACTTTGACGAGGTGGAGATCGGCCCGCTCCTGGGCGCCGGCGGCTACGGACAAGTGCACAAGGCCGTGTGGAAGGGCACCGAGGTGGCCGTCAAAATGATGGCCTCCGAGAAGATCACCAAAGACATGGAGAAGTCCTTCAAAGACGAGGTACCTACGCCCCAACCTCTTTGGTCGGTTGGTCTGTTGGTTTATTGATGACGATGATGGGCAGGTGCGGGTGATGACGGCGTTGCGGCACCCCAACGTGGTGCTCTTCATGGCGGCCTCGACCAAGCCGCCCAAGATGTGCATCGTCATGGAGTTCATGGCCCTCGGCTCCCTCTTTGACGTACGTCTCTTTTGTCGTGCGTGTGTCGTGCGTCGTGTGTCGTGTGTCGTGTGTCGTGTCGTTCGAAAAACTCATGCGCAGCACTGTCTGGCCAGTTGCTGCACAACGAGCTGGTAGGCGACATCGAGTTCGCGCTCAAGGGCAAGATGGCCTACCAGGCGGCCAAGGGCATGCACTTCCTCCACTCGTCGGGCATCGTGCACCGCGACCTCAAGTCGCTCAACCTGCTGCTCGACGCCAAGTGGAACGTCAAGGTGAGCGACTTTGGTCTCACCAAGTTCAAGGCCGATCTCGACCGCCACCAGAACAACAACCGCGGCAGCGGCGCACGCGACGCGCTGGGCAGCGTGCACTGGATGGCGCCCGAGGTGCTGGCCGAGTCACCCGACGTCGACTTCGCCCTGGCCGACGTCTACTCCTTCGGCGTCATTCTGTGGGAGCTCCTCACCCGCCGTGAACCCTACCAGGGCATGACGTACGCACACACGCACCGCCGCACACATTACCGAGTTTGTGCGGCTGCGACCTAATGTGTGCTGTGTGTGTGCCGTGTGTGTGTGGTGTGTGTGTGTGTCGTGTGCAGGCCGACGGCGGTGGCTGTGGCGGTGATACGGAACAACGCGCGTCCGACGACGCCCGAGCGGGCCGATGACGATGATGAAGGTGATGACGCGCCCGAGGAGTACCGAGACCTGATGACGAGCTGCTGGGACTCGAACCCGGCCCTGCGCCCGACCTTCCTCGAGGTCATGACCCGCCTCGCCGCCCTCCACGAAGTCGGCTCGCTCCGCTCATCCCTCCTCGGCAGCCCGTCGTCGCCCACCACCACGTGCCGACTCTCGTCCGCGTCGTACGACGATAGCGACGACCGCTACAGCGCCGACTCGTCCGATACCGACCGAGGCTCGCCGACGCGCTTCGGCCCAGGCCTGGTGAAGTCATCGGCGTCGCCGCCGCTGCCGCCGCTGCCGCCGCCGGTGGGCGACGTTACGATCGTGTGCACGGACGTCAGCCGCGCGGCCTCGCTCTGGGAGTTCGACGCCGAGGCCATGCGCGACGCCACGATCCTGCACAACCACATCCTGCGGGCCGCGCTCGAGCGGCACTGCGGCTACGAGGCCGTCGGCTGTGGCGGCGGCGGCGAGGGCTCGTTCTGCGTGGCCTTCCAGCGGGCCGCCGACGCGCTGGCCTGGTGCGCCGACGTGCAGCGGGCGCTGCTCAAGGTCGGATGGCCCGAGGCGCTGCTGGGCCACCCGGGCGCGGGCCGGGTGGTGTTCGATGCAGATGACCGGCGGCAGCAGCGTCAGGTGGTGTTCAAAGGCCTGCGGGTGCGGATGGGCCTGCACGCGGGGTCGCCCAAGGTGGTGCGCGACCCGATGACGAGCCGGGTGGACTACGGGGGGCCGGTGGTGGACGCCGCGGCGCGGATCACGGCCATGGCCCACGGCGGCCAGGTGGTGCTGAGCCGCTCCGTCTACGACCAGCTCAGCGGCGCCGGGACCGACGCCAAGGCCCGCACGCAACGCCTGGGCAAGCATGTCGTCGGCAGGTCGACAAAAGGTAAAAGAATGCACGGCACGACACGCACGACACACATGACACTCACGGCACACACGACACACGCGCCGCACACGCAGCGATGGCGCTGTACGAGTTCAAGGTGGAGGAGCTCGAAGGACGTCAGTTCGCTGGCCTCCTGTCAGACAACGCGGCGGCGGAAGAGGCCGATGGCCGGGGTCGGCGCCGGCACAGCGATTCAAAGACTGGCCACCACAGGGAAGAGGGGGAGGAGGAGGCGACCTGCCTGGCGTCGGCCAACCTGTGCCGCTGGATCATCGACTGGCACGAGGTCCAGGTGGGCCGGCAGGTCGGGCTCGGGTCGTACGGCGTGGTCTACCGCGGCAAGTGGAAGGGCGTCGACGTGGCAGTCAAGCGGTTCATCAAGCAGAAGCTCGACGAGCGGCGCATGCTCGAGTTCCGCGCGGAGGTGGCCTTCCTGTCGGAGCTCCACCACCCCAACATCGTCCTCTTCATCGGCGCCTGCGTGAAGAAGCCGAATCTGTGCATCGTGACCGAGTTCGTGAAGCAGGGAAGCCTCAAGGACATTCTGGCCAACAACGGCGTCAAGCTCACGTGGAAGCACAAGCTGAAGCTGCTCCACGGCGCCGCGCTGGGCATCAACTACCTCCACTCGCTGCGGCCGATCATCATACATCGCGACCTCAAGCCCTCCAACCTGCTCGTGGACGAGAACATGAACGTGAAGGTGGCCGACTTCGGGTTCGCGCGCATCAAGGAGGAGAACGCCACGATGACCCGCTGCGGCACGCCCTGCTGGACGGCGCCGGAGATCATCCGCGGGGAGAAGTACGACGAGCGGGCCGACGTGTTCTCGTTCGGCATCATCATGTGGCAGGTGGTGACGCGCAAGGAGCCCTATGCCGGGCGCAACTTCATGGGCGTGTCGCTCGACGTGCTCGAGGGCAAGCGACCGCAGATCCCCAACGACTGCCAGCCCGCAGACTTCATCAAGACGATGACCCGCTGCTGGCGCGCCGAGCGCGACAAGCGGCCGCCCATGTCCTCGGTGGTCGAGATGTTGGCCGACCTGCTGGGCCATGACCCTCTCGCCCACGCCACTTGACCCGTTGGGGGACAAAAGTGTATCGTAATTCAAAAATAAGAATAAGAATAATTATTTATTAGAATTAGAATAATTTTTTACATCGTGATACAAATGAAGTAAAACCGTTGTTGTTTGAACTGTATGTACATCTTTTGTGTATTTGTGTGCCTACGCCCCACTCACACTTTCTTGCCATCAAGCGATATCTTGACCGTCACCTCCATCAGCAGCTCGGGCTCCTCGGCCAGCACCTTGAAATCCTTGCTCTTGACCACCTGCTCGTTCACAGATACGTTTAGTGTTGTGTGTTGTGTGTTGTGTGTTGTGTGTTGTGTGTTGTGTGTTGTGTGTTGTGTGTCCTTGCTATGTCTACGCCGTAGCAAGATCTGGTGTGAGGGAGGTAGAGAGAGAGGGAGAGAGGCCCTACCTCGTTGTGATGCTCGCAGATGTACTGGATGCAGAGGTCCTTGAGTTGTTGCGAGTTGTGGCGGTGGGCGGTCATGAGCAGCGTCGACACCTTGTTCACGCTGATGCTCTGCTTCAGCTTCACCCCGCACATGGCTGGGCGTGTGCATCCATCCACACCGTTTCGTGTTTCGTGAGCAAACACATCGATCGCGCATCACATGAAGCACATGAAGGGACAACACCAACCAAACATGATTGGATCGTTCCACATACCCTTCAAACGCGGTAGATTGTATTGTTCGCCGAGCATGAGCAGCTCGACGTAGGCGTCGGCCTCCAACTCAGAACGAATATCGTCCGTGTAAAGGTATTCTGCATGCTCTCACATCGATTAGCAAATGACAACCGCACGCGCGACCGCACACCACAAACGACACGACACACGGCACACGACACACGGCACACGAAAATGGTAGCGGGTGGCGCACCGATGAGCCGCAGGAAGACCTCGTGGCGAGCCTCGGGGATCGAGATCGTCTTCTGCTGGCCCTCCTCATCGGGCCGTAGAGCATGGCCTTGAACACGGGGCAGCGCACGGCGAGCATGGCCCGGTTGCAGTAGATGGGCTTGCCCTCGACCACGACCGTGAGGTCGCTCAGCTCCTTGTTGTTGAAGAGCGAGTGGACGTCGTCCATGATGGCGCCCTTGGGGATCGCGGGCCGGAAGGGACGCGCCACGACGTTGTAGTTGCGCAGGATGCACAGGTCGTGCTTCTCCTCGAGGTAGAACACCTTGCCGTGCGCCGCGGTCTTGTCCTGGGGCTCGAGCACCACCTCCATGTACATGTTGATGTCGTCGTCGCTGTGCACGCACGTCTCCGCAATGATGGCCATGTTTTCATCGTACAGCGTCTGCATGTGTGCGTGTGCGTGTGCGTGTGCGTGTGCGTGTGCGTGTGCGTGTGCGGTTGTGGCGTGTAAGAGAGCGGCACACATGGTGATGATCTGCAGAGAGGTGGGAAGGAGAGGGTACGAGCTGGTGGCCGGGCCGCTTGGACATCCAGGCGTTGCCCGCGGCACGAATGCTCAGCAGCTCCACGGGCTTGGCGTACTCGATTCGAAAGCACAACAGCTTGTTGGTGGAGGCAAATGACACCCATTGCTCGCGCTACAACAAATCATCATCCATTAGAAAAACGTAGTACAAATTTGTGCAGATGATGGAGGGGGCACCTTGAAGGCGTCGGCTTGGCTGTGAGAAGTAATCTTGCGGCTGGTGGCTGACCACGCCCCCGTGCCAATCGAATACGTACGATCCACCTGCCCATGCACGAGGCTGATCGAGAGCGGGCACACCACGTCTTCTGAGTTGGCTTCCTGTTGCATCTCCCCGTCTTTCTTTATCTATACTTTATATTCGATGATTATTTGTGTACTACTTCTGGCTCCTCTGTCTTTGTCTCAACAATTAATTGAAATCATTAATCTGATTTGTTCAGGAGCCAACTTACCACGCGGCCGTACAGAGGAAATTTCAGCAGGCCAGAGGCGAAGTGAAGGGGCATCGCAAGGCAGAGCGTTGGATGGTGCTGAGGGAGAACAGAGGAACTGGCATCGAGTGGCGCTTAGATAGAGCGCTCGAGGCGATTGATGGAGACGATGAAGAAGACAAAGGCGGTGCCAGGGGGTCCAGGTAGATAGAGATACCCCCAGTGATCTGGGCTCTTATCTAGGCCAGGGTCTGTGTGAGGTTAGAGGGCCGATGGGACTTCAGCCAGGCCCACCCCGCGTGCGCTCCAGAACCCTGTAGGTGGTGAGCTGAGATAGGTGTGCCCAGGCTCACTATCTCATGGCCTCTACTGTGACAAGGAGCTCTATCCTGGCCAGGTGGTGACAACGATGAAGGCGACCAGCCAGACCAGACCAGTACTCTACCACACTACAATCGACACACCCGCACATACACACGAGCAGTCTAGGCTACCAAGAAGAAGCATCCTGCTTGAGCCTTTATAGTCCCTTTGAGCCTTTCTCCTTTTCCTCATGGATGACGCCCAAGGCGTGACCCAGACCGATCCTACTCCAACTCACGATGGGTCCTCCACGCCTCACCAAGAAGGTGATCATCACCGCCCCAACAACGGCGACTATGTGGAGCTCGAGAGGCGCCTCGTCCTCAGGAATGTGCGCACTGCCTTGCAACTGCCCCCTCAACCACCGCCCTCTCTGATGATGGTGTCTTGTTGTATGCGGCAGTTGGCGATGACTGCGGACAAGCTGGCGCGCATGAGCATGGCAGCAAGCATCGGGCCGGGACTGAGCGAGGCCGACTACGGGCTCTTCTCCAGGAGTCTGGAGGACATGAGCGGCTGCATTCACCAGCTCTGCAGGGCCTACCAGTTGCAGGAGCCCGCACTGGTCCCTGGTGGGGCCTTCCCCGACCAAACATCTGAGACGAGCGAGGCGGCAACCGCGCCTGCCGCTGCAACAGGTGAGGACAGTGAAGCCGGGAGGGGCTTCAAGAAGCACAGGCCGTCCAACCGCGTGAGGCCAGACAAGGCCTGCCTCGAGTGCGGCAGGAGAGACACAGGTGCGCTTCAGCCTCTCGTGGTCGCACACGGAAGCGATCGTGCTCACCCATCAACTCCTTTCTTTCTTTCTTTCTTTCTTTCGTTCATCAGCCCAATGGAGACGTGGCCCGCTGGGTGTGTCGACGTACGTTGACCCTAACCCGAACCCCAGAGTTTCTGCGATGCCACAGCGGTCTTACGCGGTGCGTGTGTGCGCAGTTTGTGCAATGCGTGCGGCATCAGGCACGCCAGGGTGATGAAGAAGGTGATGAGGCAGCAGGTGCTCAGGCTTGGATTGTCGCCCGGCTGCACTCCTCCTCTCCCTGATGAGGCCGAAGACGGCCAGCACGCCGCCTCGCCTGTACAACAAGGTCACTACCACCACCAGAACCAAAGAGATGAGTGGCCTGGACTCAACAGCGACGACGACGAAAGAGAGTCCACCGCCATCGACCACCTTCCTCACGCCGCCCACCAGCAGGCCGCGAGGTCCTCGGTCTACGACCTCCTCAACTAAGAGTCGATGACAGCAGCAGTCACTACTTTCAATTTTTGCCTCCAGCCACAACAAGGCTCCATTCATTTTGTCTTTCATCAACACACATGTACCACTCACAGCAATAGAGAGTTTCAATCTACCAACACCTGTCACTTTTTGTTGTTCTGTTCTGCTTGAGTTGAGTGGAGGCAAGACAGCGAGGGAAAGATGACGCATACCCCCGAAATGATGATGTTTTACAGGTCTTGATGAATTATACGCGAAACGAAACCCATCATTCAACCCAGGGCCTGATGGACGTGGCAGCTCCCGCGTGCGCGTTCTGCTCGGCGGCGAGAGTGTTGAACACGCACAGCGGACAAGCGACTCGCATCGTTTCTGCCGAGAACGTTCGTGATTAGTTCCGCCATGACACACACACGCACCACGCACACGCATGTGAGAGGGAGGAGTTACGAGGTGGTATTCGGCGAGGAGGAATTGGGCGGTGATGGAGAGATCGACGGGCAGAGATGCGATGAGGGTCTTGAACTTGGGGAGGATCGTTTCGAAGAACACCTGGCGCGTCCATATGTGGTTCTTGTCGCACGAAAACACCAGCAGCTCCTGCACACGACACACGGCACACACACACGTTTTCAGCAATGGTTGGGACACCTGGATGTGATAAAACCTAGGAGGCGGAGGAAGGGCCTGACCTGGTCGTCCACGTTCCGGCCGGCCGGGAGCGCGGGGAGCGATGTCGAGGGAATTGTGATCTTGGATCGTTTGTCCCAGTTGGTCGTGATGGTGGCCTGTGCGTGGACGAGTGTTGGTGGTGCGCGTGCGCGTGCGTGTGTCAATGCAGTGTACTGCACGGGCCACCATCACCACCAACTGGGACAAACGATCCGACGAAGGGAAGGAGCCACGAACCGTGATCTGTTGCCACAGCGACTCCTCCGAGAGCTGCTGGTCACCCGCTCCCGCTTGGCTTGTCGACCCTGCCCATCCAACGGCCATCAAAAATAAACAAATAAGATAAGATAAGATAAAATAAGATAAACAAATAAGTTCTTAATAAATAATAAATAAATGAAATTGTACCGCGAAGTTCTTGGAGGCGAGTGATGCGGAGGCGGGTGATGGTCTCGTAGAAGGTGCGCTGGAAGGGCAGACCGGCAAATGGAAGCTCGGCTCCGGTGTGTGCCTCCTGCATGATCCAGGCGAGGGCCTTCCCCGCCACGCCCAGGTTCGCCAGCAGGAAGCCCTCCAGCGGCCCCACCTCCAGCCCGCGCTCGTGCCAATACCACAGCACCTGTCGACCGCAGCGTATGAGTGCACCGCACACGCATGACACCACACACACACACACACACACACACACACACACACACACATCCAACACACACAATGACACATACCTGCATCAGCAGTTTGGACTTTCTGGTTTCGCTCTTCTGGGCGAAGATGGCCTTGAGGACACCGAACACGGAGTCCATCTCGTGGCCGCGCGCCTCCTCGAAGGTGAAGTGCGCCCGGTGGTGCTCGGCCTGGGCGCGAATTGCCCGCAGCTCGCAGTCGATCGACTCCGACCAACTGTTCAGCATCTCATAGACCTACAGGCGCGCAGGGGTCGTGGTAAGTTCGCCCTCATATCATCATCATCATCGCGACTAAAGGCGTGTCTGGTCGACCACGTGTGGGCGCCAACGTACAACGGCGGCGGCGACCCAGTTCTGGTAGTGAGCGCACTTGGTCAAAATGGTCGACGAGTTGAACTGCTCCCAGTGCGAGCGCAGCGTGTTCTCCAGCACATTCTGGCCGTAGGTCAGTCCTGTGTGGTCGGGCGACCGAACATTGAGAATCACCACTCCTTCGTGCAAACGTGCGAGGCGTGGGGGGGGGAGGAGGAGTACGATTGGAATGCAGAGAATCGCCGTAGGGACTCACGCTCCTGCGACGGCTCTCCTCCGATTTGGCCACCTGCACGATCTCTGCTCGATCGCCCTGGTCCCCAAGGCCCAACTGCGCACACGCACCACCGCACACACGCACGACACGACACAATACGACGCACGACGCAAGTTAGTGTGTGTGGCGAGATCGGAGTGCGGGCAGGCCGAGAGGAGTACCTGGCCGAAGGCGCCGGAGCCCCAGGAATAGAGAAGGCCGTTTTCGGTGACGACGAGGGTGAACTCCTCGCCCGCCGCCGCGTGCTTCACCACGGGCTTGCTCTTGGCGTCCTGGCCATCGGGGATGGCCGACACCAGCAACGGAGCCTCGGTCGTTCCACTCGCCGCTGCCGCTGCCACGCAAAAGAGAGATATTATTATTATCATTATAATAAATATAATAATTAATTTCTAATTATCATTATCAGTTTTATTATTCGTGTTGGGCGGGGGTTGTACTGCTGAGTCCGCTGCCTCGGAGCAGGAGTGGTGGCTGAAGCGACCCTGTGCTGCTCCACACGTAGACCTGCGCGGCGCCAGACCGAGTGCGAGGGTGAGGAGGAAGATGAGGTGATCATGCGAGTCGCGCGGGTGTACCTCGCCGTCCATGGTGGTGGCCACAGAGTGCGCGTGTCCGCACGAGACCAGAGAAATTCGCTTGCCCATCAGGCCCTTGACGATTGAGGGCGTGACTCTGATATGTTACCAACATATAAGTATAAGTATTAATACAAAGATAGTATAATATCACAAAGTACGATGAAGAGAGAGTGTGAACCGTTTGAGGATGGCTGCTTTCCGCTCCTGTCGCATGGCACCATCTGAGTCTGTTCCCTGTACACCGCCCCATGTATACACGTTGTCCAAATCTGGTGTGTGCCGTGCGGGTGAGAATGGTGCAAGCGGCAAAACGGCACAGTGATTAGCCGGCGTGATAGAGAGTCCACCTGTGATCGCGATCGTGTGGAACGAGCCGCAGGCGATGAACCGGATCCGCTTGCCGTTCAAGCCCTCCACCATCTTCGGCGCCAGCCGGTCGTTCTGCAAATTGTCGGCCTGTGGTTCGTCACAGGGCAGGAAATATAAGATCTTAGTTGACCGAAAGCGGCCGCGGGAGCGGCGAGGGAATGAATGAATGAACGGTATGTGTGGCACGCGTACGTGGCCGAGCTGGCCGGACATGGCGCTGCCGCAGGTGTAGACCTCGCCCGCTTCGGTGAGCAGGGCCGTGTGGCAGTAGCCGCACGCGGCCTGGACGATGCTGGGCATGGCCTGCAGCTTGGTGGGCACGAGGAGATCCTTCCGCATGCCCGTGCCCAGCTGCCCCACCTCCCCGCCACCAAAGACCATCACTTCGCCAGACTCTGCGGAATGTACGGTGCGTCAGAACGCCGCTGCCTCAAATTCCACAAACGTTGCGGGAAGGGGAGCAAGGGGGTGAATGTACTGAGGACGACGATGGTGTGGGCGTAGCCCGCAGCGAGCTGGGTGACATGCATCTTGCGCAGCGTTTTGATGGGGACGGGAAGCCAGTGCAGGGTGCGGTCGCCCAGGCCCAGCTGACCAATGCGCCCATTACCCCACCCGTACACGCTGCCACTCTCTGCAATAAGGAAATGTTAGATAAACACTCGGTACGACACACACGGCACATAACGACACACACGCCGCACGACACGACACACACAGAGAGTCGTACCGGTCCTGGCAAGCGTGTGCTCACCGCCACACACGACCTCCTTCACGCACTTGGACTTGAAGAAGATCACTTGCTTGGGGTGCAGCTGCGGCACGCCGCTCTTGTCGCCGTGCCCGAGCTCGCCCGAGCCGTTCCGCCCCCAGGTGTACACATGCCCATTTTCTGCGTTGTCAGCACACAGCCCCCCCCCAACGTGAGTCACAAATTGTACGGCTTTGGTGCATGTGCGTGTGTGGTGGTGCGTGTGGCGGTGGACATGTGCGTGTACCGGTCAAAGCTGCGCAGTGGTTCCACCCGCAAGATACGTTGACCACTTGCCGCATGCTCACCAGCCCTCCGAACGGGACATTCAACTTCCCACCCTGTTCCGGCGCGCACGAAAATTAGCGCCCTCTGGCCAGTAGTCAGTCATGAAAACAGAAGTAATGCTACTGCCTACCGAAGAGACGCCGTCGTCTTGTTCAGACTCCGGTCCCAAATTGCGCTTCTCGACTGTGCGTGTGTCGTGCGTGTCGTGCGTGTGTGGTAAGCTGTAGAAGAACGACGGCAACCGTGCTTGAAAAGAGACGCGGGTTACCTTTAGGCGGGAGGTGGGCTTCGTTGCGCTTCCTTCGGTGGTTGAGCATCAACAGCGTCGTCAAAAATAGTTCGATAAAGTCTTCCGGTCCCTTGGCCCATTCCTTGTTCCCCCCCCCACGTAGGCCGCGAGAGTTAGAGAACAAGACGTGATCGGTGGTGGTGGTGGTGGTGGTGGTGGTGGTGGTGGTGGTGGTGGTGGTGGTGGTGGTGGGTGTGACGAAGGTGCGATGAAGGGACGGGAAGCACTTCGGCATTGGGGTTGTGTGCGTCAGTCAGTTCGAGGGACCCGGCCATGGTGAACTTGCCCCAGGAGGTCTGGTCATGGTCAGACCTGCAGGTGTGTTGGAATGAATTTGAAACGTGAGCGAATCAGCAATCGAACACGAATTGGAATCTGAAGAACGAGAGGCGGAGCCGCTACCTCGCAACGGCCGAATAGATCTTCGGCGCGACGTCGCCGAGAGGATCGAAAATGCGGGCCACTTCCAGCTGGTCGCGCCATAGCACAAATGGGGGTGAGCTTGACAGAGGTGTGTGTGTCGCGCGCGTGTGTGTGTTACTGTGGCGAGTCCGAGTTGGATGCGGTACCAACATGTTTTCGTCGAGGAGCGGCAGGATGGGTTCGATCCGCCGAAAGTAGAAGGGGATGTTGCTGACGTCGTCCAAGATGAGCTTCATCTGCAGCTTGGGTGGCAGGCACCGCACCAGGATGCCGCCCTCGCACGCCTTCAAATCGCCCGACATTCCGCCCTCCTGGATTGTCCATGCACATTACACGGGCGCTGTTGGCGGGAAATAATAATCCATAACATAATACTCTATATAAATAAATAAATATAATATGAATAACATGAAACAATAATAATAATAGCACATAAAATAAACAAACAATATTTCATCGAGGGGTTGCAGTACCCTGACCAAGGGAATGAGCTTGGGCTCGATGTGAAGGCTGCCGGTGCTGGCCAGCAGCCTTAGGGCGTAGGCACCCATCCGTCGCGCTCTGGCCACCTTTGGCACATAACCAAGAGGCCGCGGGTGAGACACACGACACGCAACGGCACGCGCCGCACGACACGCACGCAAGGAGTAGTGGCGCACTATGAAGAAGTCCTGCATCAGTCCGTGAGAGTGAAGCAGCTCCAGGGCGGTCTTGGGGTCGTAATCCTCGTTCTCGCGGAGGAACAAGCGAAAGTCCGATTCCAGTGCCTGCAACAGCGTAACACACAATATATAGAAATATATATAAATAATAATGTGAACTATATCTAGGGTTTTTGCGGACACACATGTCGTGCGTCGAGGTCGTGTGTTGCGTGTCGTGCCGCGTCGGTACCTGATTGCTGTGCTGTGGTGCTTCCAAGAAACACTGGAGATAGCTCTGGAGAAGTGTGCTGGAGAGGCTCTTCTTGTCACCAGCCGAGAGAGCTGTAACACAAAGTTAAGATGAGACACAAAGTGGGGGGGAAGAGGTTCGGAAGGTACCCTGGGGCGAGTCGAGCTGATCGCGGAGGTGCGTCAGCACAATGTCCATTCGGTTGATGCCGCCGAACTTTTGAATTAGCTTCTGCATCTCCACGTTGGAGAGCTGATAAAGCCTGTCGCGAAGAAGAGGAGGAGGAAGAAGAAGAATCAGACAACGCTTTGCTTGGGGGAGGGCTAGAGCTGGGCAGTGGTGGCGAGTACTCGAATGCGCGCTGGTACTTGCCGAGCTCGAAGTATTTGTCGGCTGCGGTCTCGTACAGCGTGAGCATGTCGAGGGCCATGGTCTTGCCAAAGGATTCAGCTTCGCTCTTCTCCAGGCCCTTGCCGATCAGCGAATAAAATATGTTCTCCGGTGTTTGCTGTTTGCGGAGTGTGCGACACAACGACACAACGACACAACGACACGACACAACACACGCAAACGTTAACGGCCTCTCCATCTCATTACACAAAGTAGCATCGCAGTGAGTCGTACCTCAGCCACGCATTGATAGACGGCGTCCGACGTCCACATGTAGAACCCCTCGAGCGCTGTCGATGGATTCTATTGCGGAGGCAGTACAGTACAGTACCGTCGTGAGCGTACTGCTGCTAAGCAGGGCCGTAGCTAAGGGAGAGTGTGGGGGTGTACCTGCGGTGAACGCCTGAGCAGGGTGGCCGAGTTGTTGGTCCGAAACACGCCCAGAATGTTCTGCCCCGGCCCGAGGTTGAACTCCTGCATCACGCTGTCCTTGTGGTGCTTGTAGAACCCTGTGGATTCCCAGAAGTGAGTTGCGCAAACGCTCGCATTGCCCGACCGTCTGCGCCTGGCGCGATTCGATGGCGAAGTGGTCAGGAGGAGCATACAGTGCGGCTCTGGCGATGTGGCCGCGTTCCAGTTCGACACGACGGACACAGAGCTCGCGTCCTCGCCAACTGTAGGCGGGGGGAGGAGCGGAGGAGTCAGGCGGGTGGAGTGGTGGTGGTGGTGGGTGACGATGACGATGCACATGTGCGGCAGCGGGTTGGGCGAACGTGCCTTTGCTGACCACGAATGTGAGGCGCTCGGTGAGCAGTATCTGCGTGGGCGGCGAAGGCAATTGGTACACGAAGAGCGCGAACTTGCCCAGGTCCGGCCCGAACACCTCGTACGTGTGCGTGAGCGGGTGATACGCGCCTGCGCAGCCAATCCGGATCAGTTCGACTGAATGTTTTAACGCGCACGACACGACCAACGGCACGACCAACGACAAAGAAAACGCGAACGAACCGACGAGGCAACCCTGCCAGGTCTTCTGCACGCCCAGTGAGACGTTGTCTTGGTAGGGGAACTGCTGGAGCGGAACGGGGATGAACTGTGTGCTGAGGGGCTCGTTGGCCTTGCTCTTCGGCGTGGAGATGATGGATTCGTAGCGGCCCTCGCCCGGCGTGCGATACTCGAGGAGCAGCTTTAAGCATACGCCCTTACGCGTTTGGATCAACAGATACTGTGTGTGTGTGTGTGTGTGTGTGTGTGGCGTGTGTGTGTGGCGTGTGTGGCGTGTGTGGCGTGTCGTTACACAACTGCATGTGTTTTACGACAATGAGATTGTAGAATACCTTGTAGGAGTCGGTGACAACGATGTCGAGGCTGTCGATCACAGCGTTGGGGAGGGAGAGGGTGTAAACCTCCTTCTGTTGGATAAAGTCGACAAAGTGGACCTTGCCGGCAGCAGTCGCAATCAAACCTGCGCACAGAGAGCGGGAGAAGGGTCGTCGACCCAAGTCAACAAAAAAGCCAAAAACGTCGAGCAATGCCAGCATACCGTAGTCTCGGCCTTCGGACGTATTCCACCACAGGCACTGCGATACGCCGGGCGGCTTCAGCTTGGTACAGCAGGTGATCAAGGTCACGTCGTCCAGGGCGCCGAGCGCCGTCGTCGGTGGCGCGTAGGCCTAGGTAGACACACAAAAGCGAGAAATCGTGAGGGCTGCGCGCGTAGTGGAGTGGCGGAGTGGTGGCGTCGGTCACGGCCGCACCTTGTCGGTCTTCATCTTGGGCGAGGCCAGGTTGCCTTGCGCATAGTTCATCAGCGAGGGAAAATAATTCAGCGACCTGATGAACATGACCGACAGTCGGCCGAGAGAAGGAGAGAGAGACGAGTCAGACTTGCCACTAGCACCTGCGACAAGAATGCAGGTTGGTCGGTTGGTTGGTCGAACGGCGGGTACCAAGTGCTTGTGGGCTTCCCGTCATCTTTCTTGCCGCCTCCGCTCATCTTTCTACAATGCGCACGAGCGCGGTTGTTTTCGAGCGACGTCTGATCAGAGATTGCCAAACACAAAAGAGAGAAGAATGGACGGAAAAAGAACGAACCTGGCGGCGGACTGCTTGTCGGCCTCTTTCTCTCGTTGCAGCGAGGCCGGGTTGGCTTCGGCACGCCTTCGCATGAGGAAGTAGACGGGGATAAGCACCACGGTCGAGTCGCCGGTCACGCAGCACAGCAGCTGGGCCGTGGGTTGAAGTCCATCGCCACCACCCGCTTCATTGGACCCTGTATCGCCGCCATGTTGTTAGCTGCTTCACCAGTCCAAAACAACAAGAGCGAAAGCGAAGAGAGAAGAACGAAGAAAGAGGTCGGTGGTGAGCGTACCTCAGGCCAGAGCAACTGACGCACGATGGGCACTCCGCCTTCGTCCACATACCGAAAGACCAGGAAATCTATGTCAAACGAAATGAATAAATAAATAAAAGATGTAAATAAGTATTAGCAGCAGAATAAAATAAGTAAATAATAAAAATGGGAGGAAGGACACCGTTGGAGCAGGCGAGGGCCATGAGCGAGTAGTTCTTGACGCCTGCTGCGGCCACCAATCGAATCGTGACCGGAGGGGAGGTCGAAAGGCCCACCCAATCGCTCTCCAGCGAAGTCGAGAGGCTCATCGAGGGAGAGGAGGAGACGGAGGAAGTGGAGGAGTGAAGAGACGAATTGCTCGTGCTAAGGCTGGGTTGGTGCCCGCCTCCTCGTACAGAAAGGAGCCGCTTGATTTTGAAGAGCGGGTAGCCCTGCACCCCCGGCAGGCTACCCATCGACGACAGCGAACCGCCCAGCGCCGCGCCCGCAGCCAATCTCGACATCGTCGGCCCCTCAATTCGAACTGTTGCGATCTTTCTGTTGCATTTTCTCAGGCGCCGAATTGATTGGAATGTACGATTTGGGAAACATTTCGAAAATCAAAAAAATTACAAAACACAAAAGTAGCGCATCCACCAACAGAGCGGACTCTATCTCACCACCTTTGAACATGACGGACGCGACTGAGCAAGCAGCTGCAGTTCTTTTGCACGACGCACTACCACAGCACGCGCTTCCCGTGATCGATATCAGCCCATTCATCACAAATCCTGAAGCAGATGGAGAGGCGGCGAAGAAGAAGGTGGCCCGCGCGGTGCACGACGCGTGCGTGGAGGCGGGCTTCTTCTTGATCAGCAACTATCAGGGCGTGCTGCCCCAGGACAAGGTCGATGGTCTGTTACAGCTCATGCGCCGCTTCTTCTCCCTCTCCCCCGCCTACAAGCGCCAGCTCAAGGGCACCTACGGCCGAGGTACCCCCTCCCTTCCCCTTCATCACGCCCTAGTCGTACCAGCGAGTGCCGGCGGCGGCACCAGTGCCACAGAACGCAGGGCTTTGGCCTCATTGCCTCGTTGCGCTGCTCGCACGCTTCTTCGTTCATGTGGTGAACGTGATCGCGGTCTTCTTGCTTGTGTTCTGTGAGATCGTGCCATGCGCTCGTGCGTGTCGCAGAGAGCGCGCGGTGCTTGCGGTCATGTGGTGTAGGTGTAAAAACAAACACCAGGTGCAGCTTGTTGCTGACTGTCACCCAACCCGTACACCAGGTTATTTTGCGTACGGCGAGGAGAACCTGAGCACGATCTACCCCGAGCACAACGTCAACTTCGAAGACAAGGACCTGGGCGACTACAAGGAGGGCCTCGATATCGGTCCCGAAGTGCCGACAACTGACCCGCACTACGGCGAACTCTTCCACACGCCCAACCAGTGGCCCGACCCCGTACCGTTCCCACTCGCCACCCGTGCCACTAGTCACCCCACGTTAACAACAACAAGGCCTCTGCGCAATCGTGTGAGCTTACATTGTAAATTGCAGGCCTCGGTGGGAGAAGAGTGGAAGGCGCAGGTGCTCGAGTACTTTGAGCTGGCGTCTCGGTTGGGTCACGTACTGAACAGGATCTTCGCCCTCAGCCTGGGCTTGCCCGAGAACTGGTTCGAGGACAGGATCTGCCCGCCTCTGGTTCGTCGCCGTCTCAGATCCTCGCCCTTTTCTTGCAGCGTTGTGCACGCCGCTCACCATATGACCCAACACGTTACCTTCAACGCCCTACGTTCAGCCCACTCTAAGGCTCCTCCACTATCCACCGTCGCCGGTGGAACAGACAAGGATGGGATGCGGCGCCCATTCCGACTACGGCTGCTGTGCTATTCTTGCTCAAGATGTACGCTAGGGAAGAAGACGCATCTTTGGATCTATTTCGCTCACATGACACACACGCCACACACGCCTGTGTCCAATCTCAGGACGCGGGCGGTCTTGAGCTTTACGACAGGAAGGGCCAGTGGGTGGCCGTGAAGCCCGTACCCCAGACGTTGGTCATCAATATTGGCGACATGATGCAGCGGTGGACGAACGATCGTTACAAGTCGACCCTCCACCGGGTCATCAACCCTTCCACAGGCAAGCACAGGTACCACTGCGCTCTTCTCCTTTTCATGTGGACTCCTTGATCACACACGACACACACACGACACACATACACACAGGTTTTCGAGTCCGTTCTTCTTTGAGCCGGGCGTGGATTGCATGGTCGAGTGCGTGCCGACATGCCTGGCCGAGGGCGAGTCGCCTCGCTATCCGCCCACCCGGTTCGGCGACCACCTGCTCAACATGTACAACTCCACCTTCTACGTTAACCCCACCGACCAGTCGGGCCACGACGGCGATCCGGGCGCCTCCACCGTTCTCCCCTGAAAGCCGTGTCATTGCTGGCTCCCCCAACATGCAGACGTTCAAGCCCCTTCGCGTTCGAACTCAGGTTTTACTCTCCTATTTCCCGCAACGCGGCCGCCGGCACGCGAACCAAGATCGTCAGGCGTGCAAAGATCGTCGAGTCCACCTTGATGGTCTGGGCCACGCGGCCAGGAACGGCGCCACTCCCGCTCCAGGTCACTTGCTTGATGCAGCGTCGGTTGAGGAAGACGGTCAGGGAGACGCCCTTGCGCGAGACCTGGCTCGATATGGCAACGTTCTTCCTCGGCTCGATGATGAAGAGGACCTTGTAATTGGTTTTCGCGGTGTCGTCCGGAGACACCGAGATGCGCCACGTCACCTTGCCGTGCGCGACTCGATCGTCGAACTCGACGGTCGGGGTCGAGTGAAGGTCCGGGACGACGAAGCGATGGCTGCGAGCTGCTCGCCGGTAGGTCTTCATGAGATCCTCCGTCGAGAAGAGGCCGCTGGGCTCCACCACCTCCCTGATCTCTTGAGTGGTCATCAGGCGCGTCTCGATGAGGTTGATCAGGCTGGCCACCTGCTCGAATGCCACCGATTCACTCTCTACTTGGGCGCCCGTCTGCTCCTCGTCGGGAAACGGGAGGTGGTGCTGGTAGCGCCTCTCGATGGCGCCATACAAGTCCACCTCCTCGATCCCCTCGAGGTCTGCCGCCAGAAGCTCTTCCGCTGCGGCCAGCGACAGGCCGAGCCACTGCTGCTCGATATCGGGATCGTCGCCGCCCAACTGGCTGAAGGCGTTGGTGCTGATGGCCTTCAGGCAGACGCCTTTCGCCAACTTGGGCGCGATGTCCAGGGCCAGGTCGAACGTCGCCAGGACCCGAGAGGTGTCGGTGCTGTACTCCTTTCTCAGTTCCTTGGTCACAATCGCGCAGCAGTCCTGGAGCAGATAGCGATCAGCCGCAGCATAGAGGTGCATCAGGTCACGTTCGTGCTGGGATGGAGTGTCCGCATCGTCATCGTCGGGGACCAGCTCAGGGTGTAGAGCGTTGGTGTAGCACCAGTACAGCAGGTGGCGCATTGTGTGCGGCTCCAGGTCTGGCACCGACACGCTGTGCCAGAAGATTGGAGGAAGAGAAGGGGAGGCTGACGTTGAGCAGGACACGGAGGAGGTGGGGGGCAGGCCTTCACGGAAACTGCCGTTGAGTAGAGCCTCAAACACGGGCGAACGTGCAATGAGGATCACTTTTGAGGCATAGACAGGCGTGGCTTCCTCGCCTACCAGAAACTCGACATCAGCGCATGCCCGGTTGTCCACCATCCTCGCCAGGTGCAGCCCTCCTCCACCTTCTGACCGTTTCCGATTGCCCTGGGGCCAGGGTTTGCTTCCACTTACCAAAACCGCTGCTTCTGGTTGCATGCTCAGCTGCCGGTGGTTCTCTGGTCGTTTCAGTGTTTGATGATTTCACAGCTGCTCAGGCAGGCGGTGCCTGATGTTGATGCAACTGCGACTGGTCAGCCCTCTCTTCTCCCTCTCTCCTTGCGGGAGACAAACCCCAAAAACAGAGAAGAGACATGCCCCTCTCTATTTAGGGGTTTGTTTCCCAAAGGAATGCAAATAGAAAAGTAAAGGAAGTTCTTTTAATTTTCTTCCTAATTGGGACAATATTTCAGCCACCCACAGGCCCACAAGCCTACAGCATTTTTCCCAAAGTTCAGAGGACCTGGCTGGTGCTTGGTGTGAAGTGGCCGAATTGTGATGTGACACATCAAGGCTTTGTATTTGTGAACATGACCAGTGGCAGTACCAACACACCCAATGACCTGTTGTTGGGCAGCAAGAGGCCACTGTGTCAATCCTTGTGTTTTCAAGTGATGGTACATGGGCTCTATGAAGGCAAGGGAACACATTTGCCACAGGACAACCACATGGTGATCTGAACAAGGATGCATTTTCACCTCACCACTGCACCATCTAACCATGACAACCTGGCATCCAATTGGCACTGGTTTCCCTTTCTATCCATGTCTGCCCACTGGTGTATGCCAATGATGAGCTCACCACTGCATCATGACCACCATCACACACATTGTGTTCACATGGTGGCATGTTCAGAGGAACAAGCACAAGACAGCACTTGCTTGGATTGCACCACACCAACTTTCGTGTCATGTGGCAGGCTGCCATTGCAGTTTCAAGGGCAAGCTCCATGCACACTTCTTGTCGGTCGCCCGTGCCCTCCACGCCAGCGATCTGAAGCTCGCTCTCACTATTGTGTTCAAGCACATGCAAGGGTCTCTTAAGCGGTACAGAGCACACAAGCACCTGTTTCTCTTCTGCTTCTTCTCTGCCCTGGCGGCATTGAGTCTCACTGGTCCTGTCCAGGTATCTGTACAGGCTCCAGACCTCATCAAACTAGCACCAGACCTGGCGACCTGGCGTCCCCCACACTGCACACGACACCACGCACCACCGCACACCATGGTCACTCAGATTCGATCGATATCTGGTTGTTGGCCAGATGATATCTTGCGCTGTTGCCGATGTGTACGGAGTGGAGCTCGGTAGCATGGCGCTCATGGATCGCCAACAAGAGGGCATAGCCGCATAGTCGACCGTGGCAGGTGGCTCAGGCGAGCCGCACCCCGCCAACCGCCCGGCGGCCCAGGAGGGGCTCCACAACCAGCAGCTTGCAATCAACGCAGAGGCCGCGCGAGGAGACGGCTTCGCACAATCACATGTGTTTCTCCTGGGATACAACCAGACAACCAAGGAGAGAAGAAAGTGGGCCGTGACGTCCATGAGGTGCTGCCGCAGTGCAGCATCTTGCAGTACGAACCAGCGCACCTCCTGCCGGGCCTCCTTCGCTCCTTCGGAGTTATACTCGCCGCTGCCTGGTGGTTGCCGGCCAGTATGGCCGCTCTCTAGGAACAGATGAGCAAGGGCGGACTGGCAGGGGTGGGCAACGCGCCGTTCGACGAGGTGGCGCTCATCCAGCATTTCGAGCCCTTCTTCCGGCGCAAGGCGGGTGTGCCGGCAGGCTGGGCTCTGGTGCTGTTGGAGCCTCTCGACGGTGATGGCGGTGATGCAACGCCGTTCGGCTGCGTGCCAGGCCTGCCACTCGTGGCTGTGCCAGCACCCTGCGAGCGCAGAGATTTGGTAAACAGGCGTGAGATGCTCAGCGCGGTTTCTCGCATGCTGTTCGCGTCCAATTTCTTGCGCTTCAGTGAGCCAGCCGGAAATGGCGACTGCTTTTTTGGCCAGAAAAACTCCGACCGACCGACTCAAAACCAGAACTCGGCCACTTCCAAACCAGTACATACCCACTCTTCTACACTTGAAACAACGCAAATGGAAGGAGAGAAACTTATCAACCCTACAGCGGTCGCCTTCACCAGCAGCGTGCCGGTCCACGGCGTGGCCCCGACCCAGGTGCGGCTCGACATGCGCACGCACCTCTTCCGCAACGGCTCGTTCGACGAGTGCCTGCCGTTCCTCCTGCGCGGCCGCGTCTCCGACGAACAGTTCGGGGCCACCATGCACGGACTCAACCAGACCCTCACCGCGTCGTCGGGCCTCCGCACGGGCATGTGGCTCGGCGTGCTGGGCACCTGGGCCACCGTGCTCGCCCTCGTCTTCAGCCTCTACGTGTGGGACCTTTTCGAGTGGGTGTTCGTCTGCAACGGCGTCCTGGTATTCTTTGCCCTGGTCACCATCATCTGCGCCGTGGCCTACGTCGTCCAGCTGAGGCGGCGGGTAGACCAGTACCTGGCCGAGGCCAACCTGTTCTACAACCCGCAGGGTGTCAACTTCCGCATGGAGAGGTACTACCGCCGCTGGTCGCTCGTCATCGACATCCTGCCCCAGCAGTCCAGCTCCGCCGACTACCAGCCTCAGCAGCAGCCGCCGCCGGTCTACTACTACCACCCTGGACAGCTCGCCGCCCCGGCCTTCCCGCCGCAGCAGACACCGGCACCGGTGGTGTATGCGGCCTACAGCCCGGCGGCCTATCAGAAGCCCTCTGTTGACAATGTTTAGAACAAAGGCCAATCACACTTATTAATATCTGTACATAAAAGCGAGATAATATTTAAACTACTTGATATACTCATGTTTATCGATATTTACGAAAGGTTGGCTGCACACCGATGAGGTGCTAACACACTACGGCGGCGGGTGTGGCCTCGGCATCGGCGATGTAGGTGAGGTTGCAGTAGCGGTGCACGGGCAGGCACTCCGGCTGCGGCTTGTCGATCCAGCAGTAGGCGAAGGAGCCCTCGAGCCACACGTAGAAGTCGCGGCACACGTCGCACTGGAACGGACTCGTGGCCCGGTCGCAGTTGACCTCGTTCAGCCTCTACACAGAAGAACTACACGGTCAGCTGGAAGAAGATGAAACACCCAGCTTTCAATTGGTAGCTCGCTGCTGTGGATTAGACTCCCATTGACCCGCACCTTCACGAGCGCACAGTCACATGGGCAGTTCACGAAGGAGGTGCAGTGGAGGTCGGCCGGCTGCGGGTGGTTGACGATGCAGCTGTCGTGCATGGCGCACGCCTGGTCGAGCTCGTCCATCGGCGGACACTCCTTCAGGCACTCCATCGTCGGTTGGGTGACCGAACTGTTGCACGACGGACATGCCTGCCCTTCGCAGCAGTCATCGAACCCGCCCTGGACATGGTCGCACACTGTCATATCAGTTCATAACAATTTACATCATGTGGAGGGAGCAGGGGCAGCGGTACATGTGCCAGTCCACACCAGCTGCTATAGCGCAAGCAGGGAACGGACTCTTCGTGGTGAAGCTCTACTGGGTGTGGCTCGGCGAAGCAGTGGACACCCAGCAAGAGCGCCCCTATTACAAGCAGTCCAATTACAAGTGGGTTGTTCATGACCTTTGTCTCTTCTTCGTGCAAGCTGAGCGCCCAGTGCTGCTCCTTGTTCCCACGTCAGGCAAAACTGAAGCGCGTGGGACCCGCAGAGAAGCCGGAGGGCACCACCGGGCCATGGACGACCTGCTTTTGACGAAACGTTATTCAGAATTCCGGAATTGCAGACTGCAGCCAATGGGCTTGTTCGGGGGAACCGATCAGGAATTCCGAGCATGTGAGCTGGCTTTGAAACAGGAGTGGTCGGGAGTTTGCCTAGGCACCAAGCGACAAAAATTTTGCCTGCGTCAACGCTTTGCGGTGCCCAACTGCGCTCGTCTTGATTCGTGTCTTCGCGCCAACGACCGCATCACTGCTCGCCACACCCGATCGGCGTCATCTTCTTTGCCCAGCTGCGCAGCTTGATCAATCGCCCAGTTTCGTCTTGAACGACGTAGCTCTTACCCGATTCGATCACACGATTCGATTTCCGACGCGCCAGTTTTCGTTCGGGACATTTAACGACATCGTGTCTGCCGCTCATTGATTCATCTCGCCATGGCTCAGAAGGCACTCCCTCAGGATGAGATTCCTCTTTGGACCCTCATCTGGACGTATCAGGCGTTCATCTTGGGCATCCTGCTCGCCCATTTCCGCAATTTCACTTCTTGGCTCTCCGTCGCTACCGGACGATCGGAAGAGGACCCGGCCTTTGTATGCCAGGAGGTACTTTTGCCTCCTTATCAAAAGATGGCCATTCTCGACTCGCTTCTGAGACATATTCTGTCCTTCAATTCTGCTGCTAGGGTCATGCGCCGCTGCTCAAGGCAAAGGAGTATTTCTACACTCGGTACTTCTTCGGCAGGCTGAGGGATTGCTGGGATCGTCCCATCTGCAGCCGTCCTGGCGCCATGTTCGACCTCATCGGCCGCGAATTCGACGGCTCCCTGTATGGATCGTTCCAGTACACGGGCGAGAAAATGCGCGCCATTAATCTCGGCTCCTACAACTACCTGGGCTTTGCCGAGAACGCTGGCAAGTGCATCGATGATACCATCGACGCGGTTCACAAGTATGGCATCAGCACTGCTGGCCGTAGGATGGAGACTGGTTCGTCTGAGCACATTGCGCCTGAGCATGATTTCATCTTCTGCAACTAATTTCGGTCCGATCTCAGGTAGCATGGACCTTCACAGGAAGCTTGAGCTGCGCATGGCCGATTTCCTGGGCAAGGAGGACGCCATCATCTTCAACATGGGTTACGCAACCAACTCGACCTCGATCTCTGCTCTCATTGGCAAGGTACATGCGACTTGTTTAACAGAAATTCCTTTACGGGCAACGAACTCACACTTCTCTTTCTCCAGGGTGGTCTGATCATCAGTGATTCACTCAACCACGCTTCGATCGTCACGGGCTGCCGCTCTACCGGTGCCAAGATCAAGGTTTTCCAGCACAACGGTACGTGAAGAGTCAGCCTTGCTCAAGATTAACGTCGCCTTCCTGCTCACAGCCCCTTCCTGCTCACGGTGTTTCAGACCCGGCCGATCTGGAGCGCGTGCTTCGTCAGTCCATTGCCGAGGGTCAGCCGCGCACTCACAGGGACTGGACCAAGATCATAATCGTTGTTGAGGGCATCTACTCGATGGAGGGTGAGATCCTGCGTCTTCCCGAGATCGTGGCCATCAAGAAGAAGTACAAGGTACAAAGCACCGTTTGCCTCTTGGCGAGCTTGTCTCACGCGGGTCCAATCACCACACCAGGCCTACTTGTACGTCGATGAGGCCCACAGCATTGGCGCCCTCGGCAAGAGCGCGCGAGGTGTGTGCGACTACTGGGGCGTTCCCACCTCCGACGTCGACATTCTCATGGGCACCTTCACCAAGTCCTTCGGTTCCGTCGGTGGCTACATCGCCGCCAATAAGGATGTCGTGCGACACCTGAGGCAGCACTCGCTGGGCTCGGTCTACCAGTCCGGCATGTCGCTCCCCTGCGTACAGATGATCCTTTCCGCGCTCGACGTCATCACCGGCGCTGACGGCACCGACGATGGCCAGAGGGTACGACCCAGCACAGCACCTTTGCTACTCGCAAATCACCGCCTAACATGCCATTCCGTGTGCGGCTTGCGCTGCACAGAGGATCAACGCTCTGCGTGAGAACGGCAACTTCTTCCGTCAAAGGCTGAAGGAGATGGGCTTCCGCATCATCGGTAGCGAGGACTCGCCCGTCATTCCCCTCATGCTCTTCCACCCCGCCAAGATTGCCGGTTTCTCTCGCGCCGCGCTCGAAGAGAACGTACGTGCCTCCCTCTCTTCACCAGTCCTTTCCGAGCCACGACTCTGACATGGTCTCCCACTTTCTCTCCTCTGCGCGATCCATCCAGCTTGCCGTCGTGGTGGTCGGTTTCCCTGCCACCTCGCTTCTCGGCTCCCGCGCCCGTTTCTGCGTTTCTGCGGGCCATACCAAGGAGCAGCTCGAGCGAGCCCTGGAGTCGATCAGCGTGATCGGTGACAGGTGACCTTCTTCTTCTTCTTCAGCTCTTTGCCTTCCAACTCACGTTTTTTTTTTGTATTTTACACTCCAGGCTGATGCTCAAATACGGCAACGAGGAAGAGGCGGCGCACTGAGCCTGGTGCGCGCCGAACACCAGTCCACGGCCACATTTTTTTCGAGCGAGCTTTTAGAGGAGGAGAGGGGAGAGGAATGGAGAGAGAGAAAGAGAGAAGAGAGCATGAACCAACTGACCAGCAGCACCAAGGACTCGTTTGCAGACACACGCGAAGAGAGGGGAAGCGGAAGAAGGGCCGAGTGAAGGAGAGAAAGAGAAGGAAAGACGACGCAACCACCTCTTCCCTTCCATCGCCTCTCTTGGTCATCATGCTCCGGGGACCGGGACGTGTGTACATCACCACCATCACCATCATCATCGACAGCCCAGCGGGAGAGAAGGCGCGGACACAGCAACGCGACACCTGCGATTTCATTTTAACACAACCTTTTACAAAACAAATCTGTTACCAAACAATTTCTCGATTCTTGCAGTGCTCCTTTTTGATCGAAAGAATGAAGATTGCTGAGGCCAAAATCGAGGACCACTACTACTTCGTTGACCGCAACGGGGGAAAAGCAGGCTAAACAGTGCGACAAGAGGGTCAAGCGCGAAGGCGTGGTCTTCTACGAAGAAGAAGGCACGGTGGCAGTGGCACGGGCAAAACGGGTCCCTTTGTCCGCGCCCTGATGTGGGACTTCAAGGCCGCGGACGGGCTCACGCTCCACCCGGCTTTCAGGGTCTCCGAGGAGGGGTGTGTCGGCTGCTTCTTAGAGCCCACACGAGAGAGAGACCTCGGGCAACACACCGTCATCGAGCTGGGGGCAGGATCCTGACCAATACAAATAACCAAAAATGTTTGTTGTTTTCGATGGAAGTCGTGGGCTGAGGCAGAAGTGATCAGATCAGCCAGCGCGACCACCGCCACGCTGCCAGCCGCCCCCGCCGCGAGCGCCGCCGCCTGGTCGGGGAACCGCGACGCGAGCGGGCGACCCTCGTCGTCCGCCACCGCCACCGCCACCTGTTCGCCCACCGCCGCCTGCGCTGAGCCCGAACACGCGCCGTCCGAGGTCGGTGAGTTCGGGCGCGAAGCCCGCCGCGCGCACCTTGGCGTCGACCGTGTGGACCCGGGCCTGGGCTCGCTTGGGGTCCATCGGCTGCGCCGGGAACATCCGCAGGAACTGAGCGCACCGCATCCGCCCGCTCTTGTTTGGGCGCGCTGCAATTGGAGTTGAACAATACGAGAATAATGATTACTTAATCAATAAATAACCATATTAGACAAAAACTCACTCTAAAATAAATACTAATAAATAAATAATGATAAAAATAAATAAACGTACCACCGTGCGGGGTGCGCTGGTCCCAGATGACCATGCTGCCGGCGCGCATGGTGATCCGCATGCCGAACTTTTGGATGGGGTCGTCGTCGGGGAACATCATCGAGTTGCGCTCCTTCGCCATCTCCACCAGATCCCGCTTGCCCGCATTCGCCTCTGCCCACCTCTGCACGACACAACACGAGACACGACACGAGACACGGCACGACACGAGACACGACGCATGTTAGCTTCGCGGTAGCACTTGGTCAGGGTGTCCTGCAGCGTACGTTGAAGTGGTGTCGGAAGCCCGGCACGCACTGGAAGCCGCCGTCGGCCTCGACGTTGTCGACGAGGTTGAGCACGGCCTGCACGTTGAGCGGGTGGATGCGCTCGCACACCTGGTTGTTCTCGAAGATGAAGTGGTTGAGGTGGCGGTCGCCGTACTGGAGGCCCGCCAGCGTGCGCCGCTCCTTGTCGCCCGAGCCCAGGTAGCCCCACACGTCCTTCACAGCCCAGCGTTGATCAGAACAAAAAATCGCACACGCACGGCGCGCGCACACACGCACGACCGCACACGACACGCACGCGCGGGGAAAAGTACCATGTCGAGGTGGAGGTTTTCGCTGGTGCGCCAGTGGGGCATGTCCCGTGCGCCCGTGGGGAACTGCACTCCCTTTGTCGGCCGGAACAGGCTCGCCCTACAAACCGACACCGCCCGTCAGAGCACATACCGCACACGCACACACGCGACCGCACACGCACACGCGCACCTGTCGTGGCTGATCATGATGTCCTCCGATCCGAAGAGGAGCGCGAACGGGCTGACGAGGCGCGGGTTCTGGCGGTTGCGGAGGATCTGCGGCGTGAAGAGCGGCGGGCGCGAGGGCATGCCGTGCTTGGCCATTCCCTCGGCCGGCCACTGGTCCCACGTGCTCACATCGTGCCTGTCGAACCGACCCTCCGTCCCCTCCTGCCCATCCGTGTGTGTCGTGTCGTGTGCGGTGGCGCGTGCGGTGGCGTGTGCGGTGAGTGTGCGGTGTGTGCGGTGAGACGAGGAAAGGGAGCACACCTCGAGAAGGCCGAAGATCTCGTTGACGGTGGCCTGGGCCTCCTGCGGAGTGAGTACGTCCCGCACCACCACGAACCCGAACTTGTCGAAGAACGCCACCAGCGCCTCCGCCTCCTCCGCCTCCTGCAAAGTAATACAATAAATTCAATAAATAAATAACACCCATTTTAATTTTATAAAAATAATAACACACAATAAATAATTGAAATAAAAGGGAAAAATGGTGGGCGCACCTGAGGTGTGTGGAGGGCGGACGAGGGAGAGGCGGGTGCGGGAAAGGAGAAGATGAAGCGGGCGTCGTCGGGGTCGCGCGGCACCTCGGCCCGGAACTGCTCCAGCGTGAGGCCTGCCCACTCGCTCTCCACTTCTCGCGCCGTGGCCGTCGTTGCTGGCTTGCTCCTTGGCGTCGTGCCAGCGGCCGATGAACCATCACCGCCACCTCGCTTTCTGGGATTATCCATCTGGATTGAGATATGGATCGCGTGATGTAGTTGAACGTTCTGTTCAAAATACTGAACAACCAGTCTGGCTAATCAAAGGCTCTCCCTATTTCATTCTTTTTCTCATGTTTTGTACGCTTCACCGATTTGCCTGCACGTAAAATAGAAAAATAAAAAATGCAATATGAAGTTTTATTTTAATATCACGACTGCTAGCTTTCGGGGGGGCAGCAAAAGGAAATGGAAACCTTAAAGATGGACGCGGGTGACTTGGATCGTCTGCGGCTCTGCTTCGCCGACATCAAAGAATGCATCCAGCTCTTGGTAGGGACCTACCAACCACCAACACAAACCAAGGTCGTTGTTTTGAGTTTCTTTGTTCATCTTCTTCTCTTCTCTGGCGATGAGCAGGGAGCGGAACGCGGTGGCGACGAAGCAAAGCGGAAGCTGTGGGCGACCCAGGTGTCGACCAAGCTCACCGAGCTGAAGCTCCCGCTGAGCGGTTGGCAGCAGAACGTGGCCCTGGCCAAGCTGAGGGCCGAGCAGTGCAGCTTCGAGGAGTCGGACCGCGGCCAGGCGCTGGCGGAGCTGGAGGCCGTCAAGGACGAGGGCGACGAGCTCATCGTGCGCCTGCTGGCCCTGCTGGCTCGCGGCCCGCCGCTACGTAGCGTCTTCACTCCTCACACAACCCACTGGGGAACTCATGCTGACGTGTGTCGTGTGTGTCGTGTGTGTCGTGTGTGTCGTGCTGTGTCGTGTGTTGTTTGCTTTTGTCGCAAAAGTGAGGCCAGAGGTGATCGGGTCGCTCGAGCAAGCACTCTGCCCGCCGCTGGCCCGCGCGCTGGACGGCGATCGGGCGTCGCTGGCGGGGCTGATCAAGCGCGAGGGCGCCGGCGTGTTCACCATCGACGTCTTCTCTGAGCCGTGGATGCAACAGCTCATCACCGTACGCAGCGATCTCCACATCACACTCATCTCTTGTGCCTTGGCCCTCACTTCCTCACTCAACCACCGCACGACCTGCGCGACACGCACGACACGCACATAATAGGAAGCGGACGAGTTGGCACTATTGCCAACATGCTGAAGGGGCGAGGCCTGGTCCAGGGGTCCAGCTCCTTCTACTCCCAGTCCCGGTTCTCGTCTCCATACAGCGTGAACAAGCCCGGTCTCGAGGGCGTCATCTTCAACAACTTCCCGCACACCAAGGCTCTGATGCACAGCCTGGTCAAGCGAGTACGTCATTAGCGCCACACGCGCGGTTCGCGCTATTAGAAGAATGTGTCTCATGCCGTTGTGTGTGTGTGTGTGTGTGTGTGATCCCAATGCGGCACGCAGGTGATCGAGCCGGTGGGAGTGGCCTACCTGGAGAGGGAGGACAAGAAGCCGAAGAAGCACAGGTGGATCGAACCGCAGTATGCCCACGTGGTGTCGTATTCCATGATGATGTACAATCAACCTCGTGGCCACTTCCCGCACGTCGACGACTCTGGTACGTGTGTGTCGTGACCTCAGTTGGCACAGCAAGATCTGAGCGAAACTCTGACATTGTGTGTTTGCCATCAATCGTTAGAGCTGACGATCAACATCTGCCTGGGCAAGCAGTTCGAGGGCGGGCATTTGACCGTCGTCGACGACGAAGGCAACGAGGTCACCCTGCCCCAAGTCCCTGGTACGACGCGAGGCGCAGCCCCTTACTTGCTTTCCCTTTTCTCGCCCGCTTCGTGCATTGCTCCTCACACACGGCACTCCTACGCACCACGCTGCAGGCCGGGCCATCGTTCACAACGGGCGGGCGCTTCATTCGTCGAAAGATATCACCTCGGGCGAGCGCTACAACCTCATCGTGTGGTGCCGCTTCCACGAAAGCCCGTTTGACGTACATACCATCATCATCATAACCATCATCTTCATCTGCATCATCACCAGCGTTGACGGCCCACAACTTTTGTGCGCGCGTAGACGTTTCCGTTCGAGGAGCTGCCGCCGGAGCTGCAGCAGGCGGTGGTGGACCTCCTGCCCCCCGAGGACCTGTGCCGGCTTCGCCTGGCGTCCCAGGACATGTACGGCCTCGTGGAGGGCTCCAACCGGTGGCAGTGGGAGGCCGCCCAGTCCCAGTTCGTCCGCGATTCGCCCGACGACAAGGTGCGTCGTACCTTTCTACTCAAGAGGCCCTCACCACCACCTTAAGAGTCACCATGCTGACGTCAGCTCACAACGACGACTCGCGCGCAGAGGTCGTGGCGCCAGGTGTTCATGGACACCAGCGCCAAGCACCGGGCCAACCGGCTCAAGGGCATGAGCCCGCTGGCTCCGCTCGTCGCCACCCGCTTCCGCGGCCCGCCCACCGAGACGCCCCTCGGCCTCCCCTATTCCACGCTCTACGGCGGCGGCCACCCCTTCCCGATGAAGATGGCGATGCCGGCGCCGATCTGGGGCATGCCGGGATCGGTCTACCCCCAGCCCTTGCCGTGGACGGCCCCGCCTGGCTTTGGACCCGCGCCCGGCTCGTTGCCGGTTCCCTGGGCGCAACCCACGCCCATGCTTATGCAACCACCCATGACCCGCATGGCCGCGCCGCCGCAGCCGCAGCCCTTCGGGATGCCGCCGCTGATGGGAATGATTCCCCCGCCGATGCCCTTTCTGAGCCCGCCGATGGGGCCTCCTCCAGGCATGGCGCTGCCACGGCCGGTGATGCCTCCGCTGGGGATGCCCCCGACCCGCATGGCCCAGCCGCCGCCCGCCACCCTTCCGGCTCCACTCCAACCGGGATGCCAGCCTTCTCAAGGTGTCGTCCAAAAAGGTGGCTGCCAGCTCCAGTGAAGGGGTGGGCAGTCACCACATCTCGCTTTTTTTTTGCGATCTTTGTAACACAGTGGTTGCTCCACACATGTAACCCAATTGCAATTGGGTCGGGGTTGAGGTTCCCTGCCAACCGCCGAACCATGGTAAACCAGCACTGGCGCTGGCGCGCTGCGGTTACCCGCAAATAAAGAGATTCTGGGGTTTTTTTATTTTTTTATTCTTTTATATTTAAATATCAGCAAGAGGACCGAACCGACTCACTGGCAAGTGGGGCGGTCTAATCGAGCAAGGGATGGAAGCGACATCGTCGGCCTGCAGCCTCAACGTCCTTATGAAGGATCGGCTTGAGGCCAGTCCTCTCATCAAATCATGGTAACCCCCCAAACATCTTACTCGTCTTCAATCTCGGATTAAGAGCATATGTGCTCATCCCACCCACCCTCCATGCCAAATCTGTGCACATCAATCGAATGATTCATTCATCGGCATCTCTTTTGCCGGCCATTTTTACCCGCGCCAGACCACACTTTTTTTTTGAAGAAGCGAAAAAGCGAGCGTCGATATGTCGACCAATCGAGTAACTTCACGAACGCGACTCTCTGCCGATCGCTGACAATGGCCCAATCCCGTTCTGTGTTGTGTCGTGTCGTGTGTGTTGTGTCGTGTCTATGGTCGGTCACAGGTTGGGTCGTGTGCTGGTGGCGCGCAGCGGCGAGCGGGTGCCCAAGCGGGCCGTCGTCGACGCCTACCGAGCCTTCTGCGCCGAGAATTGCTACGAGCCCACCACTTCCTCCTCCTTCGGCCGCTTCGTTTGCGAGGTTCTCCTCCCTCCCCTCGTTCTCCTCCGTCTCTTCGCTTTTCGTTTTCGCTTTCGCTCTTCACTTTCACTCACCCGCGCGTGGCGCGCTGCAGGTGTTTCCCGAAACCCGCAGCTGGAGGTCGCGAAGCAAGCAAAAGGGCAGCATGGGCGAGATGTTCTACCTCAACCTCGCCTTTGCCGATCCCTCGCATCTTGTCTCCTCCTCCGCCTCCTCCGCCACCTCCTCTGCCACATCCACCTCGTCGTCGACTTCACCATCCCGTCCGGTCAAGGCGACTCGGTCCACCACCACAGCGACGTCTGCACAAAAGCGCACACGCGCCAAACCGACTGCACGCATCGCGTCGGCGGAGCCGAATGAGTCGTCGTGCCCGGTGATGGCGTCAACGACCGCCTATACCTCCGGGTCCGCCTCCTCGCCTCTGTCCTCCTCCTCCTCCTCGTTGTCATCGTCGTCGTCATCGCTGTCGTCGCCGCTCACCCGCGAGTCGTCGCCGGCCCTAGCACGAGGCAACAGCAGCACCTCGCCTCACGAATTCACCTCGGCCTCCTCCTCTGCCGTCTCCTCGCCCATTTCTTCCTCCTCCTCATCCACCACCTGCCCCTCGTCAGACTCGTCGCCATCACCCGCACCCTCGCCGACATCGACATTGACGTCTTTATCGACGGCATCAACGTCATTGTTGGCGTCGCTGTGCGCCACGCCCACAGCTTCATCTACATCGCCGCATCACCGTCATCACCACCACCGCCAGTTCGTGACGAGCTGCGGGCCGGTCTTCTCCGACGTAGGAGAGACGCCGAGTTCGCTGCTATGGTCGGCGTCGCTGCTGCACGCCGACCCCGCATCGTCGTCGCAGCCGCCACTGCGCTCTCAGTTGGCGCCGCTGGATGACGAGCGGCGACGACAAGTGCGGACGGTCGAGCAGCAACAGCGTCGGCTTGCGGCGTGGCTGGAGCAAGACGACGACGCGACCACGACCACCGCCACGACCACTACAACGACAGCGACATCGTACCGTGTCCCAGAGGCCGGGTACGGCGAGGTCGCCACCCACCGCAACGCGAGACGGCCGGCGGTCAATCTGTGGACGGCGGACGCCGAACTCCACACGCTCGAAGTGCTCCATTCCTTTGTGGAGGTGTATCACCACCACATCTGGATCAGCTGGTACGCGCTCCCACCCATTTTCACATTCTTCAGATTCCTTGTTTTCCTACAGTGAAATGGCAGGAGTGAAAGAGGAATTCTAAACATCTGACGTATGGTGTGCGTAGTCCTATCAACCCGGGCTGCTTCGATTTTGAGACACTACGGCACATTTGCATGACAGACGACGGTAGGCGGGAGCGGAGTCCAGTCTCGCTCAATATCTACGTAGCGCTCAGCATTGGTACGTGGCTTCGTCTGACTCTGGCCAGCCTCAACCTTGACGCCCTTTTTCTCACACCGCCACCGCCGTCCATCGCTCCGCCATCGTTCCACCCCACGCGGTGCAGGGTCCACGTATGCGGGCGATCTCGAGCGAGGCCTGGAGTTCTGGATGATCGCCAGGGAGCATCTGGGCTACGTGTTCGATGCCTCGAGCTACGATGTGGCGTGCACCCTCCGACTGATGGCCCGCGCTGCTCACGTCTTTTCAAAGGTGCGCGACAAACGACACGATACACCACCGCACACGACGACGCACCATCGCACACGTACCACTACACACGTGCCACCGCACACACGATACACACGACACACACATGAGGCACGGACCTAACGCGGTTTGGGTGTCTAGACGGAGAAGGAGGGACGCGAGAAGGCGGCGTACTACTTCGAGCTGGCCAAGCAGATATTCACCGCCGTCGGGTCGGTGCACGACGAGAACTACATCATGGCCGACAAGTGCAATGCCCTCTATCACACCCAACCGCCCAACCCCGACGAAGCACTCAACCGCATGGTACGTGTGTGTGTGTGTGTATGTGTGTGTGTTGTGTCGTGTGTGTCACGTGGGTGTCGACTGAAAATCGGTTGTGCAGATGCACTGCAGTCCGCAGCCGGCGTGGCGCCGCACGTGGCGTCTGACGGAGTACCAGTTCCTGCAGTGCAAGTACGGTCGGGTGGCCGAAGGGCTGCGCGACCACCTGTGGCACGTCTTCGCTCATCTTCGCACCGCCCTTGACATGCTCGCTGCCTGTACGCTTTCCCCAGCCCGTGCTTGTGTGGTGTGCGGTACGTGTGTGTCGTGTGCTGATGGTTTGAGTGTGCGCAGCCGAGCCATTGGCGATGTCGAAGCTGGAGGAGGTGATGACGCGCGTGCGTACTCTGGAGGCACAGTTCACGCAGGAGCTCGAGGGCGAGCATTTCACCGCCAATAGACACGTGGTGGCCTACCAGCGCACGTTCATTCTCTTCATGAAGGCCTGCTGCGCCCATCGGCTCGGCTGGATCACCCAAGCCCTGCAACACACTCACGCCTTCTTCACTCACCTCACCACCTTCAACCCCGGTACCGCACGCACCGCACGCACTCACTGCACACACCGCACGCACACGAGCTGACGTGATTGAGGAACGCAGGTGCGCTGGCGGTGATGTTGTCGGAGATGTGGTGGCTCGCGCCGATCGCGAGCGAGGTGGCGGGCCTGCTGCGTCTGTGCCTCCACCAGCGGCGGCAGGACCAGCTCTCGCTCTTCTTCCAGCTCCTGGCGCCCCTCCGCGGAACGATCGTGTGGGCCGACCGCATCGGGCGCCTGGCCGAGGACCTGCTCGCCCGGGCCGCGCTCGACCTGCCCGCCTCCCACTTCTTCCCCTACTCCTCCTTCGCCACGCCGGCCTCCGCCTTCGTCCCTCCGCCATCGTTGTCATCGTTGTCGTCGACACCACCGCGACCCAGCGAACGACGCAAGCGAGCACGCGACGACGGCCAATCTGCGACCCTGCTCGACCTCATGTAGTTCTACTCTCGGCCGCAAACTCCCAAAATGTATGTATCATCATCACGAGCATCAGAGCGCCTTCTTCTTCTTGAAGATGCCGCACCAGGCCAGGGGGGCTGCGGCAGGTTCTCTCGGTAGTGCTCCGTCATGTCGAACCTGGAACAGGGTGTCACTCAAGTAAGTGCCCCAAGGGCCCTGGTCTCGGTGGCGGCATCAAAAGTCGTACGCACCTCGTCTCGTAGATGGAGAGCACCTCAAAGTGGGAGGCGAAGGCGTCGGTGAGTTCTTCCTTGGTCAGGCGCTCCGGCCCGGTCATTGCTTCGTTGCAGTTACCCACCAGAGTGAAGAAAATGCCTTGTGTAACACACGACACACACGACACACACGACACACAGCACACGGCACGGCACACGGCACACGACACACAATGTGAGTGCAGCGGTCTTGAAGAGCTTCTTCTACGTGCCCGCACCTCCAGGCCGGACGAGCTGAGCAATCTTGTCGGCCACGGGCCGCTCTCCGATCTCCTTCCGTAGCACATGGAAGCACTGACAATCGTAGACGAGATCGAAGCCTCCACCTTCGCGTTCCGCCGCCACATCGCCGCTCGCGGCCTCTTCTTCGTGTGCCTTATCCTACGCACAAGCAGAAGAAGTGGTCGAAAAGGTGAAGTTGGCGGTGTCAGTCATGTTATGTTTCTTTCTGCGACACAGAGGGAATGAAGTACCTGCTGCTCGTGGCTCATCCGCTTGCCCACGGCGAAGGAGAAGGAGTTGGGCAGGGCCATGAAGTCTGAAGCCACGAACCTGCACCGGTCCGCCACCCCAGCCTGCGCAAGAGTTACTTCTCGGCCAGCACGCTCCTCTACGTTTGATTTGGGGGGCGGGAGCGCGCACGGCGGTGGCGGCTGCTGAAGCGGCGCGTAGCGGCAGAGGGACGAGGTCGACCCCCACCACGGCCATGCCTTGCTGGGCCATCCACACGCACGAAGCACCCGAGCCGCAGCCTATCTCCAGCACCTCTGCCGACGTCGAGGAGCGCTCAGGTGGAAGAAGGCGCTGGCCCTCGGGGTGGTCGTGCAGGAAGGCGACCAGCTGCGAGGCCGGGCGGTGGGCGTCCCACGGCGCGAACCCCGAAGCGTAGAAGCCTGACCACTTGGCCACGCTCGCTGCTGGTGCTGCTTGGGGTACCTCCTCTTCCATCGACAAATAAGAAGCCACCAATATCAATTTCCCTCTGATTTTCTATACTTTTCCTTTACTCTCATTTACTTTTGTATTTAAAAACGAAATACAAGATGGAGGGGGCGGGGTTGCCGTTCTCGCCCGTGGCCGTGGTGCCACCTACACCACAGGCGCCCAGTGCGTTCAGCGGCCTCTTGTCGCGCAACATCTCGTTTGTCAATCATTACGAATTCCGATGGAAGCACCGCACCTTCCACAAGGCCATTGCACTCGGTACGTCTCGCCTCGCCTCCTTCCTTTCCTCACGCCTCAGATCGTTATCATTTCAAAAATCCGTTCCTGATTTTGTGCGTGATTGATAACGCTACTACGCGCAGGGGATGTGGACAACGACGGCAACGTGGAGCTGGTGGCCGGGAGCTTGGGCGGCATGCTGCTCGTGTGGAAGGGAACCAACCCGCAGCCGTGGCGCACCTCCGAGAACCTCGGCACCGTACGTGACCCATTGCTTGCTATGAACATGCACACGTTCATTACAAACATGTGCGTCGTTCTGACCTCGCACAGATTGCCTGCATAGCGGTGGGCGACGTCTACAACCACGGCAAGGTACTACTACTCGCTCATGGCGCTATTGCTCCCCGGTGGGAGGGACACTGATGGTTGTCGGTGCTGTGATGGTGTGGTCCCTCTAGAACGTCCTGGTGGTGACAACGTTCGAAGGGCTGTGCCACATCTTCGACTTTGGCACGGAGAACACAGAAGCCGAGGCGCAGTGCAGCACGGAGGGCAAGGAGGGTCGGCCCGGGGCCATGATACCGAGCGGCACCTGCCGTATTCCGCCCAACATCAACGCAATCCTCATCACCGACGCCGGTACCTCCTCACTGCGTGTGTCGTGCGTGTCGTATGTGTGCTGTGTGTTGACCTTTGTGGGGTGGGACAGACAATGACGGCTACAACGAACTCCTGATGGGTGGCAGCGACCGCATACTCTACTCCTACCAGCTGACGCTGCCCGACAAGACCTCGGCTCCGCCATCGCCCTCGCTGGGTCCGTCGACTGCGTCGTCGTCGATGCTCCCCATCCAGTCGCCGGGCCGGGGGCGCGAGCCCAGCATCTCCCGAGAGGCCAGCCTCCCGCTCGGGTCCGCGGCCATGCTGTCCTCCAATTCCTATTCGGCGCCCTCGTTGCTTCCCGGCTATTCACCCACGAAACGACCGACACCCATAGTACAAACCAAGGCCACCTGGTCCTTTCCGCATCACATATGGTACGCGCCTGTGTGCGGTGTGTGCGTGCGGTTGCAGCGGTAACACATTGGTCTCCACACAGTTCGCTGTGCTTGTCCAACTTCAAGCGCGACGTCGGCGACAGCGTGCGCATGGTGCTCGTTGGGCTGCAGGGCGGCGCCTACGCGGTGATCGACAACGAGGGCATACCGACGGAGGTCCTCCAACCCTACGCCCGACCATCACGCAGCCGCAAGGATCCGCGATCCAGGAAATCGTATGCCTGCCCTCTCCGGGGTGTTTGCCCTTTGTTTTCTTTAGCTTATCGCACACGACACGACACGATACACACGACACACGACACGCGCACACGCTCACCACACGACACGCGACACGCGCACACGCTCACACACCCGCAGAGGGTACTCGCGCTACGATGACACGTCAGCGATGGATGACAAGCGGGATGATCAACCTCACGGCCGAGATTCCACACCAACGACCGAGGCCAGCTTCGCCCCAACCGAGATCGTCTCTCCCATCGTGCGAACTAAAGGAGCCATCGCAGCCGTTGCCACGCTTGACGGTACACACGGCACACTTGAAGCTGGCAAACCAATGCTAACTCCTTTGTGGCTTGCGTGGTCGTGTGGGTCTCGCACAGGCCACATGCAGCTGGTGGAGTTGACCGGCGCTGGCGGCGGAGGGAAAGGCATCGGGTGGTCGGTGCTGTGCGAGGTCAACCCATCGTCGCCCGCCTCGGGGGGCGGTGGCGGGGCGCCCGGGATCGTGGCCAAGGAACTCTTCCCGACCGAGTCCGCCGGCGCCATGCACTCGGTCTCACAGACCATGGACTGTTCGCAGTGCTTCACTGCCTGCTCCCTGGACATCACCGGTACAGATACGTGTGTGTGTGATACGCGCATGGCACGGCAGGGCGCAGTAGCAGTGCTTACACTGATCACGTCGTGTTACAGGGAGTGGTGAAGAAGTGGCGGTATTGTGCTCGTGGAGCGGGCTCACGCATTTCATCGACGCCAAGGGGCAAACCATTTCGTTCCACTCCCATCAGCCCGTACGCGCGTTCACGGCCGGTAAGCTCAAAATGCGATCGCGTTTCCCTTCTACCGCTTCGTGTGTCGCTGCCCTCACACCATTCTCCCAGGAATGTATTCAATCGAACCCGGCAAGAAGTCGCCCTGCCTGATCTACATCACCATCGAGGTACACCCCATGCACACGCGCGGGCGCGCACACGCACACGCGCAGAAGCTGACGAAAACCTTGCGTTGCCTGGAAAGGGTGCCATCCGGATCTACTACGGAATCAAACTGCATTCGATGGGGGTGAGCACGGCGGTGGCTGCTCTGGCGGAGGACCTGCGGGAGTTCGATTTAGTCAAACAGAGCTTCACCAACTCAGGTTTCATTCAGCTCCTGACCTCCTTCTTTTCTCCCAAACGGGAGTGTCGCACGTGTTTGTCATCTCGTTGAGTGATCCTGACTCCTTGCGTGTTGCGCACGCACGCGCAGAGTGGGACCTGAGGCAGGAGCAGGTGGCGCTCATCCATTCGGCCCTCTATCATTTCCCCCAAGAAGACGTTGAGCGCTACAAGCTCTACCTCCAGCAGCGGATCGCTGCCCTCAAACAGGTAAAACAAAACTAACTGCCTTGTGTTGCTGCGCCACAGCACTGAAAATATAGTTGTCCCCGTACCACCGCGGTCGCAGGCCAAGGCGGCGGCCAAGGCAACGTAGGAAGATGACGATGGCCGACGTTTGGCACAATCGAACGTTGTCTTCTTCTCCGGACAGTTGGTGATGGCGGAGCGATCTCCAAGGTCTGTCGTCACGGAAACAAAAACGATTGACAAGAAATGACCCGCAATAGAAAGATCAAGATAAGGAAGCCACTTGACCGCTCCAAATTGCCCAATGCTGGTGCGTTTGACTCACATGTGCCAAGCAACCGTGATTGGAGCCTCATCATATTTCCGCTCGCCGCATGGAACATGTCGACCGGCGAAGCGGTCTCCGCCGGCCGGCGAAGCGCTCGGCGTTCTTCTTTCCCGTTCTTATTCCTTCAACTCACCCACCACAACACAACTACCTGCTCGCCCCTTCAACTGACTGACCACCATGGTTGCCACGCGAACTTCTGTGGCCTTTGGCGCTCTAGTCGTGGTGGTCTGCCTGGGGCAAGGTACGTGATCAGTGCCTGCTTCGCGAAGCCGGTGAAAGTTTGTTCACTAAAGCTGCTTGCTTTCCTCACTTTGCGCGCAGCCCTGGGGTACGGCGTGGAGCTATACGGTGCGGGCACGCCCAACGCCGTCTCCGTCTTCAAAATATGGACACCGTCCTACCTCTTCACCCGTGACGACGTCAGGTACCGGCGCCACTTCCTGAACACACCGCCACACGCCTTGCTTTGCGGTTGATCCAGCCACGATCAATCACCAAGCACGGCGTCCACAAACTATTGCCAGACACAAAAGAAAAAATATCAATCTTGGCGTGTGGCGAGTACTCACCTCGGCTCCTCTACCAGCATCACATATGACGGGGTGGGCATCACCCCGGCCATCAGCACCTACACCCAAGGCAATGCCGTACGCTCCGCCAGCCCACCCGCTTTTTCTTTTTGATTATATTCATTCTTCGTGTAGCGGCTCCAAAGTAAATCAAGATGATGAATATTCGGCTGCAAGATGAGCAAGCAACTCACGAGCGGCGTATTGTTGCTGCTGGTTCAGGACTTCTTGGTGATGGACAGGGGCTTGCCAGCCGACCTTTCAGCGCAGTACGGCGGCCTCGCCCAGATGCCGCTGGCCGGCCAGGCCCAGGTCATCGCCTACAACATAAGCGCCCTCAACTCCACCGACCCCAACATCGTACGAACGTACCTCCTTTGGGCTTAAAACGTTCCTGAAGCTGATGCGGTGATGTGGTGTGGTCAGGTGGTGGACAGGGAGACGCTGGGCCTGATTTGGGCTGGAAACATCACCAAGTGGAACGACACTCGCATCAAGGCTCTCAACCCGGCCATCGCCAACAAGCTGCCCGGGGCCGACATCTTGATCGGCTACAACGAAAACAGCGCCATCTCGCTCGTTGAGGTATTCAAGATTGCGCTGGAGCGGTTCAGCGAAGATTTCGCGATTGCGCTGGCGGCTGCCAACCGCACATGGGCGCTCATGCCGCCCGCGCAACGAGGCACCGCTGTGGTTGCCGGCGGCTCGACTGTCGCACGGCTGGCCTGGCTTCAGGCGAACGACAACAGTCTGACCTTTCTCAACTACGCCGACACTACATCGTCCAAGTTCAAGTGGATGAACATGATCAACAAGGCCGGCAAGCTGGTCACTCCTTCCGTGGCATCGGTGCAAGCGGCCATGGCCGACTACAGCGAGTACTACGCGCAGGGCAACTTCACGATCGACATCGTAGATGCGCCGGGCAACGACTCGTGGCCTATCGCCTACGTCAACTACCTGTCGGTCAAGCAGAACATCACAACCTTCGACTGCACCAACTACCAGGAGCTGCTGGCCTTCGTGGCCTGGATTCAGACCAACGACGCGTACGATGGCCCCTTCTCCGCCTCGTCTAATCATTACGTAACAGCTGACCGCCCAATTGGATTTTTTTTTTCTAGGGCGAGTCAGAGGGCATCGGACATCAATGTGGCGCCCATGGCCATACCACTGCGCGAGACGCTGCTGGATCTACTGAGAAATGTCCAGTGCAACGGCGAACAGATCTACACGACGGCCTATCTCACCGGCTTAGGATCACCGCTCCCGGTGTTCACGTCGTGGGCCGCGGCGTGGTCCAGCCTCGAATTCAGGATGAAGTACTACGAGGGCACTTCGACAGACGCGCGGCGAGAGGTACCCGCGCGCGAGGTAGATTTTGGCGTCGTGAGCGATGGATCCACGGGCGGCGCCACCGACATAGCCCTCACCCCGGTCATCGCATACGCTATCGTTCCCGGTAGGTGTTTTTTCCTCTCTTTGTTTTCATAGTGGACGCACTAACGTGTGTCGCTTGCGTTCTACGATGAATCGTCGTGAGTGCAGCTTACAACATTCCCGAATTGAAGGGCAAGAGCCTGGTGCTGAACTTTGACGTCATCGCGAGGATCTACCTCAACGAGATCACCTCGTGGAACGACCCGCGCATCCAAGACCTCAACTCTGCTGACGTGGCCGCTGTCCTGCCCAATAAGCCCATCGTGGTCGTCGTTCAAACAGTGGCATCGGCCATTACCAAAGTGTTCACCACGGTCCTCAACCAGACCGTGCCCGACTGGAGTGTCGTACGTACACGCAACATGGCGCCCCCCCCCACACAATCGGAATGACGACTGAAATGTGGCCTTTCGTGTTTCGCCCAGGTGGGCGTCGAGTCGTTGGTGACCTTCCCGGTGCAGGACATCGCGCCCAACCGCACCGTAGGCGTAGCCGGCCTCGATATTATCCCATCGCTCCAGGCAAATTCGTACTCGTTCGGCTGGTGGCTGGGGTTCGAGGTGTTTCAGGTGCGGAGCTTCACACCTCAGCTATTGCTTGACAAGTGTTTCGGTGCTGGTGCTGATGTGTGTGAACACACAGGCAAGAAAAATGGCGGCGGCTGCGCTGCAGATGTCCTCCGGCTCGATCATCAGTGCTGATGCAACATCGATGATCAGCGCGCTCATCGACTACGAGGCAAGCGGCGACACCTCCTACGCCAATCTGCTACTCGGTACGCTGGTTTCGTATTCTCTAGTAAAGCATTGGTATGTTTTTCAACACTCATTTGACCGTTGCCGCAGGGGCGAGCGCAAGCAGCTGGCCGGTGGCAACCTTTGGCTCGATGATCTACCCGCTGACCAAGATGAGTGACTGCAACGAAGCAGCAGTGCTCTCCGAGTTTCTCTATTGGTCGCAGACCGACCCTAACGCTATCGAAATTGCCACCAGGTTCGTCCACTCGCTTTCCATATCACATCATTCCTTCAGATGCTCAAGGTGACACGCCTCGATGTGATCAACAGGCACGGTTTCGTGCTGGCGACGGAAGTGCGCAGCATCAAGAGTCGGCTGCTCGACCAGCTCAAGCGCTTTACCTGCGACGGGGTGCAGGTGAGCCAGCTGGCCAACTGCATTCTCGACGGCCAGCTGTGCTCCAACAGCGGCTCCTGCATCGACAGCGAGTGCAGGTGCGACGCCGGAAAAGAAGGCCAGTACTGCGAGATCACAACCTCATCGTCATCGGACAACACGCTGGTCATCGTGCTCGGTAAGTCCCTCTATTCTGTCGATCGCTCTCATCCCAGTCGCTCGCTGACACGAACCCTTCCGATCTCAGCGTCGGTGATTCCGTCGGCTGCGCTCCTGTTGCTGCTGCTGCTGTGCCTGTTCGTGGTGCTCCTGGTGATCATCCGGCGCAAGAGCAGAACGTCGGACGATTGGGAGATCGAATACACCGAACTTGAGGTCGGCGAACAGCTGGGCGCTGGCGGCTACGGCGAGGTGCACAAGGCCACGTGGAAGGGTACCGAGGTGGCCGTCAAGGTCATGGCCTCGGAGAAGATCACCAAGGACATGGAGAAGTCCTTCAAGGACGAGGTATGTTGGTCGCACACACTTTGCTCATGACACTTCGGCTGATTGGCTGTATGATTGTAACTGCGGCGCAGGTGCGGGTGATGACGGCGTTGCGGCATCCCAACGTGGTGCTGTTCATGGCGGCGTCGACCAAGGCGCCCAAGATGTGCATCGTCATGGAGTTCATGGCCCTCGGCTCCCTCTACGATGTACGTTGTGAAAGCGCCTTTGTGGCCCCTGGCTTATGGCTCATACTTATCGACAACCTCAACTCCGTAGCTGCTGCACAACGAGCTTATTCCTGACATTCCGCACCCGCTGAAAGCCAAGATGGCCTACCAGGCCTCCAAGGGCATGCACTTCCTCCACTCCTCCGGTACTGCCCCTCCCCACTCCTTCGTTCTTTCTTCGTTTTCGTTCTTCGTCTGACATGGTGCTGGCGATGAAAATGACGTGGTGGTGACAGGAATCGTGCACCGCGATCTCAAGTCGCTCAACCTGCTGCTCGACAACAAGTGGAACGTCAAGGTCTCCGACTTTGGTCTCACCAAGTTTAAGGAGGACGTCGTCGGCGCCAAGGGCAAGGACATCGCCGGCAGCGTGCACTGGACGGCGCCGGAGATCCTCAACGAGACGCCCGATGTGGATCTCATCCTGGCCGACGTGTACAGCTTCGGCATCATCTTGTGGGAGCTGCTGACTCGCGAGCAGCCCTATCTGGGTCTGAGCCCTGCGGCGGTGGCCGTGGCGGTCATTCGCGACGGCATCCGCCCGCAGATGCCCGAGGCCGACTCGGTGCTGTACCCGCAGGAGTTCGGCGAACTGATCACCAGCTGCTGGCATGCCGATCCCACGATCCGGCCGACATTCTTGGAAATCATGACGCGCCTATCGGCCATGCACGGCGACTCCACTTCGGCCGGCGCCACGTCGACCAACTCTTCGTCATCCTCGGGTCACTCGGGCGGCGGCATCAAGAAAGACATCTACGGCTCGTGGACCCTGCCCTCGACCACCAACTCGACCGGCACGTCCAACACGTCGTCCAACTCGTCCAACTCGTCGAAGAACCTCTCGGCCACGCACGCTGCAGCGGCGGCTGGCGCAGTGCGGGCGCCCGAGGGCGAGGTGGCGATCGTGTTCACCGACATCACGCGCGCCGCCTCGCTCTGGGAGTTCAACGCAGCGGCCATGCGCGACGCCACGCTGCTCCACAACGAGACCCTGCGCGCGGCGCTCAAGCGGCACCGGGGCTACGAGGTGGTGTTCATCCGCGACCGCAACAGCGGCGAGGGCTCGTTCTGCATGGCCTTCCAGCAGGCGAGCGACGCGCTGGCCTGGTGCGCCGACGTGCAGCAGGCTCTGCTGGCGGTGGAGTGGCCCGAGGCGCTGCTGGACCACCCTGGCGCAGCCGAGGAGTGGGGCGACACCGACGATCGGTACTCCTCCTTGCCATCGATCACGACACACAGGAAAGGCCGGGTCTAATGCGGTTGGCATGTTACAGAGTGGTGTACAAGGGACTGCGGGTGCGCATGGGGGTGCACATGGGCGTTCCGCGCGTGGTGCGGGATCCGATGACGCGGCGGGTGGAGTACATCGGGCCGGTGGTGAATGCGGCGGCGCGCATCACGGCCATGACCCACGGCGGCCAGATCGTGATGAGCCACGCCGTCCACGACAAGATCAAGGACTCGGACCTGGTCAAGGGCGACAACCACAGGCGGGTCGTCGGCCTGGGCAAGTTCGAGATGCCCGACTCCCCTCAAGGGGCCAAGCTGTACGAGCTGAAGGTGGTGGGACTAGAGGGCCGGTTCTTCGGCGGCGTGACCCACAACGCTGACAGCGACCACCCGACCAGCGGTTCGGCCGAGCGGCCAAGTGACACCAGCGGTGAGCCCGCCGAAATGAACCTGTCGTCGGGTCCGAGCGGACACCGCGGCAGGAACAAGTACGGTGACGGCATCGGTAGCGGCGGAGGCGGGGATGACGATGGCGAGCTGCAGACGGCGGTG